GTGAGGAGGTGTATGACCAGTTATTCCCTAAGGATCAAAGGGCAGCGCCCTGCACACGGACAGTAGTTGTTTTGTCTTGCTACGCAAGGAGAGCTTGTCTTGTCTCAATATGGTAAAACCACTGTGAGCCAATGGGCAGCGGAATGTATATGTATGAGCATGCAGCCATTGCTGTAGGTACCTGTTAGAGCTACCCCTTTAGAGGTTTATGGTTTCACCCCCCTCCCCCTCGCCTCCCCCCCCCCTCCCCCCTCCCCCTCCTCCTCTCCCAAATTGCGATGTCCCGCACTGGACACGCAAAGGTTGGGGTTGAGAGGCTAGCATGGTGTATACGACTCGCCCTGCCGCTACAGAGCCCAGGCGGGCGGCGTAGCATTAAAATTACATACATATATACATACATATACGGATCTAAACGTACATATGCAAATAGATATAGATAGACAGAAAGATTGGCAGATAAATATATATAAGGATTACGTATATGTATATGAAGGAATGTATGTATGTACAAATAGATTTATATTTATGTATTTGTTTTTAACTATTATTTTTCATATTTATAGACGCAAGCATACAGATATTTACATGTATGTATACATGTGACACTGTAAATGTGTGCATGTATGGTTAGTCGTTGAATGCATATTTGTTTGTTCTCGAGCATGCTTTGGCTCTGATTAGTATGTGTACGTCCAGAGGTCTATATACATATATATATATATATACCGTCATATAGTATAACACAACATACTATAGTATAATATAAATTAATTGGGTAAGTTATGGCAGGATAAAAAACAGAACGGGGGACCCTGGGAGTGCGCCTCTGCCGTGATTTACGCGCGCGTCTTTCAAAAAAAAACAACAAACCATAAAACCAAAAAAACAGACAAACCAAAACAACCATAAAAACCAAAAAAAACAATAAAAACCAAAAAAAACATAAACACCAAAAAAACCATAAAAACCAAAAAAACCATAAAAACCAAAAAAACCATAAAAACCAAAAAAACCAAAGAAACCAAAGATCTGACACTCTCCGGCCATGGACACCTCAGTCCAGGAGTCTCTGATAATTGGTTTTTTTGGTTTCTTTGGTTTTTTTGGTTTTTTTGGTTTGTTCGAAAGACTCGCGCGTAAATCACGGCAGATGCGCACTCCCAGGGACATAACGTAGCATGGTCAACGTATACGACTAGATAGCAGTGCGAAAAACCACACTTGCACATCAGCACTTTTTGTTCTCATGATGATGAGAAGCTTTGTGGGTATGCGAGGCGCATCAGAACTACAGCGACGTCACCTTGAGTGCAGACTTCATATCGTACACACACAAGCAAACACTACATAGTTCTATATGGATTGCTATTTGGGTATCCCTGCTTGACTTCATATAGAGACTTATATACAATAAGATAACATATAATCAAGATTATGAACATCGACAATAACGAACCAGTATCGTAATAACGAACATGAGATTAAAGATTAAACTTCTATTAGTATCCAATGACAATATTCAAATTTAGCAAATATTTTCTTATACAATAACATTATGATAAGCAAATAAACAATTATACAAACAAATGAAATAAGCTAGATTCATTAATTATGCCTTCGTCATTCTTGTAGGCTACTCGGGCCTGCGTGATATAGCGATCAATTATCTGTCGAACTCCGCTTGTTTTACAGTAACTACCATTTTTAGTGTTAATACGAGGACTATTAAATGGGTCTCTGAAACATATAGGTAGATACCGATTCGTCGATACTTTTTGTGAATATTTTTCAAACAAAACAAAGTGTATAGTACTGGTGGTTATATTGTTGTAAATTGGTATAGTTATTCAATCTTATTATAATCTCACATAGGCTCTTCTTAGTATACTAGAAAACTTGGATGTGTATAGATACCTGTGCGTGGGAAATATGTAAGTATGCATGTGTGCTATATATATATATGTATATGTATATATACGTGAATATGTATGAGTACCTATTTTTGAAATGCATGTGTCAACTGTGTTGATACAAAAAATAAAGTACTAGTACTGTTCTATGTGAAACCTTGTTTTCTTTCGCAAGTAAAAACTGAAGGCATAATTAGTGAATCTAGCTTATTTCATTTGTTTGTATAATTATATATTTGTTTGTCATAACGTTATTGTATAAGAAAAATATTTGCTAATTTTAAATATCGTAATAGGATACTAATAGAAGTTTTATCTTTAATCTCATGTTCGTTATTACGATACTGGTTCGTTATTGTCGATTTTCATAATCTTGATTATATGTTATCTTATTGTATGCAAATCTCTATATGACGTCAACTATTTGGAAGACGTAGGCTTTCCTAAATGGGTGCATATCTATATATTGTATTGGCCAACAACTTTATAAGCTTAAAGAACATATTATGCTTGTATGTTAAATTATATTTCGTTCGTGTTAGAGGATTTGTTCATTGATTTATATGTTTAGCTTGTCCACATATCAATATGCTTTCTATATTTCGATTATTCTTCTGAATATGACTATAAATGACTATATTTCGATTATTCTTCTGAATATGACTATAAATGGAATATGCTAAATACATGTATGTGCCACTTTACAACGCATTTGTTGCTGGTAACCCAATATGCTTTTAATATTCCGACTATTCTTCTGAATATGACTATAATTAAAATATGATAAATACATGTATGTGCCACTTTACAACGCAATTGTTGCTGGTAATCTATAGAATTTCGGTTTGGTGTGTATTGAAAAGTTTCGTATATCTAGTGCTATTGTTGTCTATATTTGGATTGAATATTCGGTTATTATCTTAAAATGTATTGATAAGAGTATTAATGCAAAAGGCATGGTTGGTGATAATAATAGGAATATAATCATATAAAATATCATTTATAGATCAGAAGTTTGTACTACATCTAGAAGCATGCTCCACACCCAGATATGTGCATGTAACTATGTATGAATAGTGAAAAGTCGACATTTGTCGATTAATGTAAGGCACAGTATAATATGTATATATATATATATATATATATATATATATATATTCATATATATATATATACTTATACATATGCCGAGCTCTCTATTATGCACAATGTCACACATACATATGAGGGTATATACATATATATATATATATATATATATCCGTATTTGTATATGGATATTTATTATATATATATAGACATATGTATATACATTTATCCGTATATCTCTATTCTTCATATATATCTATGCGCATGATAGCCTCATCGAATGTAAGTGCGCCATCCCGCCCTCCAAGTTCACGAAGCAAACCTGGTATATGATCACCACGAAACTCCGACATGGCTTCAGAGATACGAAACGAGAAAACCAAGAAAGACTGTTTGAGCTTCCGTGGCAACGATATAACAGCTTGCGAACGAGAAAGAAAGAATGTCAGTTGTGTACTCATACCTTGGTATACATGTGTGTAAAAAAAGTTGAATGAATGCTCGTTTAAGTATGTGTGCGTCTGCCTGTATCCTATTCTCGCAGGTGGTTCATTAGATGGCTCGACAATGCGATACTTAGATTTTGTGGAAAAAGGTGCACTCCCACAGCCCCCCGGACTCATAAAAAAAGATGTAATAGAATATACTAAAACACCGCAAAATACTGGCGAATCAGGAGACATTCAAAAACGAAAGAAATAGTACCATGTAGTATAACACAACATACACAGGTAGTGCATTGTGGTATAACACCATATTCTGTAATATTCTGTAACATAACCTGATGCAGTGTGTCATAGTGTCAAACAAACTAGATAATGTCATGCGAAACAAGCAATATAGTGATAAAACATGAAAATTGTGATGATAACATGGCACAATGTAACAAAATGTAAACATAGCGTAACATGCAAGATCAAACATATAAGGTATACATATATGTATGAGGTACGTGTGTATATAGGTGTGTATATATATATATGTATGTGTATATATATACACATGCATATGAACCTGTGCAACATAAATCCTACCATCATATACATATAAATATATATATATATATATATGTATCACCTTACGATATCGTATAAGGTCATCCATTATCCTAAAACATCATATAGTATTACCATATGGTAACAATACCAGACAGAACTATGAAGATCATAGAATACCATACAACATCGTAAAGCATCATATATATGATGCAAAATCATATGTTACCACATCATATAAAACAATATCATGTAATTCTCACATAACATCAAATAACATCATATAACATCACGTAACACCTTATAACATTTTATAACATCATATACCACCATATTATACCACTTGATTTTTTCACATTTATAACACAATGAAACACCATGTAATATCATGCAAGATCATGGAATGTCATGTAATACCATATGCCAAAACATTTCAATGAGTATCGTTTGCATGAAGCTCACATAACACCAGATAACATCATATGATATAGAGAACATAAAGCCCTACTTTTTCGTAAAACGTAAGATAATGTGCCATGTTATGCTGTAATATGACGCAAAAATCAAACAGGAACATCTAACATCATGTAATGGCATATTATAACATGCAAAATTTGGCAAATACCGTCTCATTCATAAGCGTACACAGTATAAAGCACCTAAAAGATCATATGTGCTATTTATATGCAACATATAACATATAGCCGCACACAAGTGCATTCTTGTAAATACTCTATAACATACGCTAGGTAAGATGTGGCACGTGATATGTGATTTGCGGTGTGTAGTGCGTAACTGACACTATGTAATATGCAAAAACCACTATGCAACACACATGTAAAGATACAGAATATGTATAATGCTATACAAATATAACATTACCTCATACAACATAACATAACCTGGCAATCTGAATACACACGTAAACATGTACATATAAACACGCATACACACACAGACACAGTTCATGCAGTGTACTCCTACAATACATAACATCAAGGACCTCGTTGTAGCCGATGAGCTTTCCTCAGCAGCAACGGCGTCGGAGGACAAACTCACAAATGCATCTACGATTGGGTCTACGATAGCATGTGCCCCGAGCACTAGACCCTCATCATGAAACCGCAACAAGAAGAAGCTTGTGATATCTTCCTCGAGCTTCGCTGCTCTTCCTCTTCACGCTTCTGCTGCTCTTCACTGACCTGGCCCTCGGCAGCGCCGTCCTGCAAACAGCCGAAGCTATTAACCCTTGAGTGCCTTGGAAATCCTTGGAATTGGCTTGTTTTTGGGAGGGTTATAGATGCTCTTGCACAGGATTTTCTTTGGGGGCGCGCGGCCACTCCTCATGGGGAACGTGTTCGTAAAGCAACACTGGTCGTGCCACGGATCGGCGGTGTGTCAGACTGCAGGCTTCAGCTCCCTGTCTAGCTGTCCTCAGCCTCTGCTTCTTCAGCTGGCTTCTCCGGCGCGGAAGGCTCCTCCAAAAGGCAGGGTTTCGAGCTTCGGCTTGCCCTCCCAACCACAAAAAAACTTCAAGCCGGAACCTTGTCGCTTGAGCCCCTGAACCCTCCTGCCCGCCAGTCAGGACAAATGCGTCTGAAAGGCTTTGAGCTCCATCTGGCTCATAAAACCAAGCCCTGACTAACCGAAGTAACACTGAATGCCATCCCAAACTCCCTGCCCCTGCTCCCACTCCGACACCTCGAACGCCGGCACCGGCGGTGGCGGTGGCGCCGGAGCACCCCCGCCGCGCTGCGCCACCGCACGAGTGGCTCGGCGAAGCGCCGATGCCTCGTCGTCGCGGGCTTGATGCTGACTGCTGTTGTTTCGATAAGGCTTCCGGTCGAGGGCCCAAGGGATCTTCCGGGGTGGTACGAATTCCCTGTCGGGAGCAGCCCCAAAACATGCGACTTGGCCGTGGACACACAAGATCACAAGAGGGCTTCTGGCTTGTTTGTCAGACCTTCACTCTTCAGCTTACTCACTTGTCCCCTCCCCCGCCCGCAACACCTCGTCTTGCTGCTTCCTGCGGGCGACAGAGCTTTGAAACTTACGTGCTGCAGTCTTGCGTGGAAGCGCGAGCTCCTCATCTCTAAATGAGCTTGACGCAGCTCTAGCAGAACTTGCTCAGCTGTTTGCACCTCAGCTTGAAATCCATAGCTCGACGTCAGCTGCGATTCGGACAAAGATGTCTGAGCACACGACTCTCAGCGTCATGTTCCTGGCTTTGCACCGACAGTGTGAGGCTTAACGTCTTTCGGTGCGCTGGAACCACACATCCTGTCAATTGCCAAAACTTGCCAACCATGCGCACGGCACCTAAGCATCGCTGCATGGAGTTCAACGATGGCCCTTCCGGGGTTCTCGTAGCTGCCTGGTTGCACAAGCCGTGCATCGACGAAGCCTTGCACTGACAGCGCCTGCATCTTCCTGCATCCTCTCGTGGTCACTACTACCCTGACAGGCACATGTGGATCAGCCCCGCCTGGAGCATGCCGGGTGACACTGGAGTTGTCAAGAAAGAGCAAGGCCAGGGAAAGAGTCGCAATGATGGCGAGCAGCACGACGGGACTTTTCAGCCTGGGCAATCTCTGAAGCGGGAAGCTGCGACAGCGAGAAGCAGCACCTTTACAGTGTTATGAAAGTCCACAAGACATCAGTGTTAGGAAGGTCCACAAGACATCAGCGACTGAGGCAACCACCACCAGAGTGAGCGCAAAGCCATCTGCCCATCGTTCGCCACATCGGCGGCTACAGGCAAATGGATGCCCGACAGGTGATCCGCGGGTCTTCTCAGGCTAGATAGACTGACAAATTCTTCGTATGGCAGGAGTCATGCCATGCTCGCTTCTACGGCCACCCACATCCACCCACACACGCACACACCAAAAGGTCCTTTCAAGCAGAACTGGCCACTGTCACCACAAGGGCAATAGATGGCAAATTAAATGAGCACTTTGAGTCAGGGCAGCTTGGCAGTTCTAGCCTCTGCGGCTGGGTGAGTACGCGTCCCTTGTTCGAGTTGGGGAGACAGGCATCCTTTAATTTCGTTTTGGCTGCTGGAGCCGAAAATATTTCGGGAAGTCAACTTGCAACTTCGGATTTGCTGAATCACCACATCAGCATGGCATGATCTGTTCCATTGCGAGCTTTACCAGCTCACGCCCCAGTGCTCCCTTGGCCTTCTGTCCGTCACAGTCGTCTCACTTGCAAACGCCTGTCCCATGGCCAGGCCTTGCCACAGTCAGATCGCTAATGCGAGCTGGGACCTACTGTTACCGTGCCACAATCCCGAATCCTTCCCCGGCTGATGACTCGCCGAGCGGCTGCCCTTGCTGCACGGGCTGGCCGCAGCGGGCGGCTCACAGCCACAAGCTGCCAATACCAAGTGCTGTTCTTGTGCTTGGGATCTTGATCGGATTGTGTGCCCAGGTGTCTGTCTCGGCAATTCCCATGTATGGAGGCGCTGAACTCTGCTACAGAAGTGCCTGAAACAGCTCTTTGACAGATGCTGAGACTTCAGACACCGAGACTTATCAATACAGGGTTCTACATTAAAGTAGGGCCCCTGAAAGGAAGAGATCATGGCAAGGTCCCGTCCGGATGCCAAGCATGTTCGAACACCTCCCGGCGAAGGAGGGCCACAACCCACTCAAGCTGTTTACCGAACTGCCCTTGCCCAGTCAATTGCTGCGGGAGTCTTCTCCATCACGACATTTTCACCAGCACCCGCAAGGCGACTGCGCGCCATCTGCTCAAGGCAAGACCTGGCATGCTCTTACGCGATCCGACTGACACCAGAAATCAAAGACGACTGTGCCTTGTGGGTAGCTGCAAAGGCTGCAAAGGTGCAGATATAAACCAGCATTCAACCCTTTCCCAGACCACCGTGGAAGTTCGAGGCCTAAGCTCACACTCTAGACTAAACTCTAGACCTACACCCCCGTAATGCGTGTATGCGTCTATAGACTCTGAATCCGCAACCCCAAATGAAGAAGATCAGAGACAACACTACTGAGACTTGGCAACTTGCTTCCCGAACCTGACCCGGTCACCGAAGTCGCAGTCCTACTCTAAGCACTCCGTTTCTGGCACCCGGGTATTGCGTCGCCGCTGCGCCAGCCGGAAGGTCACCAACCTGGGCCCGAGTCCCAGTCCCAAGATGTCCCAAGGCGCAAACGGAGCATCTACGAGGCCCGGACAGGGAAGCCCGCAGCACCGCCTGAATGGACACGACCTAAGAACGAGGATGCCCGTTCTCACGACGAGAAGTCTGCAGTCTGTTGCCACCTAGGAACTAATAGGACCTAGCTATGACAGGCTGTGGTGCAGCTTCGGCTTTGGAAAGGCTTCACCGTGTGCAGCGACGCTTGAAACACTTTGAGGCAACAGGACCCCCCACGCCGAAGAAGTGCATTCTTGGCGTCATCGGTCCGACACACGTCTGCGCCACACGCCCACTGCTTCGTTCAAAGCTGGGCTCTTGGCCAGCAGGGCCTGGCTGTGCGACACGGCCGGAACGGAACGCAAGCACTCGCCTTTACTCTGCTTTGCTACACTCTTTTCAGACACTTGCTCTGCTGTTGGTCTCATTCTTCTCACCGCCGCCTGCCTATCATCTATCAATCCATGTCTCCATCCATCTATCGACTTATGTACCCGGACTCTCTCTTTCGCTGCCATTCCGTCTTCATGCCGATCTCTGAATACATCAGCGACAGACCTACTCAGTCCTACTCCTCCAACTCTCACACCGCAATGTGGCAGGAAGGCAGCGCTAGCAGATCGGCCACGGCTCTTGTGGCCGACACCTCTCCAGGTTTAAGGCTTTAGGACTCTAGGGACATTAGGGCTCTAGGGTTTTGGGCCGAATCTTCCAACCCTTAGATCCATTGCCTGGGTGATTTGACACGGCTACAGGCATGGCCCCCTCCGAGTTTCAGGCGACTTGCTGCTGCAAAACCACTGTCCTGCAGCGTGCGGCAGGGTGATTTTCTGCCACGCAAAGCCTTCCGCTCCATCTGCTGGTCGGCATTGCAGGTTCGAGGCCACCAGAATGTGTGCGCTGTGGCGCTGTGGATTGCGCAAAAAACGAAAGAAACTGTAGTGTCAAACATCTGCGGATATCTGGGAATAGAAGGTCCTAAGTTCATGGGACTCGAGAGTGACAGTGGGAAAGTATCATGCTGACTTTATGAGTTTGGTTGAGCTCTGATGGCAAGCTTCCGGGCACAGGCATCAAGGAGAGGAACCAAGACCGTCAACCAGCTTCAAGGTGCTGCCCATGCAGCTGCTGAACCTGGCAGGATGAAATCTCCAAAAGAAGCCGACCGAGTCCTCTGGTGTCAAGTGCGAGGCAGAGGCGTCCCCGCCTGCAGATGCTGGCAGCCATGATATCGACAGGTGTAGCCATCTCTGCCCGAACCCCGCAATGGTCAGTCAGGGGCGATGACAGTGGACAACTTGGCTCCCGGCTAACTGCAGCACTCATGGCCTCTGCAGTGCAGTAAGCTACGTGCAAAGCAGTCAGTTGGCATGGTATGATGCATACCACGCCACCATGGCAAGAGGGAGAGATCTCAAAAACGATGAGCATGAATACTGTGCCCGCTGCACGGCTGGGCAGAATTTGTTGTTAGATGTGCACAAGCAGAACATTTTATTTCTGACCTTCCCCAAGCGAGCCGGATGCAAGCTTCTACATGTAGTCTCTGCAGGGAGTCTGTATCGCCCCTCAAAGCTGCTGAATCGAGTCGTGCGCGGAATCGAGAGGTGCCACCACAGCAACCAGGTCGGCAAGGCCTCAGGTGTCGGAATGTACGCTAGGGCCGCTATGAGCCTTTGCATGTCGCACACATGCGACCGTCGAAAGCCAGAAACTCTCACGCTGAGGCCCTTGCACACCAGTGCAAAGAGTAGAGCGGGACAAACCACCTTCAAACAGCTATGAGGTGCACCAGCACACCCCCACGAGAGCCGGGCTGTGTCTGAACTCTCCAACAAATCATCTTACAGCAAAAAGCGCTCTAAATGCATCTTTTGGCTCAGGCGCCTGTCAGCGAGTGAAGAACCGTCGAGCCACTACATAAAGGAATGCATGGGTGTGAAAACTCCAGTGCAAGTGTCCGACCTCCGGTGAGAAATCAAAGCACGGCCTGCGGAAGGAAAGCCTAGTCGGCCTAGTCTCGCCTGAGCTATCAATCATACACTCCGGAGGCAGGGTCTTCAATTTTGGAAGCAGATGTTCAACCTCCAACCTATCACTACGGCTTCTTCATGCACAGACATGCTGAAGCAACAAGTATGCAAGACATTGTCGTCCATATCCAGGATCAGGCCGGTGGAGACTAATGATGTCCCGGCAAGAATGAACTTCTCACTTCTCCTGTGCGGAACCTGAATGGCCGAGCATTAGCCTGCCACACAGCCTGCCGGAAGGACGATTCCTTCTACTGATCGCGGTAGTGGGAGAGGCCTCTATCAGCCCCTGCGGACATCTGTTACGTGAACCACTGACTGCACAGTCTTGGGGGCCTGAAACAACTCCCACCATTAGAAATCCGGACACGGATGGCTGCAGAAGTTCATGTAGACCAAGTTTGAGAGACCACTCCCTGGCCGGCGAAGTTGTTTACTTCACTAGGCAGAAAAGCGGATCATGCAGCAAGCTGCTCCCAAGAGTGAGCGCAGGAGAGCCCCGATGGGCCTGTCAGATATCAGTACCATCAGATTCCGATTCAAGCCATCTTGAGTGGCTTATCCGAGTGTCTGTGTCATTGCCCACTGGTTGCGAGGTAGCTGCAACTGCATCAGGCACATGCCAGAGAAGGCACTCCCTGCATCTCTGTGGCGAATTAAGCCTCAACGTGCGAACCGGTCCCGATCTCACTCATGTCCAATCTCCTCCTCGATCTCCTGAACCACGGTTTCTCCGAACTTTGGACCCTTGAACACTAAAATCCCGGAGCCTTGTTCAAAGCCGAAGTCCTAAACCCTGAAAGCCCTAAACATCACAAGACCCCAAAGAACAGGTCCCTGCAACAGGCTGAGCGTGACGAAGCACAAAGATGCAGCAGCACGGATGTCAACACTAACATGCCAAGTATGAGCAGCTTCCTGATCAACAGCAGCAACAACCACCACAGCATCACCCTTGCTACCACGTCCTGCTGAGCATCTGAAGAAGCAAGATAAACATCATTCAAACATGAGGCCATTCAGATGTGCATGACCTTTGTGGTTCAGAATGTCAAACCCCAGACTCCGATCTAGCACTGTGATGAAGACGTTGTTCGAAGGCCTCGGCCTAGGCACCTCCGACACTGTCTCTACGAAAGCCCATACACAGGGCGGCATGCCCACCTCGATGCGTCGCCTGGTGACGGGCATTGGCTGAGGGCAAAGGGCAAGAAACACATCTTGGCGGCGGACAAACGAAAACGCCAGCAAGGCACTGCAGGGCAATGATCTGCTGGTGAACTGATGTCTTCTCGCCCTTGAGGCTGGTCACCTGCACCAGAGCTGGTATGCAAACATGGGAAGACTCGCAGGACAGCAAGCTCCTAGAGCAAGGGCCTGTTGCTGAAGGCGGACATTCTCAGCCTCCTGCAACTTTTGTTGGACTTTGAACCTTGGTAGTTTAGCCTATTATAATACACACACATATATATATATATGTATACTTAATGTGGCTGGCCATACAGAATAACTACACCGAAATGCACATCACGCATGTCTTGCAGGACAGGGGCTCTTCGACCATCCTCTGCACGTCCGCCGCAAAGTAGCGCTTTATGTCCTGAGCCAAAACTCGCGTGAATAAAGAGCCTCCGCGCTCATATGGGGAGTTGTCAAAATTAGGGTCCCTTTTTGGGCACCCCAAAATATTAGGTGTCGTATTATAATAAGGACCCAAGAAGGGACCATAATTTTGTCAACCACCCATATGACTGGCTGTAAAATGCATGGTTGTTCCGAGAATCGTTGAGCTGCCCTTGCATGCCCGAAGACGAATTGGCGTTGTCGGCCTTGATGTTGTGCACGTGACCTGTCATCACGAGGTGCGGCAAGCTCCACACGCTTTGAGCAAACACTTTAGTGAAAATTCCATCTATGCTGTGCAGCAGGGATTTTTATAAGCAGCAGTCACAAAACAGACGCGGGGCCTTTCTCAATGCTGAGCTCCTCGTTCTGAGACTGGAGTGTAGTCGCCAGGTCATGCACCTCTCCAGGTGGTGCAGTACCTACAAGACTTCTGATAGCTTCACTGAAGCGCCTTGCCCTTCATGCCGGTGGGCTTTCGCGAGTTGCTGCTCATCACTGAATCACCCCTCGGATGCTCAAAAGTCAAAAGCCTTTCCACTTAACTTCAAACTCTCTGCCGGCAACTCCCCTCAGAGCTCGGACTTTTTGATATGCAGCTCGGGCTCATAGCCGCCATGGCAGAAGCAAGGGCCGTCGATCTCCGAGGAATCCGAGTGGAGCCGAAGCGAGCTGGAGCCGTCAAGGCGATACCGCACTCGCAGTGAAATCAATTCAGACAAGCATATGTAAAGATTGACTATGCCAAAACACCACATATACCTACCTATCTGTCTGCCTACCTATCTGTCTGTCTACGCATGTATGATTGCATGTCTGTACAGTACACAGTAAATTTATCTGCTGCCATTCTTGTGCTGCTACTGGGGTCGCTAGTCAGCTAGTCTTGTTCTTGCCCGTGTTTGCACGAACCCCTGGCTAGACCATCATCAATGAACACGAGGGACTCGGCCCATCTCTATTCTCGACTCACACAGTGCTATTCTTCTTGGCGATTCTTGTTCCCGTCTTGACGCACTGGCAATGGAGTGCAGGGGATGCTGACGGAGATGGTGAATATGATGGTGATGTGGATAGTGATGATGGTGGTACTGGAGGTCATGGTGGAGACGGTGGTGATGGCGGTGATGGTGGAGATGCCGGTGGTGATACTGATGCGCATGAGGACGACAACCATGATTCATGATGTCGTTTGGGATCGGGGAGAATGCTGATCTAAAATAACCCTGTCGGGACCTCCTTTCTGACAAGATCATGTTCTGAAGGGCCGTACTCGCGCAAATGTCCCTCGATGACTGGCAAGCTGTGGCTACAAAGTCGCAGCACGAGCTAGTCCACCCTTCACACTGCAATGTTTTACCCTGTCAAAATACACATCTCCCTGGTGCAGAAGAGGGATGGCAATGCTGGGCACGCAATCGACTAGCTTTTTCCCAACCTCTAGCGTCAATGCTAACGGCCACTGTACATCGCGGAGAGTACTTAGAGAGACCACCTCTGTACACTCCAAGCGCAGCACTGCTGGCCTTCCAGCGAAAAGTGCTTTGCGTCCGGTAAATTGTTATGGGCGGTGACACGTGGCATGCACCCTGGAGAACGGCAAGCAGAGGCCCTGTCCAAGAATTGGGCGGGCATCAGGTCCCGACGAGTCGAGGCAGGGTGACGCCCCACAACCGAAAGACGACCAAGCTGAATTCAGTCAATCCAGGTCCAGCATGTTAACCCTATGGGAGGTCTCCTTCTCCAGAAACTCCACAAAGTCCATAGCCTGCATGTATACTGTGGCATTGCAAGCATTCGGATGGAAGCCGACGGTCGGGCAGCTCTCGCCTTCATCCGCCAAGACCTTGGGGTCCAGGTGGAACTGCACCTCCCCAGCGGCGTCGTTCAGCAAGCCGAACGGCGTCACACTACCGGGTAGTAGCTTCAGTTTTTCCTCAAGTGCCTCTGCTGAAGCAAAACTCACCTGCTTGGCAAACTTCACCGCTTTCAGTTTGATCTCCGTGTTGACAGCAGCAGATACCAAGAAGAAATTCTTCTTCTTGTCCTTCAGAAAAAGGTTTTTCATCTGCATCGCCTTTCCTCCATTCATCTCCGGGTTCGGGCAGAGCTGCTCCGCTTGCTCGCAGGTGTAAACAGGCGCGTGGAGGACGATTTCCAGCGCAGGACGGGGCAGATCGGCAAAGCCGCCGTACTTCTTCAGGAAAAAAGACAGCAAACGATCTATGCAGGATCCCAGCTGCGCATTCAGAAATGCCGAAGCCTCTGGTGAGGTCTCCTGTTCCACATTCACGTCCTCGGCATGTTCTAGGGACACACGGAGCCAAGGACACGACCGGCTCAGCTCCAGCTTAGCGAGAGCAGAGCGCACGACATCAGAGGACATGAGGACAACTCAGAAGGCGGGGAGCCAGAGATTGGCAGAAACCTTGAGCAGGCTGGTCTCTGGAGCCAAAGCTAATTTTCAAATCCGACTAGTTTAGGCTTCTGCATCGGATTCACTCTCTCTCACAGTCGCACTTGGCCCCTTAGGTCGCCGCACCCCCAGACCAGACCCCAAACCACCGTAGACCCCCAGGCCCTACTGGCCCTGATCCTCAAACTCATTCTGTTCAACCCCGATCAGGCCTCGCCCCAAGCCCCCCAAAGCAGCATCGACCTTAGAGCTGCGGACTCTCTTCTGTCTTTCCGGCGCCCACAATCATAAACCATCAGTCAAACACTGGCTGTTAGGACTGCAACTCTCACAGCTCGAATTTTGGGGGGTCTCAGACCAGCTCGGAGGAGATCATGGTGCCAGCCGACAGCCCCAGCTGTCAACTCTGCAGAAACGCACAACACCACTAGTCACTAGCAAGTCTGACATCATCCATCACAGATAAAGACCAGACAAGTATGCAAAATAGACACCCTACCCCAAAAAACAAACCCTGTATTCACCAACGATTTTCGCTGGAGGCCGTCCGCAGCTCCCTAACCCTACAGTTGCTAAAACTTCAACTGCGCCACAGCTTCAATAGCTTGCAAAGGCTCCGAAACATCTGCACAAAGCAGAACTGCTAAGACTCGCGCAAGGTCAGCCTTCGCCCTCCGGTAACATGACTCAGCAACACCTCCGAGGATTGGTGCACTCCCTTTTGTCCGGTGTGCAGAGACTTCAACTATTTGGTGTGGGCTGGCAAGTCGGTTGGTAGGTAGTAGGAGGATAACTAGGTAGGTAAGTAGGTAGGACGGCCGGTCGGTCGGCCGGTCTTGTATTGTTATTTGTTTACAGCTATGTCAGCTATGTTTAGGTCGTTTAGGTGTATTCACTTACTTCCGTCTGATACTTGCTTTTTCTCATCATCCATGCATGCCTGAGCACATACATGCACATCTACATCCATGTGTTCGTCCATCAATCCATCGTCACCGCGGTAACCATTCCAGACGCCCTGCTTGAACCTGCGGATAGGATAGACTCGACATGTGCAGTCCGGGCTGCAGTTTGCTGCTGTCCTTGTTCTATAGACCCACTTTCGAAACCTGCGGATGTGCTCTCCAAAGCAACAAGCCCAAAAACAAGATCCCCAAGCACCGTCCAACCGCAAACCAGGTGGGGACTGTATCCGGCGCAGAGTTGGAACATGTCAAGGGAATAAGTCGTCACTAAGTAGTGTTACTTGCCCGGGTGGTTGCATGTGAGTGCTACGCTCCTGGCATGTCCCACGCAAGGCCACACTTTTTCGTCGAGCTTCTGGCCGGCAAGCCAAGATAGCATGGCACTTTTCAGGACACCCTTGAGGTGTGTTGTGGCCACATTCTGCGGCAGCCATTGGCCGTGCCCCCCATCGAACAAAAGCCAAGCACAATGCTGTATGGCTTTGTTTATTGTCCATCCTGCGTACTGCAAACCTCCAGTTTCAAGCTTTGCCTGAGTCCTGAAGCCTTTCATGTTCTACGACGGTCCGGGCACAGGCCAACAGACTTTTTGCAAGCTTCTCCTAAAAGGTACATTTGTAGTGGGAGCCTGCCAACTTTGCCCAGGATGCTGTCCCCGGAGCTGGCTTGGCTTTTGCCGCGTCGGTCTCTCTTGCGGCTTGCATGACGGGCACATCGGCTTTGCACAGCTACTGTCACTGCACGACTCCTCCAACGCCCTTCTACTACCTCACTTTCATTTACCTTCGTCAAACGTGTGCGCAGCATCTCGGAACCGGCAGGACCCCACTCAAGCATGGGGTGCACCCCCGGGATGCAATCAAGCTCGAATCTTGTCCCGTAGCATAACACATCACATCCCGGGACCACACTCTATCTACAATTTTGCGAGCACGGCACAGCAGGAGGGGAAGACCATGGAAGGGTCTTGGGGGCTTCGGACCTAGATTTCACGGTGTGCCTGCAAGAGAACACAAATTGAGCCCATGTTGGATTTCCAATCTCTAGTCACTCTCGTTGTAGGCTCCTGTCGCCAGAACTTCAAAGGCATGGGTTGTGGTGGATTGTGCGTCAGGGCCCCATGGGCGAAGCCTGCGATACCCTGCTTGCTGTTTCATGCCAGTCTTACGAAAATCGCCAGCTGCACAGAGGCCAGACTGTTGATGATCGGACAGTGCTGAGCGAACCTGCCCTGCACCCAAATCGACCTCGCGTTGAACCTTCAGCAGAATTCTGCACCAGCCTTGCCAGCAGCCATCAACTCGACCATGCTCCCAACAGCTGGCGGGAGCATTTACAGCATTTACTATACGGAGCCGTCATCGTTGCGTGAGGCCCCGCATCAAAGGCCTAAGTTCGAAGGGTGTTGCTGCAGGCACTGCACAAGTCGTCGAGACTACCAGCTGTTATCATGGCTGATGCTGGTGATGCTACTACTGCCGCCAAAAGGGCCAAAACTAAGCTGACTGCCGCTGCTATCATTGCAGTTGCAAGAACATTCCTTTTTCTTAGTTCTACAACTGCCTTCTGTCCTTGCGCCTCGACACCTCAGGAACTCCTGACACCTCCCAGTTCACAGTCCAGACTTGGGGCTGCTACGAGTCCAAAGGCAACCCCACCTGGATGGAGGGGCTGTACTAGTACTTTGTGGAAATTGACAATCCCCCTTGGTCCAGTTTCTGACTGGCTGAAATTCTTCCCACAAGCTTGAAGCGCTTAGGTGCTAACCCAGGGTCCAAGTGCCATCGTGGTATACCGGCACATATGGTCCAAGCCTTTCTGGAGAAGTCCCGAGATCTGCGGTGTGGGGCATGTTGCCGGGGGTTCAGCGAGCAGGGGCCTCTCTTGAAGCTCGTTAGTACTGCAGGGCTCTCGCTGCGATCTCTGGGGAAGGCCACCTTTACATTGCATCCCTGGACATGGGCGGGATCTAGGCAGCCGCTCGCTCCAAAGTGAAGCTCAAGGCACCTTGGACGGCTGCGTGCTGCGTTGTTCTGCTTTGCCTCCGAAGCCAGATGCCTTGCGCTTTCACCTTGACGAGAACAGCCTTCTAGATCCTAGTAGGCAGTGTACAGGTCGCCCCACAAGGTAGAGATTGCAGCGAGAGCCCTGGTCTTCACCAGAGGCCCTTTTTGAAGGCGATAAAGCCGCCCAGCTCCCCAGATGTCGGGAATTCGGACTTGGCATGGAAAGGCTTTGACCATCGTCCGGTGCGATTTCATTTGTGAGATGCAATTCTGCTGGGGATGCAGATGGCTTAGCCGTTCTAAGGCCAGGGGACAGCGATGCCGAGAGGGCGTCGCCAAAGCCGCAGCAGTCGGAATGCCGCACTGGCCGCTCTTTTTCCGACCTGAAACAAGCATCAAGAATGCTTATAGCATCTGCCGGCTGCGGCTACACATATTTCATAGGCCTGTCTGCATACAATCAAGCCTCATGTGCTAGCATGATCCCTCGCAGACATCGCCACGACTGGAAATACAAAGCATTGATACACTAGCCGAACACTCACAAAGCACCACAGAGCTTCTCACCCGGCGCCAGCCACACGTACCAAGAACATGTCAGGCGCCACCTGCCACGTCTCTGTCGGCCGGTCAAAAAGAACGTGTAGGTCTGAATGACCGGAAACAGGTCAAGGTTGCAATTAAGGGAGCGTTGCTTCAGATTCATCCAAAATCAAGCATGATCCAGCATGCCTGCAGGCACTCCGCATTGCCGTCCACTTGGGCCGCTGCCAGCGGAAACCAGCCCGAAGAATCCAACTCGGCAGGAGATGTAAGCAAGACTTAAGCAAGAGCTAGCAGCAAGCACGAAAGACGCAGCAAAGGACACTGCAAGCAGCTTTGGCTTGACATATTTGCGCACTCTGCTTGTGCCTTGCCGTTGCTGGCAACTGTCGGCTCCTGGACTCGCCGAGGTGATTGCATGCTGCACACTGCAATCACATGCACCACGGAAACGCACTGCTCAAGGAACACCAATATCAGCCCGTCTGACAAATCAAATCCAAAACAACTACAGTCGCAGCTGGATGGCACTGGTCCTGTCGCGGTGGCAGACCGCCGGCCTGCGGAGAAGCGATCCCAGTGGAGAGCGCACTGCTACCTTGGCACTTGGCTCGGTCGGCATGAAGATCGAGGACTGCAATCTTCACTGTCTAAACTCAAAGTGCAGAATTTGCAGGGCAGGTTCAGCACTGGGTACGCCTGAACGCAGGCCATGCAAACCCGAACTCTTGCGATGAAGAGTCTTGGCCGGCGCAGCGGCAAACCTCTCGGCGCAGACTGTGTGGCGCCCAGGTCTGGCTGAGACCACCTTTGCTTCAACGACCCGGCAAATGACGTGTAGAATTGCTCGCCTTCTCTCTCACTCCACCGTCTGGCACGGGCATCTGCTAGTGACTGCCAGTGAGTCTTTTCATGAACCCTAGCATGCAAAGTCTTACACCCAGATTCGTGCGTCCACGCGGCAGCCAACTGGCATCTGAAACTGCCGATGTCGATTGCGTGAGGACTGGGTTGGGGCCTTGCCCGTACAGAACGGCTGGACTGGAGTGTGGCAGCCGTGGTGTCGACGTTCCCCAGAATGCAGGCGAAGTCGAGTCCGGAAAATGCTGTGGCGTCCGCGCCGAAGAAGGGCTCGCAGGTGTCGATTGCGGGGTGGGCTGGTGGACTTGCACCATCCTCAACCCGGGATGCCTAAAAGTGGCAGATGGCTGGAGGACAGAGGCCGGCTCCTTAGTGTCGCACTTGCAATGTCTAAGACAAGGCATCAACATTTCACGACACTCCGAGAAAGCCCAAGTCTCGGGTGCCCAGGCCACCGGGTAGACGGGTTGGCCTTACCGGCACTGCCGGCACTGCTGCAAACCCAGCCAGCCCCAAGACTTCATGCGTGGCGGGAGTCCTACATGCTATACATGCTATCATCACTCCGCTGACCTGCCTGGGAGATGAACCGACTGCGCGCGCTCTGGAGGCTGCCTTTGCACGGGATTGGGATCTCGGGCTCAAGACGAAGAGGAGAGAACGGCAGTCTTCAGCTTCGAGGCCCCGGGCCCCGGGCCTGCCGATGCCTGGGATGCTGGGCTGCACCGCTCTGGAGACTGACTGTGTCCACCTCACAGATGGACTGAGGGCTAAATTGCAGCAGCAATGTGGGCAAGCCGTGTCGCAGGAGCACTTGTTATCCATCTAAGGCTCTGGCTGAGGCAAACCCGAACCAAACCTTTCCAATTCGTTTCAACTCCCGCCGGTATAATGCAGGAGTGCTGCACATGCCGCACTGGACGACCTCGTGGAGTGGCCGGGCCTGCCAGTCAATCATGCTGCCAGCTTCTAGCAATTTCTGCGAGGCTTAGGTAGACACAGACTGTGACGACACTTCGAAGGAGCTGGATAGCCGATCCTATCGTTTTGCCTGCCCTTTGGCTTCCATGCTGAGAGTCAGGCTGACGCTGCGAGCCGGAAGATGTGTGCCTGGCACTCTTCTCCTACTGTACGGGTATTATCTTGGGTGGTTCCTTATTATGATGATGGTATAATATACCCCCAAAAACCCTATTCCAATTCTTAAGGCCCCTACGTTAGGCAGGCTCTCGAGGACACCGATCAGCGACAGCGTAATGACACTGAATGAGCAGCTTGTCGAGCAGCGTGCTGATTACTGGCCATAAGGACGCATGGCCACGACGCAGAGATTTCGTCTGCAGTGTGTGACCACCGACACAGAGCATGCTGAAAACCCTGGCTGGCTTGTCTCCGAACGGCCGCTTCCCTCGCATGAGTTGGGACCATAAGTTCAATGTGTTTTAAGTCAAATTTGATGAACAGTTATGAATCTTATGAGAGATCAATGCTCCAGAAACCTCTCCGCAAGACAACCACGCTATCTAAAATTGTTTGTGCTTCTTGAGTAGCCTGCGCATGCTTGCAGAAACTAGCTTTCTCGACAAGGGGTGGCTGCCAATTGCGGCACAGAAAACCTGCTGCAGGGTGAGAGGCTCTACACAATAGCAGCTAGTTCTTGCTCTTCATCTTCCTGTTCCTTCTTACTCTTCCTCTTTTTTTGTCACTCGCACTCGACGAGTCAGGCGAGGTTTCGGCAACTACAACTTTACAGGCATCTAACACATTGGTCCAATGCTCCTCACTCATTCATCTTCCTCTTCCTCTTCCTGCTCCTCGTCCAATTCCAGTTCCCTGTCCCCCCAGATAACCAAAGATCCATCGGCCAAAACTGCGGCTAAAGCCAATCCAGCGGTTTGGATCTGCTGCACGTTCTTGAGCTGATGTTGCACATCTCGACTGCTACCACCACGGTCAGCATGACCCCAGGTCACGACAGACCTATCAGCAAGAATGGCAGCAAAAGCCATTCTTGCGGCTTGGATCTGCTGCACATTCTTCAGCTGATGCTGCACCGCGCTGCTGTCACCACCCATGCCAGCCACACCCCAGGTCACGACAAATCCGTTGCCAAGAATGGCAGCAAATGCTTCGTTTGTGGATTGAATCTGCTGCACATTCCTCAGCTGATGCTGCACCGCGCTGCTGTCACCACCACAGGTAGCACTACCCCAGGTCACGACAGATCCGTCACCAAGAATGGCAGCAAATGCGACGTTTGTGGATTGAATCTGCTGCACATTCCTCAGCTGGTCCTGCACAGAACTACTGTCACCACCGTTGTCAGCATCACCCCAGGTCACGACAGATCCGTCGCCAAGAATGGCAGCAAATGCGTCGTTTGTGGACTGAATCTGCTGCACATTGCTCAGCTGGTTCTGCACTGCGCTGCTGTCACCACCGTGACCACCATGACCCCAGGTCACGACAGAGCCGTCGGTACGAATGGCAGCAAAGGCAGCCCAAGTGGATTGGATCTGTTGCACGTCCTTCAGCTGATCCTGAACATCACCACTGTCACCACCAAACCAGACATTTCCCCAGGTCACGACTGATCCCTCGGCAAGAATGGCAGCCATAGCTTCGTGACTGGCTTGGATGTGCTGCACATTCTTCAACTGATGCTGCACGCCACTGCTATAAGCACCGCCACTAGCCTCACCCCAAGTCACGACAGATCGGTCACCTAGGATAGCAGCAAAAGACCCGACATCGGCTCGGATCTGCTGCACAGTCTTCAACTGATCTCGCACGGCGCTGCTGTCACCACCATCGCGAGCATCGCCCCAGGTGACGACAGATCCGTCGCCAAGAAGGGCAGCGAAAGCACCCTCAGAGGCTTGGATCTGCCGCACATTCCTCAGCTGATCCTGCACCGCACTACTGTCACCACCAAACTTAGCTGGACCCCATGTCTCGACGGATCCATCGCCCAGAATGGCAGCAAATGCGTACCCATTGGCTTGAACTTCAACTCGACTTAGATGTAAAACAAGTGAGTCACCATTCTGGAGCCGGGCACACTTGACCGGTGCACATACATCCAGAACGCCTCCAGATTTGTCCACCAGCCGCCCTTTACCCACTTCGAGGGCCGTCTCCGCCCGCCGTTTCAGTGTTCCCACTTTTTCAGTTAAGTCGGCTTTCACAGTAGCTGTCCTGCCACTGAGCAGCCCGACTTCCACAGTGATCGACATATCGCACGGGCGCAAAGACCCCGAAATCCAAAAGCCGGCTTTGGGGTTCAGGGCATCTTATTTCTGAGTGCAGGATATTGTCTATAAGCCATAAGGAAGCCATAGTTGGGACAGGAAGTGTTTGAGTGAGAGTGAGATCTCGTGCAAGGTTCATGGCTGGCTAATGTGAGTATACCAAAATATACCGTTTTTCCTTTATTTATGCATTTAGATGCTTATACTTTATATATATATATATCATCGTACAAGTATATGGAGGCTGTCAGGGAATGCTGTTACTAATTCTCAAGCCCCTCCATTCGGATCGGCTTGGCCATATAGGGTTCTACTACACTGTGATCCAATGTATCGGCCATGCGGAGCGAGTTGGGTCTTAAGGTTCAGCTGGGGCATCATCGCCTCGACAGTTCGGGTGTACACGCAGTCTTGTCGGCGAGATATTGTGCTGACGAGAGTGATTCGTCTCAAAACACTGGCAGCCGCTTGTACTAGCAGACATCGGCACTGGCTGAGGTGCATGCGTTACCTGGGGTGTCAAGGCCCACACCGGAGACCCCAACAGAAGCCGGACCACCTGGCCGGTGCGTCATCCGCGCCGCCAGCCGCGAGGAGCTCCAGGGCAGCGCGGCGATGCCGCTTTGGTACTTCGCGCGCTGGACAGCCTCGCAACTTGGTGTCATAGTGCAGTCCAAGCCGTAAGGTGCCTTCGGGGGTGGCTACCCGTTCAGCGAGGGCTGGATCGCTCGTTTTAAGTTCCCTACGTCTCGGACCTCAAGAGCTCAGTCGCCTGCATCACGAGAGCGAAAACATGGCACGTCTGTGCGAGCAAGCACGTCTGTGCGAGCAAGCAGCTCATTTGCAGCACACTGGCCTCGACAGCTACTTTTCGTGACCGCCCTGTTTCGTATGGAAACCTTTGCAAGAACTTCTTCGACCAGCAAGTCACCTAATTACACACATCAAGACGTTTCGTGCTGTGGCTATGAACCCAAAGGCCTTGGCTGCATCCATGGCGGCACGGGAAGCCACCGCAAGGGCATCGGCCTGAGCCAGGAGACCTTGCCACACAGTAGCGAAAGAAGCGGAAGGGAGAAGCGGAAGGGAGGGTTGTGACAGCTCGAGGATGTTTGAACCCGAAAGCTCCCGAGCCTCCCAAACCACCAAACGTTGCAAGATGCCGCTGACAAGGCGCGGTGATATGGTGCTGCCAGGAAAGGTTATATCAAAACATATCACTGCAATGCCAAGGGGCGGCTTACGGTCGGACATGCACGCAAAAACAAAAGTCTCTCAGGGTGATGCGGGAGTTGCTTTCGGTTGGCTGCAGCTGCCCGTGAGCTGTCTGCATCTGGGTCCCGTTCTCCTGTGGCCGAAGCTGCGACAGTGGCCAAGTCGACACTCCGAAAGATTCCCTGTTTGAATGGCATCTTATGTTGCAGAGCCGTATGCCGCCCGGCCCACGGGTTTTGGCTGCCAGTGCTAAACTCGTGGAAACTCTTGGGGCTGTCTGTGTGCCCATTTTCGGCATGGCTTGTTATGGATCTGGGCTCCTCGCCTTAGGTTTTCGGATCTTTGGGGGGCATGATCTCCCGAACACCACCGTCCTCTGCCGATCTGTCCCCAGTAAATATGTCGTACGGAAACAACAGTAAGGCATCACTTTGCGGCTCAAGCAATCCGACAGTTCTGCTGGAATGCAGGGAAGCAAGAGAACCCGATAAGAAAAAGAACATCATCGTAAAACCATGCAAGATGACAAGCTGTCACGACTGGCTTTAAGCAATCATTCAAGCCGCCAAGAACATCAGCGCAAAAAATGAGAAACCGCTGCACCGGACTACAAACGGAAACAATGCCATACCTGTTTTGCGCAGGAGGCAGCCGTCCTCCTTCCCAGCTCTGACCACGGTGGCGGGTTCCTCATCTTCTGGCCGGCTGCAGAAACGAAACGCAGTTTTGGAACTTACCTTATTTGGGGGGTCCTTATAATAAGGATCCTACTACTAGGATACCATATAAGGGCCCCCTATTTTCGTGCAGGGTGTCTTTGACAGACCCACCAACTCTGACTGTGGTTTGAGGGCGGGGGTGACCATAAGGGAACACTACCCGTCTTTTTTCAGACCCCTTTTGAACCCATACTGAGGCCGAGCCGTCTGACGGGAGAGACGTGACTTGAATCAAACTCGAGATCCCAGAGGTCGGACATAAGATACTGAATCTGCAAAACCCACCACTATAAACCCTTGTCAGCACGGGCTCTGCGTATGTGCCGACAAGCTGGAATCTTACGGTCTTCATAAGACACCAGCATACTTGAAACTCCCATAAACCCTAAGCTTACCTTTGGTTAGCTGGGAATGGAGGAATGGGGTGCAATTATAACTACTGTTACTACCATTCTTCCATTCCGCACTAACCAAAGGTAAGTAAGCCCTCAACCCCAAGCCCGTATCACGGTATGCGAGACTCCGAGTCTGCAGATTGCTTGCCCTGCTCGAGGGTATCCACCAAACGGCCCCGGAGCTCGGCCACTAACTCCCAGGCCACCTGCATGCTTCGATGCGAGAATTTCCGAAAATTAGGGGTACCTTATTTTAGGATCCTTATGAGAAGGATCCTAGTATTTAGAGTACTATATTAGGGTCCCCAATTTTCGGAACCTCCCCATGTATGTAATTGCTTCACCATCTATCCGATCCATCCTGTCAACGGTAGTTTAAGTATTACATGCATAGTAGATGTGGGACATGTGTATGCGCATAGTATCTTGTCATTAACGCCTTTTCACGCACGCGTATGTAGTAGGCCCGGGCCATGTAGACAAATACAGATTCTCCCACCTTGCTCCATAGATGCCTCTCTAGATGCTCTTCGTGGGCTATGAAGATTTCTTCCCCTAAACCCTAAACCCTAAGGGAGTCCAGCCGCCCCCCCCTAAGGAGCGCCTCCAGCTGGTTCTCCATGGCCGCCTTCTGCTGGCAAGACCTTACTTAAAGGATCATGGGACTTAGTAATTGGGGTTATAAATAAGGTAAGAATACTTATCATTACTTATAACCCCGATTAAGGTACTTATTGCCTTACTTACTAAGTCCCATGATCCTCCAAGTGCTCAGCGGCCCCAGCCCTCCCCAGCTTCCTTCACCTTACAGCACATGCACACGTCGTCAAGGCGGTGTGTGGCTCGAAAATGGTCGCAGATGAGCGGCACATCGAGCTGCCTGGACATCAACGGCTACAGGAAGCCAAAGCACGGTTGCCCCACACTTGCTCCGGATTTTTAAAATGACCGAAAGCCCGCGCAGTCCTCTAGTTCTTAGCAGAAGCGGGCACAGGCTTTTTGTGTCGCGGAGGCATTGGAACACGGCGGGGGGGCGGAGGCAAATCATACAAAGACTTGTAAACCAGGCTTGCCCTCGTGTAAATTCTGCCATCAGAGCCAAAGGAGGAACCTCTTGACTACCCAAACTATAAGCCATCTTGAGGCCTGTGCTCTAAAAGCCCTTCGACAAGATGGATGACTTCTCGCTCAAGCAATCACGGCTGAGAGGCGATAAGTCCAAAAACGACTAGCCTGCTACAGGGACATGCAGTAGCCCAGCAAACAAAAGTTGACCGAGTAAATTTTGAACAGTACTGAAGATCCTAAAGCTTGCATCACCCATTGAAACACCGTTTACAGCCACTGCACATCCTCACGACAGCCTCACCGAGGTGCCTCAGCATTTCCAAAAGCATCGCTTAGCCCAGGCAATGAGGCTACAAAGAACCCCCCACCTTTGCAGCTCCACCATCTCGACATCGGGCCGCCGGGGCTCTTCTGGCGTGGCTTCCTTTGCTCGGCTAAGCGGTCACAAGTTAAAGAAAGGTTGGACCAGATCCAACAAACGGGTTTCTTAATCAGTTCTGTGCTGGCGCCCACGAAGAGTCGACAACTTGGACTTGGAGCTGAATAAATCGAAATCAAAAGACAAGCCCGTCGGTCGGCACATAATTAATGCACTGAGTAGACCAACAGGCTTGGGCCACCTGTGCCTCAAACTCAAGCCCGTCTGAAGCTGAAAGGTGACTACATTCATCAGCCTTTCCGCCTCGGTAACCATCCCGTTCCATGTGTGTGTGTGTGTCATCATTACACGAGCAGCATGCTCATCCTTCTTCAAGCTGCCATCTACCCTCCGCCTTCCCTTGTCAGCTCATGATCTGAAGCCCAAGCCCTGCTCCCACGCAGAAAACCCTTCCAGGACATCAAACTCGCCGGCCACGGGACAGGCTCTGACCGCACCAGGCCAGGATCCTGAGACGGCAGAAGGCCCACCTACTGTTACTGCAGGGTGTCTAGGAGTTGCCGAAGATTCGGGGTACCTTATTTTGGGATCCTTATAATAAGGATCCTACTATCTAGGGTACAATATTAGGGTCCCCTATTCTTGGAAACTCCCATCTAGGCAAGCATCCCACAAGGAACATCCGAACCGGCGTCATCGAAGCACCCATCATCATTGTGATTCTTAGATGTTCTTACGACTTACAATCGTCGCGCAGTATACTTGCCATCAATACAGCAATGCAGCCCTGCAAACTGCAAAGCGATTCGGAGAACTTGGGACTGGTAAGAACGTCAACATTTCGAGTGCTGTGGCAATCGCAAATGTTCTCATGGAATACAGGGTGGGTGCAGTTGAAGGTGCACAACCGCTTCTCTGACGATGTCATCTATTCGACCATTCTGCCACCAATATGTGGGGGGGTGCCGCATTCTGTCATCCACTTGGGGCCAGGTCGCAGCGGAATCTTCTTGCTTTTCGGCGGCTTTGCGAGGTGTGCGCGGCTCCTTCGTGCCCGGCACACTTGCCAACGTGGTAGGAAGTATCCATATGCGAGGAAGGGAAGCAGTGCGTTACTTACATAAGTAGTTGACCAAGTACTTTCGCACACACCGCTCCAAAGAAACATGCAGTTGTAGCCGTAGCCACTATGATTGCAGTAGCAGGAGCAGCAGTACTAGCAGTAAATATCGCTATTGTTGTCCTCAGCGTTGTTGTTATTGCCAGGTTCGTGACAACATAGTGGCACTGGCAGAAGCAACAGCAGTAGCAGCAGTAGTCGTCGTCGCAGTCGTTGCCACCGTCTCGTGGTTGCCGTCGTAAACATAGTAGTCTTCGCAGCCGTCGTCGCTGCCGCTGTAGTCGCAGTAGTAGCGGCAGTAGTAGCAGGAGCAGGAGCAGGAGCAACTGGTATTAGTAGTAGTAGTAGTAGTAGTAGTAGTAGTAGTAGTAGTAGTAGCAGCAGTAGCAGTAGCAGTAGCCAGTAGCCAGTAGCCAGTAGCAAGTAGCAAGTAGCAAGTAGCAGTAGCAGTAGCAGTAGCAGTAGCAGTAGCAGTAGCAGTAGCAGTAGCAGTAGCAGTAGCAGCAGCAGCAGCAGTAGCAGCAGCAGCAGCAGGAGCAGGAGCAGCAGGAGCAGGAGCAGAGCAGGAGCAGAGCAGGAGCAGGCAGCAGCAGGAGCAGGCAGCAGCAGCAGCAGCAGCAGTGCAGTAGGAGTAGGAGTAGAGAGTAGGAGTAGGAGTAGGAGTAGGAGTAGGAGTAGGAGTAGTAGTAGTAGTAGGAGTAGTAGTAGTAGTAGTAGTAGTAGTAGTAGTAGTAGTAGTAGTAGTAGTAGTAGTAGTAGTAGTGTAGTAGTAGTAGAAGTAGTAGTCGTAGTGGTGGTGGTAGTGGTAGTGGTAGTGGTAGTGGAAGTGGGAGTGGTAGTGGTAAAGGTAGTAGGTAGTGGTAGTGGCAGTGGTAGCGGTAGCGGCAGTGGTAGCGGCAGTGGTGGTGGTGGTGGTGGTGGTGGTGGTGGTGGTGGTGGTGGTGGTGGTGGTGGTGGTGGTGGTGGTCGTGGGTGGTGGCGGCGGCGGCGGCGGTGGTGGTGGTGTTTCTGGTGACCTTCTACAACCGAGTATATGACCGACCATAGTACCAAAATACTCAATACAAGAACCTACCAAGCCCGCGCCTGCTTCTGGGCACCCTTCCTGGGCAGCGACAAGTCATTTTAGTTTGCTGGTGGCCCGAACACATGCTATCGTTTTGATGCTCAGTGGAGCCATGCTCAAGCTATGACAAGTGATACCAAGCCAGGCACTAGTCTTGATCGTTTCCTTGCCTCCCGTCCAAAAAAAAAACGTCTGCATGACAGTGGGGCGAGTGACGGCGGGTGTTTGGGGAAAGGGGTTCAATTTGACCAAGACTCTCGACACCGAACCTCAAGGTCATCCTCCTGCATCAAAGACACGAGCAGTGAGGACTAGTTCAGTGGCATTGTGGCGGCTGGTCAAGTCACAACAACTTCACAGCACCACAAGCTCAGCACGCTTGAAAACCACGTTCTCTGATGCTCTTGGCACTCACACTCAGACAGCCTGGCAAGGACACTCATCGCCCAAAATGCCCCACTGAGATCCACGACACTAAGCCTCGAACCTGCACTTTCTAAGCCATCTGCCAGGAGATCCAAGACTTGCGAGATTGGATGCAGCATCGAACGGTCAAATCCCTGAAACAAGAACTTCGAACCACCTCGACGAAGCCGCCGAGTGCGGCCTCAGGTAGGCTTTGGACGTGTGGCGTTTACGATTGAGGATTTAGGGGTGCTAAGGCTCTCAGCACTCGAACTCCGGCCGAAGGTCTAATCCGATTCTGTCTGAGCCCCACCAGCCAGGAAAGCCCAAATCTAGGGTCGGGTGATAAGCCGCCATGGATCGTGATGCTGCCTCGGCCTTTCGAGTCCTTGCGCCCACTCCCAACCACGTTCTGCCTCAGTGCTGCTTTCAACGCTGATGGGATCGGGGCACAGGTATATTCCAAACCCGAAGAGTGCCCACAGACACGCATGTGAGTGTCTGATGTTTTGTCAAGTATTGGTTTGCGGGTGTTTACCTTCTGCCTGTTCTCTTGAGACCGCATCTTCTGGATTTCATTTGTTTGGCCAAAAGCATCCCGCCAAAGATGCTGTGTCCCCGCGATCAACTGCAAAGAGAGCAATCCGAGTCACAAACCAAATATTGCAGAAGGATGGTGCCCGCAGGCCTATAGGCTGCCTTTAGGTTCAAGGACTAAGCAGATTCGTTTCTCCGAACACCTGGCCAGTCTTTGCAAACCTGTCCGGGATCGAACTCCAGCCCTATGGCCCTCTGTTGAAACCCTCTCAGCCCTGGGGCTGCGGCTTGTCAAGCACAATTGTTGTCCTGCAAGGAAACCGGACAATGCACCCAACTGCAGCGAAACACACAGCTTTCGATCAAGATATCAAAACCCGCCCAGCTGTGACAAAAGATATCATGGCATGCAAGGCTCAGCAAATCGCAGCAAGTCGTCCCAACACTGCCTCTCCGAGTTCGATATTGAACGAGAACCAATTCGACAACAACTTGCTCTTCCTGAGACCTCGCATCCGGAGACCTGTATCACACACCTCCCGGCTCATACGCTCGACCTAAGCCCTAAACATCCCTTTATGAACGAGGTCTCCCTGAAGTGCCTCCAAGTTGCCTGCCTCAGCGATGGCTCGTGCATCACAATTCATGAAACGCGCCAGACCATAACATATCCTAAACATCCCTTTTGCAAGCCAGTGAACCCTGAACATCCCTGAACCCAGGGCCCCCAAAACCCTGAACCCAGGGCCCCCAAAAAGTCTCCCGACCAGCCTCATCCGGCCAGTGGGGGTTTTCACCAAAGCCGCCCGGCCAGTAGAAGCCTTACCTCGGCAGCTTTGGGGATGATAAGAATGAGCATAATAGCAATCATCATCATCATAATACTATACTTATAAGAAATATGGATAATTATATTTAATGTTATTATGGTCGTAAGAATAACTATACTATAATATATAATATTGTATATATCACAATATCATTATTAACAATGGCCGCAAGCCAAGAAGAAGAAAGAGGCAACTTTGCGCTCCCGTAGTTGCGCGAACTCTAAGAAGGGATGCTCCTTCCTTGTCGAGGGGAGCCTGCAACACCTAAATCCACTTGGGACTTTCCGACAATTAGGGGTACCATATTTGAGGGTCCTTATAATAAGGAGCCTACCATTTGGGGTACTATATTAGGGTCCCCTATTTTCGGAAACTCCCACTTAAACACTTGGGAGATGCCCATCGCCAGCCAGAGTTCAAAGAATTGTAATGAGCTATGTGGATACACCTAAGAAGGCAGAGGCCTCAATTCCTCAAAGTGCATGAGGCACTTTCGAGGCTCGAGCTTTGAACCCTGGCCGTCCCGATTACCTCCGGACGGATCGCCCTTCACTCGTCTGGACAGCTGTTCCTGGAGGGCGATGCAAAGCCTTCACATATAAGAATTCAAAAGTTCAAAGCGTACAACCTTGGACCGGACGAAGGCCAGGGCAAAGACAAGTGGCGTGCTGATACGCGGTGACGTGGTGCCACGCTTCTCCTTGCCTCACCATCCTGTACCTTCGTCCCAAGTCGAGGGCAAGAAAAGATGACGCAGCTGCCTGTCATCATCAGCTCGTCGCGACCTTTGCTGCCAGGTCCGTGTAGTCTTCCACTTGGTCAAAGTTCAAGTACTTATAGATTTGGGCCTCGTTCTTGCCCAGCTCTGTGTGGTATTTCAGGTACTCTTCTGTCGTTGGGAGTCTTCCCAGCATGGCCGACACTGCAGCAAGCTCTGCGGAGGCCAGGTAGACGTTTGCACCCTTGCCGAGGCGGTTCGGGAAGTTGCGAGTGGAGGTGGACACCACTGTGCAGCCGTCTGCAACACGGGCCTGGTTTCCCATACACAGCGAGCAACCCGGCATCTCAGTTCGAGCCCCAACCTTGCCATAGATCGCGTAGAAGCCCTCCTTGGTCAGCTGCTCCTGATCCATTTTGGTCGGAGGTGCTATCCACAGCCGGGTGGGGAGTTGTTTCTCGCATTGCGCCAGCATCTTGCCCGCCGCGCGGTAGTGGCCGATGTTAGTCATGCAAGAGCCAATGAAAACCTCGTCGATCTTGGCACCTTGCACTGCGGAAAGCGTCTTGGCATCATCGGGGTCATTTGGGCAGCAAAGAATGGGCTCTCTGATCTCGTCCATGTTGATCTCAAGAACAGCAGCATACTCGGCATCCTTGTCTGCCTCCATGAGCTGTGGGTTTGCCAGCCAGGCCTCCATCTTGGCAACGCGCCGTGCGAGAGTTCGCGGATCACTGTAGCCTTTGGCGATCATCCATTTCAGGAGGACGATGTTCGACTTCAGGTACTCGATGACAGGCTCCTTGTGGAGTTTGATGGTGCAGCCAGCCGCAGAGCGCTCGGCGGAGGCGTCTGAAAGTTCAAAGGCCTGTTCGCACTTCAGATCTGGCAGCCCTTCAATCTCCAACACACGGCCGTTGAATACGTTTACCTTGCCTTTCTTTTCAACCGTCAAGAGGCCTTTCTTAATGGCAAAGTATGGGATCGCGTGCACCAGATCTCTAAGTGTGACGCCTGGCTGCATCTTTCCGCTGAAGCGGACGAGAACGCTCTCGGGCATGTCAAGAGGCATCACCCCCGTGGCAGCCGCAAAGGCGACGAGGCCCGAGCCGGCCGGGAAAGAGATGCCCAGGGGAAAGCGCGTGTGCGAGTCGCCACCCGTTCCAACCTGGTCCGGTAGCAACATCCGGTTTAACCACGAGTGGATGATGCCATCGCCCGGCCGCAGGGCCACGCCACCGCGGTCAGCAATGAACTTCGGCAGCGTCTGGTGCGTGGTGACGTCGACTGGCTTGGGGTAGGCTGCGGTGTGGCAGAAAGACTGCATTGTCAGATCTGCGGAGAAGCCGAGGCAGGCAAGATCCTTGAGCTCGTCTCGGGTCATGGGGCCAGTCGTGTCCTGGGACCCCACGGCGCCCATGCTGGGCTCACAGTAGGCGCCGGGCACCACGCCAGCCACACCACAGGCCTTACCCACGAGCCTCTGGGCGAGAGTGTAGCCTTTTACTTTCACGTCCGGCTGCTTCATGGACCTGAAAGCTTGGGAGGGCTCCAACTTCAGTGCTTCCCTGGCCTTTCCTGTCAGCCCTCGCCCGATGATCAGAGGAATGCGCCCTCCAGCCTGTACTTCATCGTGCAAGACCTCTGATTTCAAGGAGAACTTCGACACGATCGTGTCAGTGCCATGTTTCTTGACGACTCCCTCTCTGAAGCAGACATCAACAACATCCCCCATATTCATGTCCTTCACGTCCATCTCAACTGGTAGCGCACCCGAGTCCTCCATGGTGTTGAAGAAAATTGGAGCAATCACAGTCCCGAAGACGAATCCACCGGTCCTCTTGTTGGGTGTGAAAGGGATGTCGTCGCCCATGTACCACAAGATGGAATTTGTCGCTGACTTTCTGGAGGAGCCTGTTCCTACGACGTCCCCCACGTAGACCAAAGGGAAGCCCTTCTTTTTCAGTTCGGCGATCTGGTTTGGGGCATCCGTGATGCCTTCCCGCGGGAACTTGAGCATGGCCAGGGCGTGCAAAGGAATGTCAGGTCTGGACCAGGCGTCGGGTGCCGGGGAGAGGTCATCCGTGTTCGTCTCGCCCGCGACTTTGAAGACCGTCAAGGTGACCTTGTCTGGGATGCCCTTCCTGCGGCTGAACCACTCAGCCTTTGCCCAGGACTCCATCAACTTCTTTGCAAAGACGTTTCCCGCCTTCATCTTGTCTTCGACGTCATAGAAAGCATCAAACATGAGCAGGGTGCGCGACAAACCTATCACAGCCAACTCGGCGAGCTCCGGATCGAGGTCCAGGGCCTCCACCAAAGGCTGCACATTGTAGCCTCCCTGCATCCACCCAAGCATCTCCACCGCCTGTGCCTTGGTGATGACTGGGCTTCTCTCCACACCGACCACGATCCTCCGCAAGAAGTTGGCCTTGACGTAGCTGGCGTCGTCCACCCCTGGTGGAACACGGCTCCGCAGCAGCTCCGAAAGGAATGTCTCCTGGCCTGTCGGAGGGGCCTTCAGCAGCTCCACCACACACTGCACCTGCTTTGCATCCAAAGGCAGCGGCGGAATGCCCTGCGCCTCTCGATCCTTGACGTGAGCCTCGTAAGTGGTTTTGAAGCCTTCTACATCTTTGGGTGCGATCTTGGGCAGCTTAACGGTGATTGACGTGCTTGCCGAGGCAGCACCTGGATAGCCCGTGTCCTCGATGTCCTGCATGATGCCCACGCCTTCTTTCACTTCTCGAGGGGACAGCAGATGCCGATTAAGTCAGAGCTTCAGCCAAAATGGCTAGGGGTTGCAACAGAGCCTGGCACAAAGCTTCGAAGGAGCAGGGTCAAGGTCTGTGAAGTGCGCAAGGTCATTTGCAAAATCGCTCAACTGGGTGAAGACTCTGTCAATGCCTCCGCTGCTAGTTAGCGATGCTAGCAATGGCCTCAAACACCATCTTACTTGTAGTTGGTTGGCTTCATCCGAAAGACATATCGCGGCAAAAACATCTCTGTAGGATAATTGGAGTCTTCCTGTGCCTTCCAGCGGCGTTCCCGCTTTCCGGCACTGACGCAGGACTTCCAGAGCCTCAGCGAAGCTGAAACTGCTGCCAACGGGTTTGCAGAGAAGTCATCGGCAGATCACGCACATAAGTCACATGCAGCTCGTTGTAAGGAGAGAAATAGACGGTTATCGGAGCTTCTATCAGGAATCCCGGCCCCGTTGCTGCTGCCGGGGAGCCCGAAAATGAGGCGACGGAGCGAGTCCTCGGAGTTCATCATCCTGCAAGGGGTGGCACCACGCAGACCCATGACAGCCATGGGCAAATCGTTGCATTCCCTGTCCCGGCGCCCGCCGCAACGAGGGCACAAACTGGAGTGGTGTATTGTAGGCAAGACTGCTGCAATGGGTCAGGTGCTTCTAGAGCCTCGCGGGTCCATGATGACCCAATCCCAACACTGCAAAAACGATTTGGCTTTCTCAGCCCTTGCCTGGCCACAGCTGTACGGGCATTCACCGAGCCTTTTCACTAGCTGCTGCCTTGAAGGTGTTTCTGCCATCTAAAGTGTACGGACACTTTAAGCGGGGTAGGCAAAGAATCAGGTACTCGTAGGAGGTCCTCAGCATCAGCGGCTGCGACTCTTGCGAGGCCTTGAAGGCCTTCTCTGCCTCCAGGACCACACTCCTTGGCTTTGGTTACACACAAAGCAGATGTGAGAAACTCGGCACTCTGCACAGAAGCTTCGAACTCCACCCTGACGCGACCCAAGGCATTATGCCTTGGGTCACGTCAGGGTATGATATGTATCAGATTCCCACCAGGCGTGGCTTCTCAATTTCGCAAGACAGGTGTCTCCAGGTGCCGCATCCGCTGGAAGATCTCGGCCGCCTCTGCCTCGTGTTTTAAAGTTGGTTCTCTGCAAGTCCTTTCGTTTCGGCCCTACGGCTTTCGAATTCCGAATAGAGCTGCCCTGCGTTTGTATAGCTCGATAAGGTGAGTGCGACAGGCAAGGGCCAGTGAAACTTGTTTTCGATGCCATCTGCCTCGTGCCAGGGGTCCTCGAGCGGATTGAGCTCTTCCACTGCACCTTTGCCATGCTCACGTTTCACAACACTTGGGTTTGGCAAGCAGCCTCCTCCAACCGCATCCAACAACAACCATGGCCACCACCGGGCTACCACCGCCAATGCTAGCGAACGCACCACACCACCGCCACCACCGCCACCGCCGAGCGCGACGCGACTTCTTCATGTGGTGCTACTCACAGCTAGCCCGCTAACAGAAACAGTTGCAAAACCTCAAAGCGACACACGAACCGGAACCAAAAACATATACACACACAGAGACTCTCATGAAACTCGCACAGCTTCAGTGCCCTCGAGTATCGGACAATCCCGAAAAGAGCGGCCACGCCGAGATTAGGCGTTCAAAAATTTCCCGTCATCCAGAAAGACTGATGGGGCGAAGACCCAAGCTGCATCTTCCAGGCACAGACTAAAACTCTCGAACCTGCAAGCTGGGTGGCTGCTGTCCTTCTGCCGCCAGTAGTCTCGCATGCGCTCCAGCCGTTCTGCCAGCTGGCTTACAGACCAAATGTACCTGCGGGCGGAGGCTCCATCTCTTCACGTAGAGAAGAGCTTTGCCCCTTTTCAGCACGGACTGAGGTGCCGGCAAGTGCCCACAAACCCTAAACTTAAACCCTAAACCCGAACCAGCTTCTTGCAGGGCACTTGTTCTTCCAATGCTCCTCGTTAGCCCGAGCAGGACCATCTTCACATTCACACTGCAGAACGCGGATGGCAACACACCTCGGTTCGGCTGAGCCGAACTTGGCCAGTCTGTCGGCCGACGAGTCACTAGGTGTGCGGGAGCAGACAAGAAAATTGTAGATGTTGTTGCAGCACAAGCCGACACAAAAAACATATTCCCAGCACCACCCCTCTCAGCAAAGGAGCGGAGGGATACTGCTGGTTAAGTCCACCTCGAAGTGCAACGCGTCGGATCCGGATCGACATGCCGTCGTCACTTCGTTTGCCTATCGGACACATGGGACCCGAACAGTCTTCCAGTTCAGCTTTCGGGCGAAGACGGGCAACCGTGTGAGATCTCGAATCTACTGACCGGCAACTCCAAGCTTCCATGTCGCGCCTCGTCCGTCAGGCGACAGGCTTGCCTGAAGCTACTCAGCTACCGGACTCCCGTGCGACGGCAGGCGCTTGTAAGCTGTGCTCATGCAGCAAAGTGGCTTGATCTCCTCCATCAAAGCAGCCGCCATCGGCGCCGACCTGGCGTCACGATTGCGCCGTCTCCGACTGCTTCGCTCCTTACCCTGATGCACTTTATCAATAAGCATGGCTGATGCAGTCATGGCTCATCTGACGGACGACTTGCCCCACGTAGTCTTGAAGGCTCTTCCAGGATGGCGAGTTCTCCAGCCTTGCTCTGCCCGCCCTACTGGACCCTAAACCCTGAGGCTCTGACAGGTCGGACTCTTGAATCGCACTGTCCATCGCTTCACTGATCCATCACATGATGGTCTTTAAAAAAGAAGAAGAGTTTTGTTCATAGAAAATGGTGTTTAAACACCCTCTTCGGTTCACCCATCTATGGCCCCAGGGCCGCCGGGCAGCTCCGTGGTGTCCGTTTCATCGCGCTGCAGCACCAGGTCATCCTGCGAGGCGGGAGCCAAGCCAAGCGCTCCACGCGAAGAGCCCATAATCGATTGAGGCGATTGCAGGTGCCTGAATAGTTAGAATATGGGTTCCTGAAAAGGGATCTATAAGGGATAGTATAAGGGTACTATGCTGTAGAGGCTTTAATAATTAGAATAGGGTTTTGGTGGTTCCTGGTTACACTCATGGTATGATATACCCATAAACCCCATTCAAATTGTTGCGGCCCGTATATTACAAGCCTTGACACCTGCTCGACTTTCAACAAGCCTTGGGGACGGATGCTTGAAACCTCGCTGTCCTGCAGAGGGGCAGCGCCGCCCTCACCAGGACAAACGAGCCTTTGCAGGCGACATCCATGCGAAGCTTTACCGGATGACGCTCATGTACATTCAATTGAGAGCTCGGTCCTGCACAGACTACCGTGATTCAACACGAAGGAATTCTGGCCGAGGATGAGGTCTTTTCTGGAGGTCTTTTCTGGTGGACACTTCAAGCCAAGACTCGTATGCAGCCACGTACGGATTGGGGTGAGGCGTCTCTACAGCCTACAGGTTACGCTTTTCGGGCTCTAAACCCCATTTGCGGCGAAATGGGTCGGCAGTGCCACATTTTACGACGGTCCGCTCATGCCACTTTAGTGCACATCTTTGGGTTTCATAGACGACGGCTCCTGAGAGCCGGATACACAGTCTTGCCAGGAAGCTTCAGGACATAGGTGCGGCCCAGCGAGATGCGATCACCTTAGCTTTGCAGGAGAAATCCCAACCGCAGACGGTGGCGATGTTGGTGTCAATCACAGTAGACTCGGCATGCCAAGATGCCGTCTTGCAGTTCCCGCATCTGGTTCTGCTCGAGCAGCTTGCCTTTCAAGGCACGTCCAACAATCAATCACGTCAAGGTCGTTCACCCTCGCCCTATGTATTCATTCCGGCGTGTCAGCAGCTGTCCCCCGCGTCTCACCTTGCGATCTTCCATGTGTGGACCCTGAGGCGCGCGCCATTCACGAACACTCTCGTCCCATCAGAGAGGCGCGTGAGGCTCAGCCCCCCTGCCTGGGTTCACGGCTTCTTGCGCTCCACCGGAAAAAGAAGTGCACTCAAGTTCCCGAAGACTTGAGGAATACCCCTAAATAACAGCATCATGTCTGCAAGTATGCCCTTCAAGCTGAGTGCGTCTTCCCGGCCTCTAAGACATCGATGCGGCACAGGAAGTCCGGCATCCCCAGACCTGCGTAGGTGCAAGGTGTGGGCGCAGGTGAGGCCCCCCCTCGCCGGAGTCTTTTTGCGGCTGCCAAGACCCTCCAACCAGCCTCCAACCTATACCAAACAGACCATTTCGGATTGCTTCAGGTGGCATCGATTGACGTCCTGACCCTGCATCGCCGGCGCCTTTCAAGACGATGGTGTTGTCCTTGTTGGCGCCCATGGTTGTCGGCTTGCTTTCCTGCGTGGTCACACCCTTCTCCGACCGCCACGAGACGCAGGACCCATCTGTCCACACATCAGGATCGGGCAATGCTTAGCCTTGTGCAAACTCCTACTGAGAGACATTCGTCTCGCCGATGCCTGGATCAAGTAGATGAGGCATCCAGCCAGCATAGGGTCAAAGGCCATGTTCACCATGTAGGGCTGGCCGTTGCTGATTCCGAAAGCCTCATAGTCACATCAGCTCGCGGCCAACTCCAAACAGGACAAGGGTCTCATGCTGGCCCCAAGAATTTCAACAAATCCTTTTTCGATGGGCTAAGTTCCCTTGCAAGCCTCACTGCAACTCAAAATCCTGCCAGAAAGCGCCCTCCACCTAAGCTCCATCCATCCATCTATCCATCTTTAAAAGAAAGGTGTACCTCTGTACATACAACTGTGTATACAGATCTTGCATGGATTCCCCCCCCCCTTCCCTACCCTACTATAGGGGCCTTAACACTTAGAATAGGGCTTTGGGGCCCATTAATAAGGCCCCCCCCCTCGTTTAACGCCTCGGTGATGTGGCCGTGGGAGAGGCCGCTCTCCTCCAAGGCTTTCTCCCGCGCGCGGCTCATCTCCCGAGCGGCCTGCAAGGAGAGCTCCGGGGCTCCGAATATCCCTTAAGGAATCTGCCCAAAAAAGGATTCTATAAGGGGTCCTTAAAGGGATCTACAAGGGTTCTATAAGGGAATCAAGGAATATGCCTTAAATTCTAGTAGGATCCCTAATATGATTTGAAGACAATTCCTTAATTAAGCCTTAATTAGGGGATATTGGAGCCTCTGGGGAGCACTCGGACGCAGCCCCACGAGGTCTCTTGGTTCGCATAACTAATAGAGGTGGGCTTTCGGCACTCACACTCGGACAACCCAGGGGAGGCATGTGGTTCGAGGTGGGCTTTAGGGTTCAGGGTGGGCTGGGGCTTGTGGCTTTTGCTGTGAATGTCCGTTTTGTCATCTGCTTTTGTCATCGGCAGGAGTTCAGAAAAACGGGGATTTCGGCTTTGGCTTTTTCGGCTCTTTTAGGGTTCAGGCTTGTCGGAACAGCTTCTTTCAGGTGCGCTTAGAAACCCGAATCGCCCCCCATGGCCCCGCGATGTCGGGCTGGCGCTTGGCAGTTCCGGTCCCGGGTTTGGCCTTCAGCTCCTCCTGGAAGTCTTGCTGCGTCTGCTCCTGGCAGATGATGAACATTTTACTTCCAGGCTACTGCATAGTATAGTATATTATAGTACAGTATAGTAAGTATAGTACAGCTTATCAGTTCATTATAATATATTGAAGAGAGCCGGCAAAGGCTCTGATGCGCTGGTGCCCTGCAGTCCTTGATGAGTCTCTCCCGCTCCTTCAACTGCTCTGATGCTTCGGCGACCTGGAAGCCGTGAGGTGAGGGGATGCCGGAGGCAGAGAACTTGTGAATGTGAACTAACAGTACCTCAATATGTGCAGATATGTGCAGCAGAGTGTCGTTGAGACCTCCGGCAGCCATCTGTGCCTTCAGAAGCCGCATCTCCTGGCAATCAAGAAAGGGAACCTCGTTCGGCCACTCGATGAGGGATTCTGCGCACCGCGCCTGCTGCAAGTTATCGATGAGTTGATCCTTCTTGTTCTTGTTTTGAACAGCCACTGTCTTGATGCTTTTGACCTCAGGGAGAGTTCAGAGGGAGGGCCGTCACAGGCTGTTGGAAATGCTGCGGCCGCTGATGTCGGGCTCCGACCGACGAGGCGAATCTCAGTGTCGAGACTGTCTCATCGTAGTTGTCCTCGGCTGCAGCAGTGTCGCCCAGCAAACTAAGCTGTACGACTGTACTGAGCAGCTTCATTCCGTGCAGATGAGGGTCGCTGGCGGGTGAAACCGTGGCCATCATGCCTGGCTGCAGACTGTGGCGAGCACGAAAGGCATGCCGGCAAAAGACAGATAGCTGAACTACCCAGAACTCTCAATGAAGTAAAGCGGCAGGTCTTGGAGTTACCTGCCAGTGAGTCCTACAGGGATAGCAAAAACCAGAGCTTGCAGGGACGGTTCAATTCGGCTCGCTTCGTCTGCCGACCGTCTAGCCCGAAGTTCACGAGTGGAGTACTGCCTTGAGAACCAACAGTACTTAATCGTCATGCAGCAAATCGCACGCAGTCCCAAGCCTATCAGGATCGCTGTTGAGATGTTGATGCTATGCGATGTCAGGGGGCTGCGCGTCTTTATGGAATCACGTGATGCACAAGGTAGCAGCTCCTTCAAGAGAAAGGTCAGCTTCGACGCGCGGAACATGGGAGCTTTCAAGCCACCATTGCTTTGCTCTGTCAACATCCTTGGCGGCTGACGAAAACATGGCTAGATACACTGAACATCTCACTGCAGCACCTGACGCTTTGAGTGACTTTCCATCCGCCTGGTGTTTATTGCCCCGTCAATGTGAAGCATATCAAGCTTCGCCGCACGAGGAGGATGCACTTCTCTTTTGAACCCTGCAGCCCCTCCGGGAGTTCTCTACAGTAGCGGTCGCAAATCTCCCACTCCATCATGAGCCAAGCCTGTTTGGGGCCAAGTCTCTTGATCACCAGGCCAAGCTGGGAGAGGCTCCTTGGGAACTGCAGGGTCATGGAGCAAGTCTAAGCAAGGTTCGCGTTCGCTCTTTTGTGTGGCATGACTTCAAAGACGGCCAACCCACTCGAGACACATGCTGTCTCAAGACTGCGGTGAGGTGAGAAATTTCGAAGCCCCTGAGTCTGGGACTGGTTGATGGCACAACCCTCTTTCAAGCGGTCGTTCTCTGTTTGCGCCTGCGGGGACGATTGGATGCAGTAACTTCGGCTAATGAGCTTTCTAGCGATCAAGCTCGTGTGCTGCGTGTCAGCCATCGAGATAGGATACGACAAGCTACCACGCCAGTTCACCAAGTAATGATAGGCCGGGAACATCTAACTGCACGACTACACGGTCGCCTTGGAAGTGCGCTCACTTCCTGCGAGATCAATAAGGTTGATCTTGGCCTGGGCTTTTTCAGCGCCCATGCACGAACTAAGCGCGACAGACTGCCTGGTGCCTGGAGTGCGGCTCAGAAGCAGAGAGCGACTTGCGCTCGTCCTTGCCGTTCTTGCCCTTGGGGCGCTCCCCCTCGAGCCTGTTGACGATGATAGTGAAGACCGCCTGGGAGACTCGAAACCACCAGAAAATCAAAGGCCCGTCATGCAGAGGATACATCGCGTCCAACACCGTGCAAAAGCAGATGCAAACGGGGTGCATGCGAGCGCGAGGAGCTTTGATTCATGTTCGTGGCAGCGATCGTTCTCATCTTCAGCCCATACTCCAAGTTGCCTGCTGGATCAAATGGGCTACCATGTCTCCTTCATGCTTCAACCCGTCTTTGCATAGTTCATGTCGCACTGATGCCGAGTTGCGCATCACCTCGTCCTTCGTGGCGCAGGGCATATGGTACAGGCCTTTCACATAGACACCCAGCTTGGGGTGCTCCTGGACCAGCGAAACGTGAATGTTAGAATCCATAGAACAGGTGTGAGTGATGCGTTGGCCACATGCCACCAAAGTCAAACGAAGGCACTCTTGTCTCCGGCATGCTGCGGCTGGCAAGCGAACCCTCAAGCCCCAGCTCATTTGCAGTCCAAGCGACCATGATCTTTAGATTCTCGCCCTGGGAAAACCAGAGGTTGAAAGCTGAAACTGCTGCTCCACGACTATGACTCTGTCTTCCGGGCACTGTGCGAACCGCTTGCCTCGCTCTATGCAAGCCTCATAACCTGCACAAGCCTTTGCACAAGCTGCTAATACTTACATGTGTATACACATCCAAATATACAAATGTACATACATATACACACATGCATACATCCATGCATGCATACATACAGACAGACACACAGACAGATTGATAAATAGACAGGCAGATAAATAGACAGATAGATAGGCATACGCACATACGTGCATACATGCATTTCCTTATTTATCATCTGTTGATGTGTATATATATATATATATATATATATATATATATATACATATACATATACATATACATATACATATACATATACATATACATATATATATATACCCATATAATCTATATACACATATATTATATAAATGTATACGTCGATACAAGCTCGATAACACTGTTGGGGTCTTGTTTCGGAGAAGCCTGTATCAAACACAACATCTACAGGAGCTCCAGCCAAGACCACCCCATGAGTCCACAGCGCATCCCACACTGTGGACGGAAGCACAAGTGGCACCCCAGAACTCGCCCACACGAGTTGAATGCGGCGTGCAAACGAATTGCACACAAAATCTGTATGGCACCGTAGTGGGAGGACGACTTCAGTGATTCAGGAGATTTCAGGATTCAGACAAACCGAAAACGTGCACGGCTCCATGGCGGGAGCCGCGCAGAACCGCCGTGCGCACCTACTGAGAGGCCTTTCGGAATCAAATCCTTTTGTACGCAACCCAAAGAGCTACTTAAGAGCCCTCGTCTGAATTCTGGCGCATATTATTTCAGCAATCTTCTCTGGGGCTGGTTTGAACGACCACTCATAACTCATGACTGGAGATTTTTTACAAGTAGTACGGCCTTGTGTGTACAAGGCTGAAACTTGAAACCCCCAGACGCTACACGCCAACCTTGGCGAGGCTGGCTTGATCCAAGTTGAAATCTGTTTTGGTGAACAACAAGGCAACCACTAAACCCTTCTTTTGAGCAGGGACTGCAATCGACCCTAAACCCCAAACCTTCCACAACACCCAAACATACCTAAACCTCAAGCCGTCTCACTGGACTCCTGAATCTCTCCTTGCCGGCCTTGTTCTCTTTGTTCGCGCTAAGAGACGCAAACAAGTCGGTGACCTGCTCCTGCGGTGGTTTTTTTGACACTCACACTCGGACAAAGCCTGGAAAGGTCTGTAGCGGTCCTGGTCTCGTTAACATGTGACTGGCAGGTATCACCAGACACCACCAACTACACTCAGCAGTATTTGCCTTATGGACGACGCTGTCAGGCACGATATCACAAAAGGCCACCACCACGTAAACAAGCAGGGTTTCGACTCGGACACTCGCACGAAAGCAGGCACTGATTCATGTGGCTTTGGGGTTTTTTGACAAAAACCTTTTCCCGACTGGCTCCAGTAGTTTAGGGTGGAGGGCAGGGTCCAGCAGTGACAACTTGGACGAGCCTGGCAATGATGGTGTGGGGTTTAGGGGCATCCTTCTGGTAGGGAGTTGTGACAGTCTTCTGGCATCGGGGATTGCAGAGCAATTGGCTTTGCCCGCAAGGAGTTCGGGCTAGAGGTGTGAATGAATCTCTGGGTTTGGCAGAGGCACCAGCCAAAGAGCCGGCATGCAGGCCTTCAGAAACGAAAAACACGCAACTCTGTTGCAAACTTTCAATAACGGATTGGGCCAGTCCTTGTAGATCTCGAGGTATGAAATCCGAACCTCGCAGGAGCCGCGACTAGCTGACTAGCTACCATGATAACCCCCAATTACTCTCGAATAGAGCAGGGGCCCCGGCTGGTGGGGCTGCACTACGCCATCATTACATACATGCTTATCATACTGGAACTCTGGTTTGCTCCGGGTGCACCTCGGAAGCTCCTGTACACTCTCAACTCTCAACTGGCCAAGACTTCATGAATCTCCTGGGGAAAAAGACGCCCCACACTTGAGGCCTGGAGCTCAACCAGGGCGTCTTCTTCGAGCCGGTCCTGACTTCTCAAAGAGCTCGATCAAGGCTCTTCTACTGAGTCCGAATTGTTTGGCCGGATGTAGTTGCAGGATAATGCTTCACGATGGTCAGCTATGCAAGTAAAAAGCCGTCCAAAACTTTGTGACATCAGCAATCGCAGTGCGAAGGAGCTCAGGGCTCAGGGCATGCCGCCAAACATGGCCTGATGCTTTTGTCTCAGTTTGGGTCAGATCCGGTCCGGCCCTCGTCGTATTCGTGCTTTCGGGAGCGCACTGAACCCACGACTTTCGGAAAGCGTCAGCTCTGTGTATTCTGGGCTGTCAACAACCCATCTATCAACAGCAAAGTGATATGAAGAGGTCAGTCATCAACTTGCGAAGCACATGTCCGAGGGTTGGGCCAATGACCTACTGTAGACCGTTTTGTCACTCTCCGGCTACTACTTTCTAATTAATTACTCTTCGTCTTCTCTGATCGTACATTTTATCGGTGCGACATGTGATGTGGGGACACCGGTCATGCAGCGAAGCCAGCTTAGCGTGAGGATATCACAAAGTCACCAAGGTATGGCATGCCTTCGACAGATACCCTAAACTCCTCAATGCTAAGACCTGAGCCTTTTCGACCCAGCGCTGCAAGTCCTATGCTACGAGCCCGGACGAGCCCGGCTCTTTGCATGGATGTTCCTTCTCTTCGAAAAGCCCGCTGATCATCCGTGGGATCACACCTGGACCAGGAAACTCAAGCCGAAGCAGCAAAACAACGGCTTGGGCCATCAGCCACCTCAGGACCAGATACGAAGCTACAGTAACAGCTAGTTCGAGACCTCACGCCCCGTGCCTGCATCCCCTTCGTCAGTCGGGACGCCACCCATCATGGTGTAGCTCTTGCCACCTGTCGGGGTATGCTTAGACTCTTTCAAGATTCGGTTCATTCTTCTTGCCCCGGGCGTTTGTTTGGGTCTGCCTCGGCCCTCCGGCACATGCAAGGGAGCAACAAGGCTGATCTCGCAACAAAGAATGAGATGCTCTCTTTGGCAGTCATGGCCTAACCGAACCCTGACCAAGACTTCATGGAATTAAAAGCAAACGAGAAACTGCCCGTCTGCCCATAGGCGAAAAGCGTGCAGTTGAAACCATCCACAGCATTCCTCAGCAAGCAATCTCACCAAGGATCCTAATGGAGGGGCTCAGGACGCGTAATTACTACTTAACTTTCAACTGGAACTGCAATCAGGACTAGTGCTCCATCAAGCAGCGACACCATGGGTGTGCCGATGTCCTCAAATATCTCTGCTTGGGTACCTTGTCCCTCGCCGACGGACCAAAACCTCGGTGATCTCCAGGCGCCGCTATATTTTTCAATGAGAGACGCTTGCATCCAGGACGCGTGTAGTCATAAGTGAAATGCTTTGGATTCCTGAGAGTGCTACTGGTGACAGCAACAGACGTGCCCACGCTACCCGGGAACAGTCCGGGTGACCCAAGCATTATTGTGGTCCTGTCTGGGCTTGCTGTGACGGTCTTCCCACTCATCGACACCTTGGCAAACTCCCAGGTCATTAGTCAGGACTGAGCAAGACATATATATCTAGCATCGAACACTTCGCTGCATCCTCGAATTGACTCGGATGACTCGGAAAACCCTCCAGATGCGGTCGAATCCGGAACCGGCTTCTGCAACTGCTCATGTCCCACTGTGCACACGGGACCCTAGAATCATACTCGGTGTGCAGCCCCACGAGCATCTGCCGGGAGAGCTTCTGAGACCGGTCAAACATTTCGCAAAGGCGCGACAATGTCGCATTTGAGCTTCTTTTCTCGCAGGTTCAGAGGCCGAGCCCGGACGGCAACCTCCGACAAGAGTTGCACGACTTCTGCAGCACTGATAGGCCATGTTCAGCGCAGGTTCTTTGGGTGGCCTTGCCTTGATGCTCTCCTCCGTCCCCGGCATGTCGGCCCCCAGGCCGCTCAGAAATTTGGGGACCTCCAGGAGAACTGCTTTGAAGCGAAAGTGCTCGCCTGCGCTCGTTGAATGCCCTGTCCCTGTCTCTTTGCCTCTCCGTGTCCGTACCTCTGTCTCCTAGTCGCAGGGTCCTTCACTTCTCTGTCACCCTCGTTGGCTTTCCTTCCGCAGAGTCTCGTTCCCCTTCCCTGTCTCTTTCTCCTCTCCAGCCACTGTGGCACATTGACATTGACATCCAAGCACACCCCTAGGCCCCAACAGCGCCTACCGCGCGCCCGGTAGGCAGAACCACGGGCCAATCAGCGCCATGGTGAGGTTTTCGAGCCGCAGCTGCAGAGTCACTCAATGTGCCACTGTCCTATGGGCCGACGCCCTTCGCAACCTGAGGCCTACACAAGCCAGGTATGCACGCATCACGGAGAACACGATTGAAAGATCCGAATGCTTCCGGGCTTCCGTTATGGCAGAAGTGCCTGAAGTGCCTGGGAATGAACATCGCAAGTTCACCAGGGAATGTACCACAAGATGTGCTTGGCTCACAGCCCCCCGTGCTGACCATGGCCCTCATGACCCGAACACCGCAAGCGCACATTCCAGGCCTGCGAACTTTATAGTAATATAATGGAGATGGGTCCGGGGGGCATAGGTCTTATGGACAGTATGAGTTTTACGCGGCAACACAACGTGTCGTCAAGGTTTGGATTTCGGGTTTCTCAACAAATGATACTTGCCACAAACCGCAGGCGCCACGTGATGTAGGGTGTTCTAGAACTTGGAAAGGATCCTACCATAATCCTACCAGCCCGCATTCGGGATCGAAATAAGGGCTTCTTGCATAGTGAGCATGTTACTTCCTCCCTTGTGGCCGTTCCTGTTCCAGCCCGAAAGTCTCAAGCTCGGCCCCTGAGACTTCTCGAAAGAAGTTAAAAAGGGGAAACTGCGAAGCCAAATGCCGCTGAGCCCCAACCAATACCAATAAATGAAAGGTTCTCTGGCAATTCGAGGAAGCCAATCTCCAAACCCGAAAACAAGGCCCAACTCCGCCTTCCTTAAACTTTCTCTGCGGGAACCCACCTGGCTCAATGCCGTCAGCAGAAATCCCAAAGCCGCGGCGGCCGTCGCCGCAGCAATTTCTGAGCCTTCTGCACCTCGAGCTGAGGTCAGTGAAATCTACACGTTAGATTTCTTGGTACGGCTCTGATCACAGACTGCCTTGGACTTGAATGCAAGGCGCACGCACTCTGTTTGAAAAGCTTTTCGGGCCTGTTCGTCTCAACTCCGGCCCCATGGACTACTTCCGAAGCATCTAGACTGTTTCAATGTGAGAATGTCCGAGATGCTTCACACCTCTTAGCATGAGAACAAAACCCTGCAAGCCTGTGAACGTCACCTTGAACCACACCCCTGCCCCTCGTAAGCTGAAACCATCGAGAGATTCCACGAACAGCTAGGCCCCTCCAACCCAAGAGGCCCTGCAATAAGAAGCTCTTCGACCCTTACTCGCAAAGTAATGTGAAACTCCCCACTCAAGCATTGTTTCAGTGCCGTCAAAAACGGAGAAGCCGCACCTGTTGCGTGGCCAGCATGGCCTTAGAACCGACAGCGCGGCCCCCGCGCTCAGGTGACAAGACTTCTGCAGGGCTTCACAGAGGCAGAAGTCGGTTGCAGCTAGGCTCACGGCTGGAATGCGAGCGCCGCAGAACAGCCTGCAGTGTCCGGATTCTACCAGCTGGCCTGCACAGTCTGGGAAACGAAGGGCCTCTAGCGTGGACGGCAGCACCATGTAGTGCGCACCATGCCTGGCTGCTCGTGCGTGGTTCAACACGCCAGCAGGAGCCACCACGTTACCAGAGCGGAGCCAAGCGGAGCGACGAGTTGATCAGGGCACCAGCCCCAAGAAGGCGCAAGGCCAAGATAACAAAACAATGAAACAGCCGAAAACGCATAAAATAAACACCAATAGCCAAAGCCGCATGAAAACGAACAAACCAACAGGCCTGACAACCGCCATAGGAAGAAGACGACTTCCGCAGTGGGGACACCACCGCAGTTCTCCAAAGTGCCACTATGACTACGGGAAGCAAATGGCCACGAGGTGGGCATAGCGCCGAAGGGTCACAAACCGGACGAGGAAGGTGTGGGTACCAGAGATTTTCTTCACGAAGGATGAACTGCTTGTGCAAGCACGCTTTGTTTCCAAGCCCTAACACGCCACACAATGATCCTCGTAAAGCTGTTGTCGTCCATGATCTTATGCTGTTATTGAATGACACGTACCGTTATTACTAACATTAATTATCATGATAACTAGTATTGTTACTAGTGATATTCTTATTCTTATACTTTTTCCATCACTTATTGTCCGTCCTGTTCCTATTCTTATTATATTTAACAGTATTGTTATCAGTATTCTCATGCTCTTGTTATTCTCGTTATTCTTGCTATTCTTGCAACCCTTGTTAAGTAGTCCTGTTTGTTGGCTCCCGCATGGCTGTTCGCACGGACGCACTTGGCAGGTGACACACGTCCACGGGGTCTCACTGCAGAAAACAAGGTCGGAAGGTTATTCGCTTCCTAGTAGTATTATCTTTGTTACTACTGAGCGTTACTAAGCAGTAGAAATCGCTGTCGTCGCCGTAGCAGTAGCAGTAGCAGTAGCAGTAGCAGTAGCAGTAGGAAACTGGGAGGCGGTGAAGTGCCAGGCGATGTAGGAAGAGGGGTGGTGACCGTGCTGCGCATCAGTTATTGCGGGCATTCATGCCGCCACACTGTGCCTTAAGTTAGCTATATATCTTGATATGAGGATGACCGGTGTCATATCTGCAAAGCAATAACAACTTCAACTACCGCTGCTCGTACTGCTTTTGCAACTGCTACTGAAGATGGATCAGCTTCCGATCAGCTTCCTTGGAAAAACTCTAGCGTACTGACGCTGCTTCTGAGCATGACATGCCGTCGCCTCAAAATGTCGACAAGCAGCACGAGGGACGTGTAGCACCTAAAGCTGTGGACCTGAGCAGTCCCGATGAAACCGTCGGCTCGCGAGATCAAAGCATTCATTAGTGATTACTGCCAGCGTAGGGGAAATGGCTTGGGGACAGTGTCATGTTGCGCACATCTCGCAGAAGGCTTTCTAGAGCATCGGGACGGTCACACACCCATGGCCACCGCATGGTCGTTCAAGCACTGGGGCAAGCGCCAGGTCAATCGCACGCAGCAGCCCAACACAGCGTCGCACGATCTGGCCCTTGGCTTCGGCTTTGCTTCAGAATGTTTTCTTCCGGAACTTAGTTTTGCAAAGTGGTGGGCTTAAACTTTCCGACTGAGACGTGGGCAATGCTCGGGAAGATGCTTGGCGACGATGCAGTCATTACCTGCGAAGCTTTCATGGAAACATGCGCCGCCCTCTTGCAACACAAATGTTGCACGGAGACAAGAAGGGCTACCGCCTGAACATCTGCAATGTGTGGAAAATGTAGCAACAGCAGCAGCTGGCCATGTGGCAACTAGGTCGGAGCCATCTCCTTGCCAGACTTTACTCAATGCTCGAGCATGTCGTAGCAGCTGGGTGGTTGGTGCAGACTTCTACATAGCGCCGCTCCACTTTGAGAAATAGCTTCACGACGGCCGGCAAGCGGTCCCAAAAGAAAAAACGGACTGTCCAAGGAGCTGCCCTGAATATCCCCATGCAACACGAGGTGCGGGTTTTTTGCGACATGTGAATGTGTTCTGTCCGTTTGGGGTACATCGGCACTACACGTTGCTCTGCCTTACTTGTGAGAGCCAGGAACATCCAGGAAACACAGGTCGTCAGTCAGACGCACAGAGGCTACGTCTCAGGAGGAATTGCACAGCTTATGCCAGCATGGAAAATCGCAAGGCAGCACTCCTGCCGGACACACTCCCGTTTTGCTGCGCTGCTTGGCGGGGCTCGCCCCAAGATTGAGGAACTTCACAAGCGCGACGCCTTAAGCAAGAGGGTACATCTGCCGGGCTGCAGCGTTCAAAGTTCAGAATGCTTCGGGGCGGGGGAACACCTGAAAGCCACGGCACTTCGATGCTAAACCTCTTCGGCTTCCGGGGCTCGAACCGAGCCCGACCAAACCTCGACAGACGCTTGCAATCATCTGGTCGGTGTATTTTTGCGGGCACTAACAGGATACAACTGGGATCTGTTACCTTGGGGAGAGAGAGAGAGAGAGAGACAGACGGAGATAGAGAGAGAGAGAGAGAGAGCGAAAGTGTGAGAGAGAGAGAGAGGGAAGGAGGCAGTGACAAGGTCTTTCAAACCAGTAAGTGCGTGCGCATATACATGCTTAATCAGCAAGCCAATAGATACGTTCAGATTCACCACAAGCACGCACCCAATTGTACGTGTATATATATATATATATATATATACATAAAGAGAGAGAGTTTTGCATTTCTGCTTTGTGTGTCTGTGTGTGTGTGTGTGTATGTAGGTATATACGTAGGTTTCAGTGTTTGTATTTATGTGTGTATAAACATAATGTTATGTACATATATGTTTTTCTATGGTCACGCGCTCCGCGGCCCCCCCCCCCCTCCCCCCCCCAAAGGTCAATGGTCTGTATAGGTGGGGCCTCCCCTCCCCTGTGGTGTGGGGTGTGGCGTCTCTCTTCCTTCTATGGGGTGGTTATGGGGTTTTGGGGTTTGGGTTTAGCTTAAGCTTTTGAGTTTTGGGTTCACTGTTAAAAGGTATCGATCGACAAGGGCTAGGTTCGTTAGGGTTGACGGTTCATGTTCCGCATTAGGCTTGGAGCTTGCATTTAGGCGGGGTTTAGGGTGGGGGCTAGCGTTTAAACTACAGGTTAAGCTTAATAAAAAAATATCTTGCGCTATCTTATGGATTCATGGCTTGCGTAGGGCTTGCGTGTGACCCCTGGCCGCCCCAACACCAACCCCACCATCTAGACGCAACATCCGCACACGCCAACCCCCCCTCCTCTTCATCCTACCAGACCATACCATTGGGGGAGGGGGGCGGGGGGGGCTGGGAACGCCGGACGCGTGACCATCCATCCATACATATATATGTATATATGGTCACGCGCTCCGCGGCCCCCCCCCCCCTCCCCCCCCAAAGGTCAATGGTCCGGATATAGGGTGGGACCCCCCCTCCCCTGTGGTGTGGGGTGTGGGGTCCCTCTCCCCCTGTGGGGTGGTTGTGGGGTTTTGGGGTTTAGGGTTTAGCTTAAGCTTTTGAGTGTTGGGTTTACGGTTACAAGGTATAACGCTTCGAGTCGACAAGGGCTTAGGGAGGACTTGCGGTGTATGTTCTGCTTTAGGCTTAGAGCCTGCAGTTAGGTGGGGTTTAGGGTTGGGTGTAGGGTTGGAAGTACAACTTAAGGTTACTCAAAACAAGGGCACGCGCTGCGTTATAGGGTTTACGGCTTGCTTGCGAAGGGCTTGCGTGTGAGCCCTGGCCGCCAGCACCATCCCACCATCCAGTGACAGCTCCAACGGCTCCGACCCCTGTCCGCAGACGCCAGCCCCCCCCCCACCCTAGCAGACCATACCATTGGGGGGGGGGGGGGCTTGATTAGATTAGACTACATCAGATTTGTTTAGGCTAGACTACATTAGATTCAGCTAAAGTTAGAGCAGGTTAAATTAAATTCGATTTGGTAAGGTCGGGCTACGAAAGCAGACCTTAATGGTTTAGAGTAGTCTAGACCGCTTCGAACAGACTGCATTGGCTGAGATTCGATGTAGAGTAGATTTTCGAACCAGGGCCGAGACAGGCTAAATAGCTGCATAGACGACAGATACGCAGAAAGGCAGCTGGATAGATCCATCGATCGCTCTCTCGATAGATTAGAAGATCGAAACGTTGCTGATTCTGTCTGGCTAAATACCTTCGATGATCATCGTGGACGTCTGTGTGCGCGCGACTGGCGGCAACCAGAGAGACAATGATGGCGAGCTGTGTTTACTTAAGTGGCTTTCTGTTTATGTTAATAGCTCAGCATGCGCCCATTGATTGCATGTGTCTGTCCTTGCCCTTCTATGCGAAACCGTCAGTCAACATAGTGCTGAATCATGTGCAAGCACTCCAAGGCGAATCAAGCAAGTGATGAGCGAGATTAGTGTGCACAGAGTTGGCGCGGCTGAATTTCAACAAAGTACACCTATCGGGTTCCATGATAGAGGGAGGGCACGGAGTCAGACATGGACAAACAGAGGTCGACACGACAAGAAGGGAAGAGGGGAGCATAGAGGAGGAGAAGAGGGAGGGAGGAGGGGGAGCAGCCAAGGAGTGAGAGAGTCGGGGAATCCATGACGTGAAGCATCGTGTAGCGCAAGTCAACCGCGCAGTTTTGGAGTCCAGGCCCACTGTCACCGTGAAACCTTGGCCCTTCAGAAAAAAGAGCACTGTACCACTTTGGGACTGTCACGTCGACTGTGCGTTGAAAGACTGGATCCAAAGCGCTGGATCGCGATGGACTGGTGATCATTGTACAACTGGCAGTTGCGCCTTCTCTCCCCATGGGTCGAAAACTATGACACGTCGCTGGGAACTACTGCGAGTAAACTGCCAGCACAGTTCCGGGGCGAAAGCCTTGCCCTTGCTCCAGTGGCACATCAGCCGAAAGGTGCATGGGCTATGCGACAACTGCTGGCCGAGGAGGCCAACGACTACGCATGCAAATGCGAACTGAACGCGGAACTTGGACTCTAAGGCCTGAACATGGCTTTCCTAAACGAGCACTTCTCAAAGGAGTCGAGTTTCGGGGCCTCAATAATTACCTAGACTGTTTTGGGAGCTAATTATTAAGGCCCGCGGGTACAAGGACTAGAAGTTCTGCCTGGGCTATGTAGCAGCCACTGTGACCTCAGATCCCATCTTCTGGCTTCTTCTCCGCCTTCCGGCCACTGTTTGGCCTGGCGACATCCTGTGACTCGCGAGACCTCGGAGGGCTCAAAGAAACCAGAGCTTTACGATCATTCAGAACATACAACATGCAATATGCAACATATTACATGATGTACGTATATATATATATATATATATTTATATATATATATATATATATAGATATAGATATAGATATAGATATAGATATAGATATAGATATAGATATAGATATAGAGATATAGAGATATAGAGATATAGAGATATAGAGATATATAGATATATATAGATATATAGATATATAGATATATAGATATATAGATATATAGATATATAGATATATAGATATATAGATATATAGATATATAGATATATAGATATATAGATATATAGATATATAGATATATAGACATAGATATATATATATATATATGTGTGAAGTGTATACTATAGTATGGTATATTACTAGTATATTAGAGCCAGCAAAGACATGTAGAAGCTTCGCTTGCTGCCAGACTGGTCTACCAACACCAACAAACCATAGAGATTTGAACCCTGCACCCCGGCCCAAACCTGGAACCCCAACTCTAAGCCGACAGCTGCTGAGAGAACTAAGCACCAAGCGAGTCGGAGCCAGAGCCTTCCAAGCTTTCCGTTTTTTTCCGAGACTTCTCACTAATTCGGCGGGCGTTCTCCCTTTCGGGGGTCTGGTGTGGGATTCGCCGAACCCGGCACGCGTTCTGCATGGGGTGCCAGTTTTTGGATGCAGCGTCCGGATGGATCAAGCGGTTGTCGAATTCGAGGCCGTGTGCAAGATTCCATAAACCATGCAAATTCAGTACGGCAGGCCAGCACTGTTGCAAGGCTTGTCCGCCGTGCCGTTGCATGTTCCATGCCAAACGGGAACCTGGATCATACGATGGCATTTCGTCTGTCCTTGAGGTTGCCTTCTCCCCTGCCCCCTCTCAGCAGCCACATTAGGTACTGCTCCCCAGCAACAACCAAGACTTGAAGCGTTTCTCGGGGACCAGGGAATCACTCTGTACGTCGAGAGGACGAGAGGGACAGGAAGACCCAGCCTTCGCTGAAGCCGAAGCCATGATGGCCCGTTGACGCCGAGGTCAACGAGCCGCAGCCTGAGAGCCAAAATGTCAGGGTCTTTGGGCCGTTTTGGGTTTGGACTCGCACACTCGCACGAGAGCACTGATTCATGAGGTCAGGAGAGCTATAATGACATAACATGGCAGGGATGTATGATCAATTAGCAACAGCAAGACACCTCAGCCACAAACGATTTCGACGCTCACACTTGAACACAGCAGGCAAGGCTCCACGTTTAGTTGCCTACATCAACGGACTAGTTGGAGGGACATCGTGACATCGCGTACCCTGTCCTACTTGTAGCAGCCAAAAGCTTGTCTCAAGCTCTACCTTAGCCAAACTCTGACCGATCTGAGACTGCCACGGGTTCGTACAGTTGCAGCACACTGCAGCTCTCCAAGGCGCTCCAGGTTCTCACAAAGCTGCTCACGCCTCAGAAGAGCGAAGGAACACTTCAAAGGCCTGACACTGCTACCCCGCGGCACAACGCCACTTCGGTGAAACAGCCCTCCCAGACAAGTGTGCAACTTACGCAGTTCCAGCGATTCAACGAAGCAAAACCGAAGACATGGTCCCATGGTCGCCCCGGAAAGGCCGGGATGGGATATCTACTCAAGTACCAGGATTTCCTCCGTGAGGCATCCAAGGCAACAAGGGGGAGGGATCCTGGCTTCGCTGATGGCACGGGAGCAACGTTGGCTCTCACCTGGAGCCGGGCGGCATTACTTTGTATCCCGCTGCAGATCGGCTCATCTGCCGCCGGATGGAAGACTTGGCGAACGGCGATGCCAGGCCCCATAATCCTTCGACTGTGGATAAGGGTGCTGAGTTCGAAGCCTACTGCAGGTTCTCAGGCTGGATCACCAACAACGCAATCAGCTTCATAAAGAACGCCTATCAGACACCCTTCCGGCCTTCCAGACCCAGATTGCCGCACTCAGCAGCTGCAATCCTGGGAACAGAACACGTGGTCTTCATGGTGCAAGAAAACTGAGGCCAGTCGAAGGATTGTCCATCGGCTCTTGAGGGGCTCTTGGGTTACTCGGACTATGTGGGCTATCCACCCTCCACTTCGAAACCCGCACTCCCATGGTGGAGGCCGAGGAGCTCATCCGCCTCTTTCTGTGCATCCTGAATGGGCAGAGCAAGGGCGGTCACTAGCAGGTGATGGCTACATTCAGTAGACTTGGAACATCCGAAGTCCCAGATCAGGTCAGCTCAGCTGAAGCACTCGACAGAGGAAGGCCATCAGACACGCTTAAAGAGAGTGGACGGAGTGTGGGGACTCTCTTTCTGATCGCTTAGTACTAGAATTGCCAGAACTGCCCTGTCCTCCACAAGGCTGACAGCCTGTAGATGCGCCGCTTGCAGTGCAGCGGCAGCCGCGGTGTTGGAGACAAGGGCTCCGCTGCCTAGGCGACGGCAGGGTCAAGCCAGCGTGATCTCGCTCTGTCGGGCTGGTGCCCGCCACACACGCCGGGTCGTGCATTTGTCGAACATGTGCTCATTACCGAGATGACGTGACTGGCTAGCTCGGGCCAGCGACTGTGCGCATGCCAGCACTTTACCGGCTGTCTGGTACTCTATGCTTCAGCTTTGACATGTAACAGACACTGCCCCAAAAAGTCTGAGCCCAGCACCCGGTCCCCAGATCTGGTCTTGCCAGCTCGATATGAGATCTTGCAGCTCCCTGTATCTTGTCTTGTCCTCAAGATGTTCCGAAGACAGGACATAGATAGAAATTCGGAAGCAAAAGCATTGGATTTGGGATTTGGGTTCCGGTGGCAGGGCATATTGAGGGCCCACGGCCCGTCACAGAGCGTCACAAAAAGCGCCAAGTTCTGAAGCTGAGGGCACAGCACTCTCCAGAGTTGCAGACCTGACCTTCTTCTGCTGTGCGGAGAGCCTGCGTCATGGATTGCGCGGTATGGTGAATTTGCAAATCCAAAGAATGGTTGGCCGTCTTGTCGCATGTGACATGAGGCAATACGGCCACAACTCGTGTCCAAGCCACTTCTTGCCCGGGTGTGTGCTGTCCGCTGCTGCCGCAGCGCGCTGAGCAACAAGCTCCTACCGCCGAAGCGCACACCGAGCACGACACGGGACCCGTCGGTTTGGCAATCAGAGCATGCCATGGATGGCACGATTCCAGCTTGCCGCCACGGACATGTGCAGAAAGCAGCATGCAGAAAGCTAGGAAAATGATTGGAGTCTGTAGGTTAGAGTTTGAAACCCTGGCTAATGGCCAGCTTCCGGTCAGTCCTCGACCTGTCGTGATGCCGCCACTGTTCCAAGAAGGACTCGGTGTCGGCAAGCAGCCACAAGGCCGTTCTCCTGGAAGAGGCGCAAGCGTCAGCGAGCTAACCTTCTGAAAGGCCTAGCTCCAGAAGCAAACTTCTCTTCCAACTTGCCTCAGTCACTACGGCCTCTCCTCAACACTTGGCACATCCAAGCACCCCCTCGCCTGCGAAGCTTCCCGCTGAGTTGACAAGGCTTTGGACACGCGGCCCATGCTGCTTTTCAGCTGCGACTCTCCTCAGAAACCAAGGGCTCGGAATGAAAGCCCCTCTGCATGGAAGTCGCAGACAGATCACGTAGGTACTGCGCGCTGCATAAGCCCAATGCCGAAAGATGTTGACAGGCTCTCAGTTCTCGAGAAAATCAAGTCCGACGGAATCGCAGAGGTCAACCTTCAAAGTCCCGGCCGTGATTCGGGAATCCAGTTCCGCATCAGCCGACTCCACACCTTTAAGCTCCTCCTGCAACAACGAACTGAATGCATGACAATGCTGCGGGACCCGATCTAGAAAGAAAGGTACTTGTGACTGCATGGCACGGCATGAAATTAGTGCCAAGCATATAACAAGACAACGGAAAAAGAAACACAACGCACTTGCAGCCACTTCGAGCCGAACACAGCGAAGAAGACAGCTCAAGCAGCCATGCCGAACCCGGCATTTGACGCCACATGCCACTGCAATCTAAACATTCATTGGCACCACGTCACACAATTGATCTCAATAAGACATCCCCCAAACAGCGAAGCGGGCGTAGCACAACAGGTCAAGACACGGCATGCTATTGCATGGAGCTCCACCAATCAAGAAAAAACCTCTGGCTCCCGTTCCTCTTGAGGAACCTCCAAGACTCGAAAAGGCTACGGTCCATGCACGGATCCGAAATTGCAGACGCCGAAGAACATGGCCGTGTGCCTCCACTGCCAAAAGCTGCGCAAGCAGCTCCTGGCCCAACTCTGCATGTGCTTGGAGATTCCGATGTGCAAAGATGCAGAGACATGCACAGAGAGGCTATCTGGAAAAAACAACACCCAAAACCCGACCCAAAAGCGAGAGAGAGAGAGAGAGAACGAGAACAGTTCAGCATGGTTCAGCTCTACCTGACAGCACAAGTCTCAAGATGCTGCTTCCCCAATGCGTCCCTTCTTCTCCAACCCAATCCGAAAATGGCAAGCAAAAACCGTGCAAGAGAGAGGCCTCGCGTTGCATCCGGAGCCCGTCTGCCCGCCGGGCCACCGAAGCGCGCTCGGCTTGGAGGGCCTGCGAGACGCTAAGGGCAAGAAGGGCCGCTAGGGCATGCTAGGGCTAGGGGCTGGGGGAAGCCGCTTTGCTATGGCCTCCAACTCGACTTTCATCGCCGCCGTGCTCGACCTCACAGTGTGAAGAGTCACCACAGAGCAGAACTGTCTCCAAAGAAAGGCCAAGTAACGAGATCTGCCCTTCGAAGGTGTGCACTTCTTCCTCGCCTAAGCTGACACGTACCGGGCTGGCTGGAAGGAATGCTGAGGAAGCGGAGCTATATAGGACCTTGCACGTTGCACTTCAGAATCTGTAGAATTCCATGAACTTACAGCGAAACCCTCCCACTCACTCCAACTTCAGTTCAGGGGCATTCGGAGGCAAAGGTTCCGAGGTACTCGGCCCTTTCTTCGATCTCCACGCGCCAAGCAGACAGGGTCTCAGCAGTGCCACTGAGCGGCTGTTCAGTTGGACCTTAGCAAGGCTATATAGGATGCATGATTCATAGTAATTGCTCAGCTGGATATCCAGACAGGAACTCTAAACTTTGGCGATCTATCCAAAATCCTGGGAGAATTCTCATCCGAACTCCCCCCAAATGCACAGCTCTGACCTGCCGAGGCCGGCTATCATCCTAACTGCCATCCTCTACCTCTAACTAGTAAAAAGACACTATATGGGAGTTTCCGAAAATAAGGGACTCTGACATAGAACCCTAAATAGTAGTATCCTTATTATAAGAACACCAATTTAAGGTAAACCCCTAATTTTCGGAAACTCCCAAATAGAAACAAAGATCAGGGCTTGGGCTCCGGCCAAGCCCGTCGGACTGCGACTCCTCTTCCTCGGGATTTCCAAGCTCCCAAGCAGATGGAAGGATAAGCGTAAACGGCATTTAGGGGTTCGGGGTTCCTTGCGCAGGGGCCATGCCCCGGGTTCGGTTTAGGGTTTCCGCGCTCACGCTCGGACAATCCAAGCGAGGCATGTGGTTCGGAGTCTGTTGACTGAAACGAATCTTGAGGGAGCGTTTGTTTTCAACATCCGATGGTAGACTAAAGGCAAAACAGTTACATTACACACTATCAGTCTCCCCTCTCGAGATCCCTCTGTGTCGACCAGAAGATATACTGATACATAAAGGATTTCGACGCTCACACTCGCACAAGGCAGGCAAGGCTCCACATGAAGGATTTAGGGTTTAGAACGGTTTGGGATTCACCCTCTCGCAACTCGGACACAGCCAGACGAGGTTCTTGGTGTGCATGGTCAGACTAGAGGGGCAACTCGACTCGGCTCTGAAAGGCAGCGTTGAGGCCACGAAGTTCTGCGAGTCGAACCATCCCCACAACAGTACAAGGATTCGCACTGGAGATCCAGGAAGGTATTGGAGTCAGGTTCTCGCAACCACACAAACGAAAGGATGATGAGCACTCCTTAATTAGGCGGAGATAGTGATACAGATCAGTGCGGGCATCAGTACACGGCGATCAGGAAGTCATCACAGCACCAACCACGAATTCAAGCCAGTCCATGCACAGAGCAGTCCGTATTCGTTACAGCTTGTTTCCCAGGAAGGCGGGTTCCAGCATGTCAGCGGTGTGTACAGCCCAGGGTCGAAACATAAAGAATACTGGTTGCTCCACACATCGAGCGGGCTTGGGAGTCCACGTTTCTGCCATCCAGGCCACTGTCATCGACTCCAGATTTCGAACCAAGATCGCTTGTCAGCTTGCAGAGCCAGCTGCAGAGCCACAGGAAGAGCTACTGTAAGGACTTCAGAACGTCATCAGTCAAATTCCCTCTTGGCACGCTTGACACGGGAAGGCTCAGCTCGAGCAGCCTCACTCGTCGGTTCGCTGATCATCCCATGGATCTCAAAGGCCCGGCGGATCTCGGCCGTGGACACCCCGTAGGATGGGTCTTCGTCGTTTGGATCAACCAACTCCTGCATAGCGTTCTGTGCTCGTGTCACAGACTTGATGGTCGACTTCAAGAGATCGCTCTCGCTTCGTTCCTTGTCTTCAGCACGCTCATCAGCAAGCTTCTTGACCGTGTCAAGGTCAGCTTTCCGAAGTTCATCCAAAGATAGACCTGTGAAGCGCAGATCGTCCCCGAATGCAGCTTTCGCACGTGCAGCAACGATCATGGCCTCTGAGTCAGGAGCCAACTGTGCGCGCTTTCCATTCACAGTCTCGCAGAACACGATGGCCTTCACAACGGGCGAGTCGCCGAAGTAGGTCATCTCGAATGCGGCAAGGACTTTTGCCAAGGCAGTGAAGTCCTCGAGCGTACAGGTGCTTTGCACTGAGGATACTTGTCCCAGAAGGCCTGGGAATGATCCAAACTTCAAGGGGGAGTTGGCAATTTTCAACACCTCGTTTAATGTCCCTCTGAATCTGGGCGTCACAAAGCGCTCCATTCCATGGACATGTTTGATACGTCCAAAACTATCAGCCAGGAGGAGATTCCGTTGAATCCCGCTACTCTTCCCGAGAAGAGCCCAGGTTCCATGGCTGCCCTTGGCCAGCTTTGGCATGCGAGGTCTTGAGAGTTTGTCACTGTTGAGGTTCACAACACTCGGAAATGCCTGGACGCCAGGTACGGCAGGTGTGATGCCTGCTCCTCCCAGTGCTTTGAGAATCACTTGAAGGTTCTCGCCTTGCAGCACATAGCTAGTTGTTGTGCCGGCTGCGGTTGCCCCGTCATAGGCATCCCCGTCCAAATCGGCGACCTCTTCCCCTTCTGCGAACAAAGTCGACGCGATCACAAGGGAGCCTTGCGGTGCCCAGCTCGCGACCAGTAGTTTCTTCATTGCCGACACTCCGAAGTCCGCTGTCGCCAATGTCACGCATTTGGCATACATCGTCGTCTGGCCAGAAACCTTCTTCACCACGTCAGCCCGCGCACTCGGCCACTAGCACAACTCCAAGTGAAATAAGCTGTCCGTGGAGTGCGTTGATCATTGAGATCAGGTCTGAATAGACCTGCGCGACATATTCAGAGATCTCAACAAAGAGCTTGCAAGAGGCGTGGATCTCCTCGTCGTCGGCCATGCCTGCCGAAAAGTCAAACTGGCGCGCGAGGCCTTCAGCCAAGGCAGCAGGGAATTCTCTGCTCTCGACTTTGTCCCGGGAAGATTTAAATGACGTCAAGGTTTCGGGCGGCTCGAATTTTGCACACGTCGACCGGAGAACTTTGTCTGTCTGGGCGGCAAGTGAGTGGACGTTGGAATTCCACCCATAGAAATGCTCGGAGCCGTCTGAGGTCTGGTATTGCGAGACCACCTTCCCGAGTTCAAAGCCTGATCCCTCGCATAGAAGTCCGGCAACCACCAGCTCAGGTGGGAGGACTGTTCTTTTTGAGATCTTTGCAGCCAGGTGCACCAGCACGACCTCACGGCCCTTCAGGTCTCCAAGCATCATGCAGCTGCCAATAGACTCGTAGAATCCCTTTGTCACCATACGGTCGACGGAAAACAAACCCATGGACACATATGTGGCAAAGGCCAGCGCGCTGGCCAGGTGTCCTTCAAAGGTGGAGCAGGTAAGTCCACAGAAGTTCCTGTTGAAGGAAGCCAATGATGCAGGCCTCCATGGTGATCGCTTCCGTGAGTCCAGAGATCTTGATCCCACTCTTGGTGACGTACTCCCGGGAATGCGAGTGCAGGGGCAGGGGCGGGGTAAACTGAAGCCCGGAAAGGATTCATGCCCGTTGTCGTTGGAAGCCCAGAGAGCGGCTGGGTAATTTCCTTTGCTTGCGCAGGAAACTCTTGCAAAATTCCCTTGTTGGGTCGGGGCTGCGAGGAGTGAGAGAAGGGGGCTGCATATGAACGAGGAGGTCTGAAAGGCAACAATGGTGCCCGCTCGCGGGCCCGCTGCGGCGTTCCCCGACGCCCGCTTCAAGAGGCCCATGATTCCGGCCACACACAGAGTGTCCAAATCGCTTAAAAAGCAGGTCTTGAGCCAAAAGGTTTAGGGTTTCAATGTAAGGCAGAGCAACGTAGCCAAGTCCACACGAAGGCACTGCACAGAAGCTGCTAGCCAGCATTAGGACAGGTCCATGTCGGCAGGAGGATAGGCAGACAAGTGGAAGATCTGTCGAGACACATGGAGGCAGCGTTTCGAGCCGAGACAGTGGACTGGATACGGTTGCTGTATATATATATATATATATATATATATATGCATATATGCATATATTAACATATATATATATATATATATATGTGTGTATATATTTATTTTTTCGCAACAGGCTTTCCACTTCGCCCGGGACATACATAATACAAGAACATATAACATAACAAACAAATCAATAGTTTGAAGTATACAGTATTCTATACTAGCAGGTACTATATTAGATTATACAGTGCAGTCAGTCAGTATACTGTAATAGAAACATGTAGCATAATATAATACAGCGAACATGATATAGTTGAACATAACAAAAATGCAGTATAATATAGTATAATATGTACATTTGATAACATGACATAATCTAGTGTAGCTGAAAAGGGCATAATAGAACGAATGTACATAACAGATAACATACATCATGAAACATGCACCGCAAAATATATACATATATATATATATATGTATACACAAATCCACATTGTACATATATGCATATGTATATATACATATACATTATAGAGATATACATATACATATATACATATGAAGTGTGTCGTATGTAATGCATAACATATAACACCCGCTATTCAATATGCAATATGTAATAAGCCAGATATCATACGCAACATGTATGAATATATCGTATGTGATATGTAAAACTATCGTAAAGGGTACGAAACATACAACATATACTCTGTGATAGGTAATGTACAATGTATTATATGTTAAATATTATGTTTAACTAACCGGGGAGGACTCGAACTGCCAACAAGCGGGCTCCAATAAAATGCAGTCGGGTCGCACTGTCGCTCTGGCACCGAACACAGAGAGTCCCAATGCCCGCCTCGCATTCGACTTGGCATGTGAATTTACGATGAGCTTTGGAGCAGCGTGGCGTCCCACACTTGGATGCTAGCAGGACTTCGATTCCGACCCATCTAACCCCTGGCTCCTTGCTGTCAAACACCCAGCCGCGACCGTCTGCCAGCTTGAGATACCTGAGCTGAACTTAGACGTAGAAATAACGAGAACTGTAGCTTTACTCGTACGGAGCACATGCATGTCAGGGTCTACTCCTGCATCTCTCTGGAGTAGAACAATGCATGCGACAAGCCTTCTCGTGGCCTTGCAAGATAGGCTAGCCACAGATCAAGGATATTGCATGGCATGCAGGTCAAGGCACAAGGTTCCGTCCGAGCCCTCAAATGTCTCTGACACCCTGAAAACCTCGCCAGCCACCAGACGCTCGTGCGTCCTGGCACAGACTTCTCCGCACAGCGTCGGGCTGTCGGACAAGGCGATGCAAGACATAAAATCCCCCACGGCAGGTGCAGCTGTTGCTGACATCCACAAGGCATGTAGCATCCACGCAGCATGCGGTGCAGAAACAAGTTGTAATGGATTGCCCAGCCGACGGGTCCTGTTCCCGGAGATCGACGGCACAGATCGGATGTCGATGTGATTTCCATCCTCTGGGACATACCTCGAGTTGTCAGCGAACTCCAGGCACCCACAGCCCACAGTACGTTCTCGTCTCGCTGGTACCCCGCGTCACCATCATCGCCACCACCAACATCATCACCGACATCACAGTAACGGCCATCACCACCGACACCGCATCACCTCTTACCACCATCAACATCGATATCTTCCATAACCGTCGTTAACATCGCCATCATCTTGTAGAACCTCCTCCGATGACAAAAGGACACTGCATCTGTTGGTGCGAGAAGAAATTGAAAGAGATATGGATAGAAATAAAGATACTCAGCGTGAGCGTGTGAGCGCGAGTGTGAGTGCGAGCGGGAGCGTCAGCCTGAGCGTGAGTGTGAGGGTGTGAAGCTGAGCGTGAGGGTGAACGTTTGCGAATGAGAGTGAGTGCGCGAGTGGGAATGAGTCTCTCAGTGTGCGAGCGGGTCCGTGTGTTTCTTGCGAAATCTTGCGATGTGTGCCACAATGTCTACACTTGTTAGTGCATCTGCGGAGGCATGTGTGGATGCGAGAGAAAGGGTACGTGTCGGTACCGCAAATACAGAGATCCGTCGGCACTTAGATTCCACCGCCGCACGATGGATGAATGTTTGGTATTCCAAGACACCGCCAGACCGCTTCGCCGTCGGCCGTTGCAGTTGCACCACCTGATGTCGCCGAGCCCCACTCCAAGTGGACGTCCAGCTGCTTGCCTGCATTGAGGCTGCGCACCCTTCTTCGGGAACGATGTTTCACAAACCCAAGACAAGCAAGCCTACATGTCTCAGACGTCGAAAAAGCTGGCTGTGGTGCTCCACAATCTGGAGGGACTGATTGCACAGTGCCTCGGACATCACCTGGCAAAACGAGAACTGCAAGATCCTCTGCTACATGCACCATTTCACGCAAAAATCACATATCCTTTTGAGAACAGGTATTGGTCATGCTCATTCAGACCTTGGATATACTCATACTAGCTAACATTTCAAGCATGATTTGTTGTTTTTTTGAAGTTTTCACCAATGCGATTATTGTTACTATGATTATTCTGTCTCTTCCTTTTCTAATGGCTAATATGATTACTATGCCTGTGACTACGGCCTCTATGTTTGAGAAATGCAGATGGCCTGGTCCAGCGGGCTGGGAGGAGGCCTCCGAATGCTTGCGTCCACGCGCATCACCGAGTAGCTGCTCAGCTCAGTGAAGAGCTCACCATCCGTCTCCGTCTCGCGCATCTGCACCTGATGATGAGGGTCTGAGTCTGAGGCTCTAAGACCTTTGCCTTCAATGCCTTTGACACCGATGGTACGATGGTGCATTCGGAGAGCTGACTTGCTGCTTAAACCTGGAACATGCCAAGTCGCATATTCAAGGCTATCGTCATGCTCAGGCCGGCTGCACCAAGCAACTCGTACGCGATCTCGCGGTGCGAATCCTCGAACTTGTGCCCGGTACCAGTGCCCGTCCATGGGATAGCATGCCCAGACGTCGCTGCCTGCCAGAGAAACTTGCACGACCAGAAAAAGCTAATTAATTCCAGCATGTTCGGATTGGTGACCTGTGCAACACAAGATATCACAAACCCGGCGCTGATGTGTGTGTGTTTTGGGCGATTCATCGCGTCTTCATGTCGGACTTTGCACTTCTGGCAGGGTCAGTTCGGTCGTTAGTGCCGAACCAACCTGAAAATCGAGCGGCACAGCCACTGGTGGTCATGAAAGTCCTCACCTTCTCCTGACCATCAACTTCCAGGGTGCTTTCCCTGGAACGGCCGAGCATGGTTCGGAAGACATAGGTCTACATGCATGTTTGGGAAAACGTGGCGAATTCGCTGGCGGTGTCCAGCTGCAACTGCCGTCGCCCACACCCGCTTCAACTTCAGGCGCAGTGTGCCTGGCGAGCGGTTCTGGGCTCCAGCTGAAACCAGACAAAAGGATTAGGAGCACTCCGTGAAGTCACAGCAGCGATCACCTAGATATTCGCAAAGACGGTGGAGCCCTGGCAGGCTCTTCTGATCACTTCCGGCTTCTTCCCGGCCACCATCGTCTCCACACTCACGGCCCGCAGGACCTCCTCCACAGAGATCGTGCCCATGGCCGAGCTGCGCCGGCCCGCAAAGGGATAGACGTCGGGGCCTCGCTGGCACTGCGCGTTGAGGTTCACGCGGCAAGTGGACAGCGCGCACACGTCCAACAGCTCAGCCAGATCAGCATCTGGTTGGGTGGCCTCCTGGGAGGTAAAGATTGCGGACTGCTGGCCAAAATGCATCTTCTCCAGCCAGGCGATGGGCTCGTCGATGCTCTCATAGGGTGCAATGGGGATCACCGGCCCGAACTGCTCGGCTTGCCAGAGCTCCATCTCATGTGTCACGGGATACACCACGGCAGGGAAGAACAGCGATCGATCCAAGTGTGCGCCACCCTCGTTTAGGACCTTGGCACCCTTAGAGGTGGCATCGTCCGTCAGCGTCTTCATGTACTCTGTGGAGCTAGACGCCAAGGGCGTGATGTTGCTCTTGCCAAACGGCAAGCCTGCAGACAATCCCGAGATGGCGGCGCAGAACTTTTCGTTGAACTTCTCAGCGATGCTCTTGTGCACCATGATGAGCTTGATGGCGGTGCAGCGCTGGCCGTTGTAGGAGGTGCTACCAGCCACACACTCCTTCACAGCCACGTCCAAGTCGGCATCCGGCATCACAATGGCCAGGTTCTTGGCATCCAAGGACAGCAGGTTCTTCAAGCGATGTGGCTGCGGGTGTGCCTTTACCAAGGCATCGGCTGCCTTTGATGAGCCGATGAATGCGAAGACGTCCACCAGCCCTGTCTCCATGCACGGAGGCATGGTGTCGCGTCCCCGGCCAGAGACAAAGTTCACGACGCCTGCGGGGAAGCACTCGGCATAGGCCTCCATGGTGAGGAAATGCGCAAGGCCACCCGTGTTCGGAACCTTCATCACCACAGAATCGCCCATGAGGATGGCTGGGATCAGTGTGGCGTAAGTCTCGTTGAAGGGGTAGTTGGAGGGACCCAAATTCATCATCACCCCGATGGGAGAGCGCTTCAGCAGGGCATGCACACCCTCATGGCATGCCATGCCAGTGGAATCGAAGCCTCGTGCTGCCGAGATCAGTGCACCGATGAAGTCCATCGTGCGATCGAACTCCTTCGCTGCGTCGGCATCGTTTTTGCAGATCTCCCACTGTAACACCGACACGATCTCCGATCGGCGCTCCTTCAGCTTCTCAACGAGCTTCTCCACTGCAACTACACGCTGCTCAAGGGACTTGCGCGGCCACTCGCCGCGGCCGCGGCCCCATGCTTTGGCAGCTGCCTCTACTGCCTTCACTGCCTCCTTCGACGACAGGGTCGCCTGGCGACCGATGCAGATGCGTTGATTGGTCTCCGTGCAGTACACCGGAGAGAAGACCTCGGTAATTGCACCCGTCCAAGGCTTCACCTCTCCACCGATTAACACCTTGGCACCATCAACATATGGCTTTGTCTTGAACGTCTCACTGTCCTGGGACACCTCCGGTTTGTCAATCTGCGGCGCCATGGCTTGCGTATGTTTCCGAATCAGCGGCAAGGGTGGGAGCGTCGGAGAACTCAAATGGCTAACAAATAACCTGCAACCAAGCAATCTTTGCCAAATCATGAGTATTTTGTAATCATGCCGTGCTGCCAGATGCAAAGACAAGGCTTTTGTTTCCATGCGATCTGGGTCTTGTCGGTGATGATCTTAGTTGGATGACGCACTTCTGGCAGGGTCGGTCCGGTCGTGAGCGCCGAACCAACCAGAAAATCGAGAGCTGCACAGTCGAGCATTTAGCCGTAGAAGATATCACCTTCTCCTGGCCATCAACTTCCAGGGCGTTTTCCTGGAACAGCCGACCACGCTTGGGAAGACGGTTGGGCACGCGCATGTTCTGGAAAAACATGTCGAATTCATTGGCAGCATCCGGTTGGATCCAGCTGCAAGTGCCGTCGCCCACACCCGCTTCAACTTCAGGCGCAGTGCGGCGAGCGGTTCTGTTCTGGGCTCCAGCTGAAACCAGACAAAAGGATTAGGAGCACTCCGTGAAGTCACAGCAGCGATCAAGAGCGGCATCTTCCAGATTCCTAGATATTCGCAAAGACGGTGGAGCCCTGGCAGGCTCTTCTGATCACTTCCGGCTTCTTCCCGGCCACCATTGTCTCCACACTCACGGCCCGCAGGACCTCCTCCACAGAGATCGTGCCCATGGCCGAGCTGCGCCGGCCCGCAAAGGGATAGACGTCGGGGCCTCGCTGGCACTGCGCGTTGAGGTTCACGCGGCAAGTGGACAGCGCGCACACGTCCAACAGCTCGGCCAGATCAGCATCTGGTTGGGTGGCCTCCTGGGAGGTAAAGATTGCGGACTGCTGGCCAAAATGCATCTTCTCCAGCCAGGCGATGGGCTCGTCGATGCCCTCATAGGGTGCAATAGGGATCACCGGCCCGAACTGCTCGGCTTGCCAGAGCTCCATCTCATGTGTCACGGGATACACCACGGCAGGGAAGAACAGCGATCGATCCAAGTGTGCGCCACCCTCGTTTAGGACCTTGGCACCCTTAGAGGTGGCATCGTCCGTCAGCGTCTTCATGTACTCTGTGGAGCTAGACGCCAAGGGTGTGATGTTGCTCTTGCCAAACGGCAAGCCTGCAGACAATCCCGAGATGGCGGCGCAGAACTTTTCGTTGAACTTCTGAGCGATGCTCTTGTGCACCATGATGAGCTTGATGGCGGTGCAGCGCTGGCCGTTGTAGGAGGTGCTACCAGCCACACACTCCTTCACAGCCACGTCCAAGTCGGCATCCGGCATCACAACGGCCAGGTTCTTGGCATCCAAGGACAGCAGGTTCTTCAAGCGATGTGGCTGCGGGTGTGCCTTTACCAAGGCATCGGCTGCCTTTGATGAGCCGATGAATGCGAAGACGTCCACCAGCCCTGTCTCCATGCACGGAGGCATGGTGTCGCGTCCCCGGCCAGAGACAAAGTTCACGACGCCTGCGGGGAAGCACTCGGCATAGGCCTCCATGGTGAGGAAATGCGCAAGGCCACCCGTGTTCGGAACCTTCATCACCACAGAATCGCCCATGAGGATGGCTGGGATCAGTGTGGCATAAGTCTCGTTGAAGGGGTAGTTGGAGGGACCCAAATTCATCATCACCCCGATGGGAGAGCGCTTCAGCAGGGCATGCACACCCTCATGGCATGCCATGCCAGTGGAATCGAAGCCTCGTGCTGCCGAGATCAGTGCACCGATGAAGTCCATCGTGCGATCGAACTCCTTCGCTGCGTCGGCATCGTTTTTGCAGATCTCCCACTGCAACACCGACACGATCTCCGATCGGCGCTCCTTCAGCTTCTCAACGAGCTTCTCCACTGCAACTACACGCTGCTCAAGGGACTTGCGCGGCCACTCGCCGCGGCCGCGGCCCCATGCTTTGGCAGCTGCCTCTACTGCCTTCACTGCCTCCTTCGACGACAGGGTCGCCTGGCGACCGATGCAGATGCGTTGATTGGTCTCCGTGCAGTACACCGGAGAGAAGACCTCGGTAATTGCACCCGTCCAAGGCTTCACCTCTCCACCGATTAACACCTTGGCACCATCAACATATGGCTTTGTCTTGAACGTCTCACTGTCCTGGGACACCTCCGGTTTGTCAATCTGCGGCGCCATGGCGTGCTTTCGTCTAGGGAGGGTGAGGCTGGGAAAACTCAAGCAGCATTCATCAACCCCCCAGCCATGCAAGACACGCACACCACCGAGCCATGAATGGGCCTACGTCTGGCCGACCACCGCCGGCGAATGGCGCAGCTTTGCAAACCGCTGCTGGGTGCTGCAGGCGCTTTCCATCACACTCCACCTGGATTGTCAAGCTGTCGGGAACTTCCGAATTTTGGGGGTTTAAAGGTTTATCTAGGGGTTTAACTTAGAGTTTAAGGACTTCTGGGCTTACCGGGTTTAGGGCTGTTCCAGTTCCCCTTTCTCAGCCTGGGAGAAGGTGTCCAAAGCCTCTTTCAAAGCCGCACCCACACGATGTGAAGCGAGGGCATCAGCCTCTTTCCGCCTGGCAAAGCTTGCAGGAGGAAGACTTGAAGTTCCGGGCTTCGGGCTTGGAAGACCCTGAGATTCTAAGGCTCGCGTGAACCGCAGTTGAAGGGCGAAGGCCTAGGGGTCACTGTCCTCGAAAAACTTCGGAACGCAGACACAGCCCTGCTTGGGGGCAAGGCTTCAATTGCAGCTGCAAGATCCACACTGCACGGCGTGACTCTACTCAGCTCACAGATAATTGTTCTTGCAGCTGCCGGTCGAGACGCCAACCGCAGATTGAAGATCCCAACCCGATACCCCCAAACCCCAAGGGTTCCTAAAGCTTTGAATCCACTTCATGCTGAGACGACGGGGAACTCTGCCACAGGGTCAGGCATTCTCTTGAAAACCGGTCCGGTCAGCAGCTCCAAAGTGACAGCAGGGGGGGTATTCGCGGGACATGAGGGACACACAGATCCAAATGACTTGCCATTTGCGAAGGGCGCTGGTTGCTCGCCGAGCATCTCTGTCAGCGTGGCAAGCAGCAAGTTCACCACCCAGCATACATCCTGCAACAAGGCACGAATCAGTTCAGCATTATCGCACAATTCTGCGTATATAGCTGGCATCACCCCCTAGATTCCGGGATCACTGACATGCACTCACCGCTCGGACCAAGCGTAACTGAGATACCCCTTGAGGCGGCCCCAGTCATCTTTCTCAACTCCCACTCGATGCGGCACTGATCGACCCTGAAGAAAACATACACCTATGAGTCCTGTCATGCTGCGTGTCTCACTAAACTTACTGATGTGCGATCACTGACCACTGCGTCAGTGCGCTTCCGTGCTGCTTGCATCAACCACAGCACACATTTTCGACAAAAATACCTGTAATAATGACAGAGGTACAGGAAAAAAGAATGATAACAATAAGAAGAAGAATAGTAACAATAGTAACAACAAAAAATATTAATGATACTCATAATGCTGAGCCTCCTCGGCCGGATTCTTCTCCTCGGACAGCTCGCCGCCCTCGCAGCGATCTGCGGCCTGCAGGGAACAGGGGTCTCAGCCCATGCACTGGTCGTGACAAGAAGTACTGCAACCAATGGTAACACTGACAATATCTGTTCAGCTGTTCAGACGCAAGACGCAGGAGTAGAAACAACAAAAATGCGGAAATTTTCGATACTATTTACTACGAAGTGAGCATGACAAGAAGGTGATCATGGTGATGGTAATGATTGTGAGATTGCGATGATGGTGATGATGGCGATGAGGCGATGATGATACTGGCGGTGATAGTGATGTTGGTGAGGACAGTGGTGATGATGGTGATTTTGGCGATGATGGTGAGATGGCGATGATGGTGATGATGGTGGTGGTGATGGTGGTGATGGTGGTGATGGTGGTGATGGTGGTGATGGTGGTGATGGTGGTGAGGGTGGTGATGGTGGTGATGGTGGTGATGGTGAGGTGATGGTGAGGTGATGAGGATGATGATTCAGTGATGATGCTCGAATGATGATAAGTTTGATGATCCGGGATGAAGGGGGGAAGTGGTGAAGGCGGCGGCGGCCACGGTGATGGCCGTGGTGGTGGTGGTGGCGGTGGTGGTGGCGGTAGCAGTGGCGGCGGCCCTGGCGATAGTGGAGGTGAAGTTTGCGGAGGTGACGATGCGGGTGGCGGCGGCGGTTGTGGGACATCATGATGACCAGTCCCCAAAGATGATCCTCCTGGCAGCACCGGCGATAACACTGGGGCTTGCCCCGACAATAAATGCAAGGAGGATCTGCAGAACATGCTTCGTTCTTGATTAGTGGGTAGAACCTGATCTTGGCGAATGCCCGAAAGACTCAAACTAGAAGAGTCCTGAAGAGTCTATAGAAGCTTCACAGGAGATCCTGGCCTCTGCGGCCTCTGCTAGCAGCGCCAGTAGCTGGGCGACCAGGGCCTGCATCTGAGCAAGAAGCCAAACCAAGCACCCTCGATCGCGTAAGGGCTGGCGTTTGAACAAGCCCATTGCAAAACACAAACTCCTTTTGCAATGAAATCTTCACAGGACAAGCAAGAGAAAGAGAAGGAGACGATGCTAGGAAACATGTTGGTTCCTTTCGACTCTCGGCTGGTAGTACCGGGCGACTTCTGAACTCACAGCCGTTCGGGCGCCTTGCTGCAAGGCTCGGTGGAATTACGTTCCGCGACAGAAAGCCTTGCATTCAACACCTACTGAAATCAATGAACAATGTTCCGGGGACACTCAAACTTCTGACCCAGGCCCACAAGCGCTCTCAACTTCATAACCCTTGCCAAACCTCGGGCGCCGCGGCGACCTTCAAAACCAGCCTGGGCTTTCGCATGTCTTGCTGTTTATTGCTGAAGGACTCGATACAGGTACACAAGGGGCCTGATAATTAGAATAGGGTTTTGGGGCCCATTATGCTATATTTATAATAAGGAATCCCCAGAATAGTACGGTACTGTATAGTATATATAGGTAAGTCTTCAGGCCTCGATATTGGGTTTCGGAGATTGGCAAGGTTTCGGCGCTAACACTCTTGTACCGGGCGTACCTAGATTAAAGCAGATGCAGGAATTCTTACCTGATTTTTCACGAAAACCACTCGCGCGACTCTGCCCGATTTACAACTTATCACCGCTAGTCATCTCATCTCGGGCAACCCGAGATGCTGCACTGTGTCGGGGAAAAGCTGCTCCACATGGTGCACATGGCACTGCACCAGTACAACCCGTACAATCAAAAGTGGTGGGCTGGTCGGATTATGTTCCATGCTGGTTTCGCAATGCGCCGCACCCGAAGCCGACAACCATCACACTATTTGTCCATGGCACCGCGCAAGCTGCTCCCCAACTGCGGCCTCCGTCTGAGCGTCGGAGAGCTTGGCATCCAGGGCCTTTCAGCAGATGTTCCAAGGATCCAATTTCGGTCCGCTGGGCGCGACCCAGAAGTGCCTTGCCGTCCTCGCTGGCCTTTCGCGTCACTCTCCCCGAAGGAGAGCGTGGCACAGCACCGGCTGCACATTCCGCGGCCACGGCGGCAGCACGGCCAAGCAAAGGCCGCCGCCTCCGGCCACCTGACAGGCTGTGCTCTCCAGCTGAGCCCGCCATGGTCCTGAGCACCGAAAGCCTCGCGTCAGTGCTCGCAGCACTGTCTGCAGGCCGTCGGTCTCAAGCAGACCGCGCAGACCAGGAGCGGCGAGGCAGTTGCCATCGGCATCCTTGAGGACAAATTGAAGTCCCTTCCCGTTCACCCTTGTGGCTGTGGTCACTCTGTTTATATCTGTTTATGGAGGCAAGCGTCCGCATCACCTTGGAGGCGCTGATTCCAGAGCGAAAGCGTCTGTGCCGCTATTGCAGCAGACTTCGAAGCCTCGTCATTCGCATCTCCCTGAACATAACCTCGGCAGAAAGACAGTGTGCAGGTGCTGCGCTTGACGAGCAACACCCCCTTCTGCAACTGGCCTGCTGCGACTTTGCCCACCCCCTACTTCCCTTAAACCGCTCTGGATTGATGCTGAGGCCAAGGCTGCTACTGAAGGTCTCCACCTGGGGGTTTCCAAAAATAGGGGACCCTAATATAGTGCCGTAAGTAGTAGGATCCTTATTACAAGGACCAAAAATAAGGTACCCCTAACTTTCGGAAACTTTAAACCCTTATAGTAGCCCTTTAAGGGAACCCCATGATAGTGCTCTTTTTGCTTTACAGGAACCCTATGGTACCCCCCAACTTTCGAAAAAACTCCCACCTCACTTTTGTAAAGAACCCCTTTATAGTGATCTGTTGGTAACCCTTTAAAGGAACCCTAAGGTACCCCCCAACTTTCGGAAAAAACTCCCCACCTCACTTTTGTAAAGGTTGATCAGGTCAGAGGACTGCAGGTCCTCAGCAGCCTCAGCTCGCGATCCGATCTCTTAGCTATGAGCTAATCTTTGGCTGATTTTTATTATTATTATTATTGTTCATTCTTACTAGTAAATTCAATATTGTTAAATTAGTATGCTCAATTAATATTAATTGTTCTTAAATAATATTAATTAGTATAATTAGTAGTAATTACGTAATTACTACGGTTTCAACCTACAGCACACAGTCACAGAGCTCAGAGCGCTCTTGCGCATCACAAAATCAGCACCAGAGAACGCGCTGGCCAGACCAGGCATTCACAGAAGCAGCGAAGGTGGCACCCACCGTTTGCAGTCCTGAAAAGCAAATTGACACCAACGGAACAGGCAAGCAAACTGCTAGTGTCTCACAACTGCCCGGGTGCCTGCTGCTGCTGCTTCCTGCCGACCATTCCTCCGTTTCCTATATTATTCGTTTGGGTGTCCCAGTTGCCTCCGATTCGCACTGTTGCAAATTTGACTCATCTTACTGCTCTTCGGCTCCTGCTAGTCACCTTGGTTCCCATCCACGCATTTTCCTAGTCACATTCCTGCTGCTACCTACAGTCTACGAGCACCCCCGTGTTCCTTCTTGTCCTGTTCCAGCCACAATTTCTCCCACTGTACCGCTCTCTGCATCCTCGCCTTATCCTGCCCCACACAAGCCCCGGAGCCCTGCAAGTCTGCAAGAACCCCTGGAACGGGGCCTTCGTCCGCTTCCGAAGCCAGGCGCTGCACGGACTGCTGCACCTGTGCGGATGCGCAGGACATACGGCTTCGGATGTGGGGCTCGAGCATGTTTAGCCCGACCTTTGGTTCGCGATTGCGTCCCTACAGACTGCATTCCGCAGCAGATGCCGTTTGTGCCACCCTGCCGTGTCGCTCTCAAGCATTTTCTTTCGCCGACTCGGTCACGGGTCACAAGTACCGAGCCACACACGCACAGCACCTATCCACAGAACACATAGTGCAGTTGCTTTGTTCGGTGATTCTTCCATCGAGCTGTGAATTGGGCCTGCCTTCATGCAGATTAAAAATTACTGTATTGATGTCTTGATTCATTCTCTCGTCATGTGCATTTACGACCTGTTTTATACCAGATTTCGCGTCTGATTGGTGCTCTCAAAATCACACCTGGACAGCTGACGTGGAACCCATGGGGCCTGGAAACCAGGCTCCAGCAAGATCGCCGTGTAACTACTACAACTTCCTTTAAAAAAACACCATCAACTCCAGGGTTCGAGTCCAATCGCATTTGGGCACAGCACTCTCGGAGAGGTTCTGCCTGCTCGGCTGCCCGGTCTGCGCTTGCTCGGAGAACCGCCTGGCTTTGAATGACCATCAGACTGACGGCGGCTTCAGCTTTCTGCGGCTTTCTGTGGTGTCTTTGTCCCACGAGGTGTGGTTCTTCATGCTTCCTCCATATGTTCCTTTCCATGCCTCTCGTTACCGCTCTGTCGATTTCTCCGTTTCCCAGTCTGCTCCTACTCCTTTCCTCTCTTTTTCCTACTACTTTTCTGCCTAGTTCCTGTCCCTTGATCCTGGGTCGTGTTTACTTTGGCCTCTTCCTCCTTTCGTTCTCTGTGTTTGCTCTTTCTTTCCTCCCCTTTTCCTCGTCGTCCCAGGCTCGGAGTAGCAGGCGCAAGCCCGGTTCTTCCGTGGTCAACCCGGCATGTGTCATGACACAGACATGGCCTGGCCGTGCTCGAAGAGGGCACCCAGGCCTGTATGACGTGCAAGACTCGCACATGTGTGCATGCATGTGTGCACGAATGTATGCGTGTACAAGCGTACACTGGGTGTACACCTAGTGTCTCGCTCTCTCCCTCACCCTCCAAGCCGTGAAAGGCACCACGGCCCCTCCACGCCGGGGCGAGAGAAGTCTGAGCTCCGAGCCAACATCTTCCGAGGTGAACTTGCCTCCCGATTCCCCTGCCAACTGTTCCAGCTGGCGTCGGATCTCCTCCAACAACACACTCTGAGGGCAAATCGCGGGGTCTCTCGCAACCCCTCCTCTGCTGACGTGGCAAACCAAGAAGCCATGGCTGAATCTGTGCTGTGCTATGAGCCACAGAAAGCAAGCTTCGTCCTGCCCGTCATGGCGTAGACGGGCTTTGAGAAAGTGCGGCAGCGGAAGGGACCGACTCGAAGGTATTCAAAAGCAGCTGGACCGCTATGCTACCCTGAAGCTCAACAACAAAGTACTGAACGAGTTGTCTCACGCACACAACAGCTGGATAGTGGACATATGGACTGGAAAACACATAAACAAAGCGCTTCAGACCACAGAGGATCCTGCTTGCCCCTATGCGACATGTGCGGAGTACTGAGTACTGACAGCACCCGCCGGTGTTCATAGGTACTATCCCTGGTACCAGCCGAAAGTTGTGATGACCGAACTGCTGCTCAGATCTGCTCAGCGTGGCAACCCCCTCGCTTCAAGAACAAGTTAAATTACGAGAAGAACTTACTTTATGGCGTAATTCGCATCGCTTACGCCTTGTATGCTCTGGTACAGTGTCCGGTTAGGCACGCATAGTCTCGAACTTGGCTTTTCAGCTGCCCAAACCTGAGACTACCCTCGACTCTACTTCCACATCCTCCCTCAAGCCCTCGATGTGCACAAACTCTGGTGAAACCATTCGCAAATTAAGAGTCCAGCAATCGTAAACCGACGATTCCAAAACGCAACCGAACATGATCCGAGGCAGCAGCATAAAGGGATCCCCGCTGTCCCAGGAGGCCCTCGTGATGGAGGAAGTCGAGGACGCGCTGCGAGGACCAGAAAGCTTTGTGAGAATTTCAAGTAAACGATGATAAGATCATGGATCGAACAAGTCGATTTACATCATGTGTGCAACGGCTTTCATTGTTTCAAGTCGCCACCGTTTGCGCAGTTTTTAGTGTTGGCATGTGTTGGCACTCGTGGCTCGGCACAGCCATCCAGGATCTTATGCAGCAACCTGCAGGCCGTCTTCCCCGCCCTAGAACATTAGACAGTGTAGCAAAACATAGCAAAATACAGCCCACACTTCGTTAGCTACTCCGTTCCAGGAAGCAGGCTAGACTTCCCGAACCGAGAAACTGGAAGCCGAGTTTTTCCAGCAACTGCTCAAGCCATGCAACCCTGCATTTTCCATTCCTGCCGGAGGCGAAACAGCTAAGCAGCGCCAAACAAAGCCCATCGTGGGCTAGAGGCACCTGGCTCTTGCTGGGACTGTGCTGCTCATCTTTAACGTCCAACATGCCATATCTCAGTGGCCTCTGCATTCTTCACTCTGGAGTGCTTGCGGTCTCTGCAGCAGGAAGTCGGCATCAAACCTTTCTCCATGAGGAGGTCCATCCAGCAACCTTCCGAGGCTCCTTGAGGTTTGGCCACCTGCGGCTAGTGGAGGAATCACGGGATGCGCATCGTCTCCGTCTCCGTGAGGAAGGTCAGGACGCAGCGGTCGGCCCTGCTCGCCGCTTCTTGCGAACCGTCTTTTTGCCTTTTTTCACTACGTCCGGGTCCGTCTTCCTCGCCTTCAGCTTCTTGCGAGCTGGCCTGTCCTTCCCAATGGCTGGCATGAGAGTGGGCGGACCACTTGGCTTTTCTGCCTTGTCAGACATGTCGCACACAGACCACACTCGCAAACCAAGCATTACTCACCACAAGAGCTCCTGCGCCTCGACTGCTTTCGGGCGTGGCTTCTTCTTTTGCCGCGGTCCATTGGAGTTGGCAGTGATCCGTGAGTTGCCGCCACGGCCGCGGCGCAAAGGCTCCGGCTCCTCCTTGGGAAGCAGCTGGGCAGAGTCAGCCGCGGTCTTTTGCCAGCTGCGTGCTTTCGGAGAGCAGTCCCGCACTCTCGCTCGCCAACCAATAATCTCTAATATCTCTCTCTCTCTCTCTCTCTCTCTCTCTCTACAGGGCGTGAAGAAGGCAGCAGCTTCCAGGCAACCTTCTTCGCGCGCGAACGCACACCTGCAGTTCATTGTCGCCCCTCCAAAGAGGGTTTTTCCCCTGCAGGATCTGCTGTACTGACACAGACTGACAACTTCCACCGAGAGACGATCCCCCCGAGATGAGACTCTCTCTCTCTCTCTCTCTCTCTCGTGCTTGCTGCAGTTGTACGTTGGGAAAAGCCCTCCCGCACGCACACAAGCTTCTTCCATGGTGTTCTGTGGTCTTGCCTTGCTTAGTGCTTCGGTTCGGGTGCCAGTGAAGACCCTTGCTTCCTGTCCTCCCTCCCACCAACAATAACTGCTCCTTTTTTTTTGAAGCAAGCCTCTACAACTATGCCTTTGGCTCCAACGCTGAGCTCATGTCACTCCCCCCAGCTTTTGTGCCCAACAGCGGGGCACTGCGGAGCAGAAAGTGTCGGGCAGTGCTGCATGCGCCTCCGGTCTCTGAGGTTCAGAAGTTCACAACACAGTACGGAACTGGCTTCGGTAACCAAGCTTTCCCCTGTTTCCACGACAACCGCTTAAGGCCTACCTACCCCCTGCCTGTCTGTGCTCTCTCCGTTCCTTCCTTTCTCTCGCACACATTCTCACGTTCTAACTTGAATTACCGAAATCAGCCAAGACACTGCGTCGGAATCTGGCATGCGAGCAGACCCACGCCCTCGTCCAGCACCACGTGCCCCAGCGAACCCACGTCCGCCCCTTGGAGCTTTGACAGGGCCATCTGACCATCGAGAAGATGTCGGAGCGACCTGGTTGTGCTTGCGTTTCTTCTTGGTCTTGCCCGACTGACGTTTCCCGTTCAGGATCTCCAGTCGCGGCCTCACAGCTGGGTCGTGACATCCACAGAGACGCACAGACACGCAAACTGTCAGGAGAAGTGGCAGGCTGGCCAGTATCTGTTGGAGCTGCTCGGGCACATCGTCTCCTTGCGGCTGCCAGTCTGTCGCTTCGCACACAAGTCTTGCATCTTGTCCAGGCCTGGAGCTGTGGTGAGAGTCTCTGTTTTGCAGTATGGTGGCCATGTTGCAGTGTGTGCATGTTTTGCCTCTGGCTGTCGTGCAGGAACCGGTTTTTGGGCATGATGACGCCGGGGCAACACAAGCTGCCGCCACAGGAGAACACACACACAGAGGCTCCCTGGCATGAATATGTCGTTGTCACTCGTCCTTCTGACACGTTGCCTCGCACATTGAGATTGGTCAGCCAGAGAAGTCCTGCCAGTTCACAGAGGCTCCGTAATATCAAGCTGGGAAACTGCAGTCCTTGCCTTGCAAGGCTTCAAAGCCTGATATCTGCTTGATAAGGTTGTTGCCAACATCCAGCGTAGCCAAGTGTGGTAACGATGCTACCTGGAGGAAAGAATCGCCATAGCTGAGACACAGCTCTCATTCAAGCTTCAATCGAAAGAGGAGCCTGGACAACCAAAAGAAGTTTTCTCGCAATCACGACAGCCCGCTAGCTCGCTGGCTGCGAAGCTCCGAGGTTGGAAAACCATAGGACAAGACTGTGCGCAGTGCGCAAACTGTGCTTGCTGCGGGTGGGCCGCGACAGGAGAGATGGCGAGCAGCTTGTTGCCGTTCAGCCGCAATTCGCTCAGAGCTGGCAGCTTCTTAAGGCTCGGAAAAGAGTGTAGCCGGTTGTGGGCCAGCGAGACCTTCTTCAGATTCTTGAAACCTTCGACGGACTGTGTGCGCCGCGCGCCGGTGCACGTACAAGATCATACTCTGTCTGACTGGTTGTTACCCGGCCTGTCAGTCCACACTGCTCAATGTGGTTGTGCGACAGAATCAAGGTCTCCAGGAGAGGATTCCGCTTCGGGCTGAGGCCATCCAAGATGGCAATGCGATTTCGTGCGGCGATGAGCGCCTTGAGGCTCTGCAGACCTTCCAGGCAAGCCAGCCTGGTGCCACTTTGATGCGGCTGACATGCGCATATGGCATAGACAAACACTGCGCTCTAGCACCCAGCGCCTCGTGACCTTGTTGTCGCTGATGTCAAGGACCGCTAAGCTGGACAAGTTCGTGAGGCCGGAGATTTTCCGCAGCTTGTTCTTCGCGACGCCAAGCCAACATAGACTGTGATTCATCTCCAAGAAGCCTCTGAGCCCGAGCCAGGCTTCGAAGAAGACAAACCAAATCTCGGGTCTCAGTGCCTACCGAGCAGCCGAGGGAGCTGAGGAAGTTCCCTTGCAGCTCTGCTTTCTTCAGATTCTTGAAAGACTCCAGGCTGTCGACAGAGGTCAGCTGTCTTTTGGCCAGCAACAATGCCTCGGGACGACGACGCATAGCATGCTTCAGATTGACACCTGACTGCATCCATGCCGAGGCTCTTCGGCGGCCTCGGCATCGCCATTCGGAACTTCTGTCAACCTCGGGCAAACACCCAAGAGCCCGTGCGGAAGCAGCTTACCATCAACATGCAGATCAAGCGGCGCATCCGTGAAACGAAAATGCTTCGCCTCGGAAGGGAACTGCATTGGAAGCAATGCTGTAAGTCGTATCGCGTGAAAGGTAAGACAGCACTGTAGAGTAAGTACCAGGTGGATGCTGGAGCAAGTGAAACAGAAGGAAGTTTTGCACTGTGCAACGACTGCGGTGGAAGAAGGGTGCTGCATGTACGAAGCACTCTCGGCGGAGGCGTCAAGCACTTTCACTTAGCTTTCCTGGCTGATGCTTCAAAAACTGTAGTGCGTCGTGGCACGTCGGCCAGCTTCTTCATGATCAAAAACTAGAACACCCATCAATGGGCTCGCGGGAGGAGTGCAGTAAGAACCTAAGGACCTAACAGGAATTGTCCGGACAATAATAATGGAATGGCAATGACCAAAGTCGCAGTGACAAGCACAGGGCAAGATGTCGTGATCATCATCATCATCATCATCACCACCACCACAACCACCATGAGCCACTATCGTAATCACAGTCGCAGCGCTGATGCTGCTGCTGCTTATATGCACAAAGACTGGCGAGGGCCACTGGTAGGGGCCGCCACAGAACTTCTTGCTGTAGCTACTAAACCAATTCACCAACCCCGGCCCCAGTTCTTCACACTGTTCTTCACCATGCCACGGGAATGTCGTCGTCTGAGCTTGCATCACCAAGGTCTGACTCCATGGCTGTGGGAGTGCACACTCGCGGCTGCACCGTGTGGCTGCTTCTGTGCCTTGCTGGAGGTTACTCGGCATATGCGGCAGAACTCCAAGTCTAAGTCTCCTTCTACAATGAAAAACAAAGAGGGGAGCCCGCTTGCTGTGAGCATAATCCTGTCGTCGGGCAAGAATTTCCCGAATTGGGCCTTGTCGTGATTGAACCTGCGGCCGAGGTGGACAAGGTTCACTCTCTTAGCTGGCTGCGCACTGTCAGCTAGTATGCGCCCTTACTTTGCGCTGCATCTGGTTCCCAGTCGAGCAGAAGCCTTTTTTGCGTGAGCACGAGTTGCAGCAATGCGGCACCCTGGACAGCAAATGATGGCCGACACTGGGGTGTCCGCGGAGCACTCGGAGCCCGAGACTGGATCCCACCCCGACGCTGAGTGAGCTGCCATCCTCATGAACAGAAAAAACCCACTGGGGAAGGGTAGGGGGGGGGAGGCGTTGTGTGCTCATCCGGTAACCCAAGTGCTGGCGAGCCATTGCCTGCTTTCCACTGGCACAAGCCCTCCAGGCTTCTAGAAGAGAGAAAGAATGAAAGACGCAATCTAGCGAGAAGCGTGTTCAAACACGGCACTTCTCAAAGAATTCATCAGAAGGCGTGCATTTGCTCTTGTAGCAAATTGGCCGAGCACATATCACACTCTGCGATGGCCGATCACCCCCTAGTTCCGGAGAGCACGATGTATCTGACGTTAAGATGAACCTACGTAGCCCCCCCATCTAGGTGTGGGCCTTCGCACATCTTCACATCCTGCTGGCAGGCAGCTCCGACAGCTCTTGGAAGAAGGCACACGATCCACGTGCCACGCCATTTCACTGGCACTGCCGGGCACAAAAGCCAACCACTGGAATGGGAAATTCGATGACAAAAAACTCTGGCAGCAGAAAGGAAGAGGGGGGAGCCTCCAGCACAGACCTCCTAAGGAGCATGAGGGAGTCACATCTATCCTCCAGCTCCTTGGTCCACCACCGCCTGCCTTCTCCTGTAGGAGGAGCGCTGCAGCCCCATTTCAAATTTAAGCCCTCTCCGGCAAAGCTGGGAAAAAAAACATGTTTGATGTTAAACGATTTCAGACAGACACTCCCAGGTAGCCTAGGAAGCCTGCCAGCATTCTCAATGTCTTCACCCGGACCTGCTTCGGAAAGCGCTTCAGTCGGGACAACACCTCAGCCAAGCAATTTTGCACAGAGGTGCTCCTGCCCAAAAGCTTCGGCGAGTCGGCACATGATGAGAATCATCCCCTAGACTGAAAAAGTGGCAAGGGCGCATGTGAAGATGATGGTGAAGGGGATGACAGCAACAAAGACAGCGATGGCGTGGATGCCAGTAGCGACGATGATGATGCTGCCGGTGGCGGTGGTGGTGACATTCATGTTGTCATGATGAAGCCTACCATGATGTGATGGTGGTGCATCCAGGATCATCCGGGCGACTGAATCTGGAGCCCTGCTCCCCGATGTGCAGGTCAAGAAGTTCGCACTAAAGGGCCACGAGGCTTCAGACCGCTATTCATACAGCACGGCTGGGGTCCTTGTAATGTGGGTCAACGCTACATGCACATGCTGTGGGTGAGCTCCTGAAACCCTTGGCCTTAACTCCTGCGGGCTGAAGCTGCCATGCCGCATCTTTGCCCACGGGTCGCTCGGAAGGCGCAAAGCGCAAGCACTCCTTTGGCAACGGGCACGCGGAGAGTTAGCCCTTTACTTCTGCAGGGCTGTCGATACGGCTCTTGTCTGCATGGTTTCGGCGGGGCGATGCATCGCGTCGTCAAGTCGGACGTTGCACTTCTGGCAGGGTCAGTTCGGTCGTTAGTGCCGAACCAACCTGAAAATCGAGCGGCACAGCCACTGGTGGTCATGAAAGTTCTCACCTTCTCCTGACCATCAACTTCCAGGGTGCTTTCCCTGGAACGGCCGAGCATGGTTCGGAAGACATAGGTCTACATGCATGTTTGGGAAAACGTGGCGAATTCGCTGGCGGTGTCCAGCTGCAAGTGCCGTCGCCCACACCCGCTTCAACTTCAGGCGCAGTGCGCCTGGCGAGCGGTTCTGGGCTCCAGCTGAAACCAGACAAAAGGATTAGGAGCACTCCGTGAAGTCACAGCAGCGATCACCTAGATATTCGCAAAGACGGTGGAGCCCTGGCAGGCTCTTCTGATCACTTCCGGCTTCTTCCCGGCCACCATCGTCTCCACACTCACGGCCCGCAGGACCTCCTCCACAGAGATCGTGCCCATGGCCGAGCTGCGCCGGCCCGCAAAGGGATAGACGTCGGGGCCTCGCTGGCACTGCGCGTTGAGGTTCACGCGGCAAGTGGACAGCGCGCACACGTCCAACAGCTCGGCCAGATCAGCATCTGGTTGGGTGGCCTCCTGGGAGGTAAAGATTGCGGACTGCTGGCCGAAATGCATCTTCTCCAGCCAGGCGATGGGCTCGTCGATGCTCTCGTAAGGTGCAATGGGGATCACCGGCCCGAACTGCTCGGCTTGCCAGAGCTCCATCTCATGTGTCACGGGATACACCACGGCAGGGAAGAACAGCGATCGATCCAATTGTGCGCCACCCTCGTTTAGGACCTTGGCACCCTTAGAGGTGGCATCGTCCGTCAGCATCTTCATGTACTCCGTGGAGCTAGACGCCAAGGGTGTGATGTTGCTCTTGCCAAACGGCAAGCCTGCAGACAATCCCGAGATGGCGGCGCAGAACTTTTCGTTGAACTTCTCAGCGATGCTCTTGTGCACCATGATGAGCTTGATGGCGGTGCAGCGCTGGCCGTTGTAGGAGGTGCTACCAGCCACACACTCCTTCACAGCCACGTCCAAGTCGGCATCCGGCATCACAATGGCCAGGTTCTTGGCATCCAAGGACAGCAGGTTCTTCAAGCGATGTGGCTGCGGGTGTGCCTTTACCAAGGCATCGGCTGCCTTTGATGAGCCGATGAATGCGAAGACGTCCACCAGCCCTGTCTCCATGCACGGAGGCATGGTGTCGCGTCCCCGGCCAGAGACAAAGTTCACGACGCCTGCGGGGAAGCACTCGGCATAGGCCTCCATGGTGAGGAAATGCGCAAGGCCACCCGTGTTCGGAACCTTCATCACCACAGAATCGCCCATGAGGATGGCTGGGATCAGTGTGGCGTAAGTCTCGTTGAAGGGGTAGTTGGAGGGACCCAAATTCATCATCACCCCGATGGGAGAGCGCTTCAGCAGGGCATGCACACCCTCATGGCATGCCATGCCAGTGGAATCGAAGCCTCGTGCTGCCGAGATCAGTGCACCGATGAAGTCCATCGTGCGATCGAACTCCTTCGCTGCGTCGGCATCGTTTTTGCAGATCTCCCACTGCAACACCGACACGATCTCCGATCGGCGCTCCTTCAGCTTCTCAACGAGCTTCTCCACTGCAACTACACGCTGCTCAAGGGACTTGCGCGGCCACTCGCCGCGGCCGCGGCCCCATGCTTTGGCAGCTGCCTCTACTGCCTTCACTGCCTCCTTCGACGACAGGGTCGCCTGGCGACCGATACAGATGCGTTGATTGGTCTCGGTGCAATATATCGGGGAGAAGACCTCGGCACAGGCACCTGTCCAAGGCTTCACCTCTCCACCGATCAACACCTTGGCACCGTCCACGTACGGCTGCGTCTTGAACATCTCGCTGTCCTGCGACACCTCTGGCTTGGCAATCTGCGGCGCCATGGCTTGCGTATGTTTCCGAATCAGCGGCAAGGGTGGGAGCGTCGGAGAACTCAAATGGCTAACAGCAACGCACAGTCAAGCAAACTTTGTCAAACACCTTGCTGGGCATAACCAACAATAATAGCAGCAAAAAGTATGGAAAGGAGTGCGGTGTCCCCGGGAAGCATCGGAGATCGGCCAAACCCCTAGATCAACCTGACACATGCAAGAGCTAGCTTGCGAACCCAGACCATGGCCAGCGATTGGCTGGTTTCAAGGTAAAGCCCAAGAATCACACGATACTGAGCAAGAAACTTTGCATCACTCTCGACTTACACTGGCGAAGACATGATCATACAGATCTAAAGTGTCATGCTGCAGGTGCAAACGACGAGCAAACTTCCCTTACGGCGCGAAAACACAACGCGCCACGGGAGTCCAAAACGTACTCACCCGCAAAAGCCTCAATAGTCGCATACGGCTGCCCGACAGGAACTTTCGAAGCCCAAGCTAGGATGCCGACGCTCGCGGCTTAGAAACGAGCAAGATCCTGGAAGCTGCCCTCTGATCCTCCCCAGTCTCCTTGATGATCCGATTTACCTCCTTCGGAAGCTCTGGTAGCTGAGCCATATCTGGCGTGCTGCCAGCCCAACCTGCGGAGCCATGACTTGTCGACTCACTCTGCACAGAGGTACTTAGAATCAGACGTGCAGATACCTCGCTATGACCATGCTCATACCTGGCACAAATCTGCCGGTCATGCATCACGAAGGAGCACCGGGGCTCCACAACATAAACCCTTGGCCTTTCAGAAAGTTGGAACTTGCTCAACGTTCCACACATGGGTGGTCCTCTAGACGGGGATCCGTTTTGGGGTCCCCACACTAGTCGGCACCCCTTTTTCAAAAGGACGCGGAAACGGGACCCTAATTTAGAGAACTGCCCGAATGAAAACCTTCCAAAAACTCCCGAGGCCCACAAAATCCCGAAAAGAGCGTCGTCTGCTTGGATGTGGTTGCAGTCTTCCAGCTATTACATAGTGGGGCCATGGAGGTGTACCTACTCTTCGGCAGCTGACAGCGCAGGAGCTTTTGTTGCAGACTGCATGCTGCGGGAGTGCTGACAAAGCTGCAAACTCAAAGAATAGTTGACTCGTGCGTTAGGTGAAAATGCACAGAATGCACCCGCTCTCAGCAAGAGAACGCGCCTACCGATGCCAAGACCTGGCCAAAGCTCATGTCCTTGTGTGGAAGCTTTTGCGTCAGCATCTCCTCAGAAAGCGGCGTCCTAAACCCAACTGGAACCCAGAGGTGCTGCCAAGTTGGCAGGCTTGCCCCTGCTTTGTAATGAAGTAGACCGAACACCTTTTCGTTCCAGTTTTGATTTGCAGCCAAGAGGCCCACAGCATCACCTTGACCAGTTTGAGCACCGCTCACAAACAACAAGACCTCTATCCGACTCTATCCTGATTCTTTCTTGCACGCTTCGGGGAAAAGGACTGAGGCCAGGCACCCCGAAAGAGTAGATGTCCTCAGCCAGGACAGCTCTGCGTCCACGGCAGCACGGCAGAACCCCACATCGAAGCACTTGCGGCCGGACGGCGGCAGCCGGGCCGAGCGCCTCTCCGCGCAACACTTCGGGGCTGGCCCAGTGGGGCGTGCCGCAACGGTGGTGCGGCGACGGGTGGCACCGCACCTGGGTGAACAGACTGAGCTCAGGCTGACAAACCCTGACAGTTTGGAGCCGGCTTTCGGAAGTCATGACTGTGCCAACCGTGGCACTGCTGCATGGCCGAAGTCGCAGATGCGAGGAACAGGGTGCCGCGAGGACCTCAACCATCGCAATGCTCCAGTGGCAAGGCCAATGAAAAAGGGAGCCGGGCTACCGCGATGCTGAAGGCACTAAGCACCGAGCGAGGTGTAATCAATCAGAATGTTGGAGGACTTCAAGTCAGCGTGGACCAGGTTCTTCTGATGGATGTAACAGATTCCTGCACCGCTGCGTGCAATGTCACAGAACAAGATAAACGCAGCCAGCACGTCAACACACAAACCCACCACTGTCCTGAGATGATGCCAGTCCTTGCGTTGACAAGCAAACCCTCGAAGGTTTCGCCATCCGGCACTAACCCATCTACACAGCCCTGTATGCCACGCAAGCGCAGCAAAGCGGGTCTGGAAAATACTTGGGGTCTAGTCCCTTTCATTTCGGTGCAGCTGCAGGCTCCCCAGGCTCAGGGACAGCGCCACCGTCAACTCTCCATGCCAGCGAAGCTTGTACGGCCTCAAAGAGTCATGGCAAAATGTCTGCAAGAGACAGGCAAGGGCGCAAAAATCCTGCCGACCAGGTGCTGGTGAATCATGTCGAAAAGCGAACCTGAGCTCGTAACCAGGAGAGGAAAATCGTGTCGCACAAAGCCGCGCCGAGGATGAATATGCCGGCAAGAAACAATCCATTAGTTCAGAGATAATGTAGTGTCTCCTCAGTTGCTCAGCAGTCAAGTCCGTACAGCGAGCAGCTCAGCCCTTGCAGCGAAGCCGCTTTTTCTCCGGGTCCATACTGACACCCACAAACGTGCAGATGTTGGGATGGCTCAAGGAAGCCATGACCTCGTTTCCATGGACGGGATCATGCTGAGCTGCTGCATCCCTTGCGGCCGGCGGCCCTTGCATCTACATCCCACAGCCTGGGGTTCGGACGCAGGCCTCTTTCAGCAGCTCGTACAGCTGGACCCGACGCTCTCCCTTCATGTCCTCGCCGACATACCCACGAGGCTGCGCTGCAAACAAGAATGTGGTTCCCGGAACTTCGACGCATCGAAACCCCTTCAAGGTCAACAGTCCTTGACTGCCACGAGATGTGTTCGTCGTGCCTGGGGCACGGGATCTCAAGAGCCCTATAACCGCATACAACCGTCTGAATATGCCTGGCCTGAAAGGTGCCGCCAGCCCTGTCCACTTTGGGTTCCTCGTCCCATGCTTTGGCTGGAACCAGCAAGACAGGCATGAACCGTGAACAGTTTCTTGCAAAGACGTGTGATACTTCGTAAGTTCGATCGAGCGTCCAGAACACCACGATAGACGGTTCCGTAGCCACCTTGTGAGATCCTCGAAACTAATGTCAGCTCCTCTTTCCTGGGCATGCGGGAAGGCCGCGCGAAGGCATGCATCGATTTTTGGCAAAGACTCGACGCGTCTCTCTCTCAGGGCCGCGCGGTACAATGTAATGACTGAGGACAGAATCACCTCAGCGTCTCAGGACCCGAACCGGTCAAAGAAACCGCGCACAGCGTGTCAATTTCACCACAACGTCTGACCCAGTGATACCTGCAGCCCGAGCGCTAAGGATGTCCATGCCCTTATGACCACACACGTTGTTTTCCCACCGGGCAGCATCGAGAAGACCTGAACGTTGCTGGGGACCCAATCGAGGATCATGCTGCTGCAGAGCCAATAAAGTTCAAGAAATGTGGGATTCCGGTGAAGTTGGGTCAAACACGGCCGAGGCTCGTTTGAGCGCATGGCGGACGACTAGGCGTTCTACCGGCGTCACCAGTCCCAAGTACTTCCGCAGCTGTGCATCTGTCATGCTGAGCAGCCTCAGTCTGAGGACTAGGAAAACTGTTCTGCAGCCCTTGTGCATGACGACTCCATACCACTTACAGCTAGCGATTCAGTGGGTTTCACCGCGGAGAACGATCATACTGACAGCGCACTGCACAGTAGGTACGAAAATGCCACTGGCGACAGGCAAGATCCCAATCCCAACCGCATCTCATGCAGGCGAGACACTGCGAGGCGCCCTTGATTTTACGGCCCATGACGCGCTGGCAGATGTCTGTGCTGAGACCCAAACATCCCATGAACCTCGGAGGAATTCTTCGACATGTACAGTAAAGGCCTCAACCCTGAACCCGAGACTTTGCTGATGAAACCTGGAACCACCTTGCACAGAGAGCCGGAGCAGTGCCCTCCCGAGGCAAGAACGCTGCCAGCTCGTCCTGCCCGAAGTCTGGTCTTCCGCAGGCAGTTGCAAGTAGCTTCGGTTTTGGAAGGAGCTGGGCTGGTGGATGCTTCTGGTCAACGAAGGTGGCATTCGAAGGTGGAAGGAGTTTACGATTCGGCCCCAAAGTTACCATGCAGTTAGAAACCATGATTTCGTTTTCGACACAGCTAAGCTGGCATCCGCGCTAGTGACTCCAACTGACTCTTGCCTTGCGACTACAACCGTAAATGACCGTGATGTAGCATCCTAAATAGTAGGATCCTTATTATAGGGACCCCAAACTTGGTAGCCCTAATTTTCAGAAACTCCCACATGGGAATCCCAAAAGGCTGCCCCGAGTCCTCTGTCCAAAGAAGTGGAGACTTCCGAATGGTCTGCGGTCTCTTGCTAGCCTTTGATGCTGCAGGCGGTAGCGGTGCCACCGGATCCTGGAAATGTAGGATGGGCAAGTTCGAGCAACCACCCTATCACAATCCATACGTGAGCTCCCCACAATAAACCTATAGAGGCTATCAGAAAACAGAGAATGAAAGGACTGTGCGGGTTCCGCATATATAGATGAAGGCACCTAATCTAGACCGGCCATGAACTCCCTGTGGCTGTCCTCGGAAATGCGCCTTCCTCCCGGCAAGGTCTGTGACTGTGCAGATCCTGCCATTTATCAACGAAACCGAGGGATAGCCCTGAATTTTTTGAAACCAAGACTGCCTAGCCCATGGAAGCCTGTAGCACTTGCAGCCGCTGCATGTCGCCCCGTCCTGGTTCCCATGTGGCTTCCTTGCTTCCATTCCTGACCTTGCCACCATCCAAGTCAAAGCTGCCTCAGTCTCTGCGTTCAAGCTTTTTGCGTTAAGAGCCTCCCCGGCCCAGATGGCCCACGAAGACAAAACTGCAAGGCGCAGCACAATGCAGCCAAAGCCTCTTTGCTTTTCCTCCGGAATTGTCCGCCCATGGATGCGAGAAACCTACGCAGTGAAAAAGCAGCTGCCTGTTCTGCAACAGGTGATGAGCAGAGAGAGAGAGCGGAAGAATCACGAATTGCCTGAGGGGAGATCAGGTCGTTTTCTTCGTACATGGAGAAGACGAAAGCACCTTCGGCACCTGCATGTTACGGTTTCAAAAAAAGATTTTGTCCAAACTGTATATGCAAGCGAAGGCAGGCACAACGTCAATGGCTAAGGTGGAGGCTGTCTGTAGACTTTCCTTATGTCCCAACTCGTGACCACTATGTTTGTCCAGCTTAGGAGATGCTCACTGCGACTTCAAGCAAAGCGCTAGCAACATGGCCATTCGGTGAAGATGGAGAAAATCGGCGGCCCGAGGTTTCCGTAAAGGATGCCGTGTTGCCGCCTTGGAGCCACGTGCAAAGTCTTTCTCCACAACAAGCTGGGTTGGGAAGCCAAGGGGAGGCAACGATGTCAACAGCTCTACGTTCTGCCAGTTGCAGATTTCAGGCACTCTCGCTGGAGCTTCGGCGGTCAGAGCCCACAGGCCCGTTGACGACACCGTACTGCATGGGAGTCGCTTGGCCTCAGCTCTCGACCCGTCCGAGCAGCTTTCAACAAGCTCCAAAGCAGACGAAGGAGCCCATGGAGGTCCCGGAAGGGCTCGTAATCCGTTGCCCCATGAAGCCACCGCCGCAGAAAGTCGCCTAAGCTGGCGCTCCGTTTCATCTACAAACTGGAAGCCGCTGCGTCATGATGTTCGCCGCCTTTTTTGACTCTGCTTTTTGGCTCTCTTCCGTGGCCTAAGACTTCAAAAACCACAGCATGGGAAACTCCGAGACGATTGTCTCTGCCAAAACGTTTGCTGGGCTCCACAGCTGTGCAGGGCACGAGCTTGCGCGCCGATGCCGGAGCTAAGATTCAGCAAAACTTTCTGCCGCACCGATGCTTCGAGTTTGGCTCGTAAACAGGACGCAGGCAGCATCCAGCTGCACGTCGTCCGCTTTTCGGAGGCAGGCATGGGTTAATATGGGTCAGTTGAGATGTGGCATATGCCCATGAACAAAGATATCATGCTGTAGCTTTAAAGCTTACGACCATGCCCGCGTGGGCCACGTGGGGAGTGGAACACAGCCGCGAATGCTCAGACCTCTCCCGGACCAGGAGCCGGAGCTTCGATCACCTCACAGCTGGTCCCACTTTTGGTGCGAATTCTATGCGCATGTGGCCTACGCAACGTAAGCACTGGGGCATGCCGGGCCTCCCATAGCGCATAGCCATTCGTATTGACGTTGGCATAGTTCACCGAGTCAAACTTCACCGTCACCGGGTACTTCACTTCCGGCTTTTGGTTCACGTTCCTGAGCTAACACTATCATGTACTATCCACGCGACTGAGGCCAACGCATGACCGTGCCAGAAAGCCGAGATGCACAACCTGACCACGCTGCTGGAACCAGTAAGACTCTGGTCGCAAAATCTTCACCCAGGAGCCCTTCTTCGGGCCCACCCAGGGACCCTGGCAGGGTAGTGGCAGAGCAAGAAAGCCAAGTGAGCTAGTCACAGAAGGAAGAAGATTTCGGCTTCCAGGTGCCTTGGCTTTCTTCTTGGGTGCCTTCTTGGCCTCTGCATGTGCGGCGGTCTGTGGGACGCGTCCCGTGGGCTGCAGGCCCTGGCCCACAAAGCCCACAGAGTAGCAGAGAGCTGCCAAGGCCATAGCCAAGGTGAGGACTGTGCGCTGCCGTGCCATGGCTGTAGCGTGGGAAGAGGGCTACGCTGCTACGCTACGATGAATGCGCCCAGACCAGAGCCTAGCACCGAGCCAATTCCGGGCGGGAGGGTCAAAAAGGCGAGCACCCTGTAGCGTGAGCAATGTGTCTTTCGAGAAGAACGTCGACGAAACGTCTCTTTAAGCTGGGTCACAGCACCAGCCTGCAAAGCCGGCGTAGATGGCGTCTCTCCCAGATCGTTGTTAGACCTTGACAGTCAGAGGCTCTCAAGCAGAGGCACGCCAGCTCCAAACTGCACGTGAAGGACCTTTGTACAGGATCTCTAGAAGTTGTTGCTTTTGCTGGTCCGAAGTGTTTTGGGAGTCGCGTTTTAGATATTGGCTATGTTTCTATTGAGTCTCCCATCTCGTTTGGGTTCCTTTGCCCTCCGCCTGCTCGAACAATAGGGATCCGGATTCTGTAAGACTTAAAGTTATCCGCCGAGGCCACAGGCCCAGGCGTCTTGGGGGTTAGCTCAGGTTCCCTCCACCTAATCCTCCTCCCTGCGGTCCAAATGTTTGGGGACACCCGCTTTTTGCGTTCGTTTGCCACCCCCTTGCCCGGCTTCCCCTCATTTTACCCCCCCCCCCCCCCCCCCCCCCCCCCCCCCCCCCCCCCCCCCCCCCCCCCCCCCCCCCCCCCCCCCCCCCCCCCCCCCCCCCCCCCCCCCTTCCCCCCCTCCCCCCCCTCCCCTACCCATTCCTCGCACTTCGTATCAACAACCTGGTTTGACAGGCGGCCCTAGCATAAAAAAACATCGACTGCCCCCTCACCCTGCCGCTACACAGCCGAGGCGGGCGGCGTAGCGTTAAAATTAAAGTACCACTTCACAGTCGACACAAGTCCATTTCTGGGCGGATTGGCGTCTGCATTCGAATCCCCCGCATGTGTGCTGAATTCGTGCTGTTGTCTCGATGGCTGCTGTGTAGATGTCAAGCATGCCTCCTTTGTTCCCCTGCATTACCACACGTCGCATGCTCAAAAAAATTGTTCAACTCGTCCCAGCGCTTTCCAATTTTCACAAGTCCTCTTTGCCCCGGCATCATATCTACTCAAGTCCAAAACATGTGAACGTTTGATCTTTCGGCTGGTTGACCAAGCCTTGACCAAGCCCTCCAAGCAAAGTTACACAAATGTTTGCGCTCCTGTCCGCTCCAACTTTAAATGACAATGAAGTTACTAACAACTAACACCCCAACTGCGATGTTAATTAGTTGTTGTATTTAGTTGACAAGAGCGCCAGGCATAACTGAGACTGTGGCCCATTGCGTGGGATCATCATTGCAGGCGTGCTTCTCTTGGCGCTCGCCGTCGATGTGCTCCCCTTCCGGGCACGTGTCTGTGCATCGAAACAATGCACTGCAGCACAGCATGGCACCGGATATGGTCCAGCCAAGCAGCGCTCTCGTTGGTGGCCTGGGACTGGCCACTCTGCAATGGAATCGCCTGGAAGGCAGAGGCGTTGCTTACACCGGAGTCTGCAACTGCACGCACCAGGTCCCAGCCTCTGGTTGGCTGTGAGAAGTGAAAGCCAAATCGGCAAGCGACGTGCGCGCAGCTGCATCTTGCGAATTGCTGAAGTGGTAGGTGCTTCCACCTGCCCAAGTGCTCCGTGAAGTTTCTTTCGTGGGTGTAGTGAGAACCATGCGCAAAAATCGCATTCCGATGCCAAAGCCCTGACTGCCCACACCTGGCGCCACAGAGTTGGCAGCGGCTCGCCTCATTTGGTGACAACAACGGCATGTTGCGCGGTTGCGTTCTGCAGCCAAAGCACCCTTCCGCCATGATCGGCGAGGACCTAGCAGAAAGCATGCGCAGTGCAAACAGGCACGCACGGGCTCGGAGTTCGCCAAGCAAGCGATCAAAGCATCTGGGTGCCATGCTTCCGCTGCAACTCCAGCTCTGTGGTTTGTTGGTACAAAGCCTTCAAGCTACAGCACAGCGGAAGCAACGACAAACGATGTGCAGGATAACCGCGAATACTCTGCACATATGCTGCAGGCTCTAAGCCCTGAACCGATGCATTCCGATTCCCATAGAGTTACAGTCATGAGTCACGATCACCCTACCACATGCAATCGAGACAATTTCGCTCCGGAGAACATGTCAGCTCTTCCGGTAGCAGCTGTTTCAGGCTGGACACATTCAACTCTTCGAGCAATGCGTCTTGAAAGGGCAGCGCGCCTTGGCATGCGCATCATGATTTCGGAATTGCAACTGGTCTCACGCTCGCATCATCTTGGGCTCTTCCCCAGAGACGAGCTGGCGAAGACAGGCCGCGCTACGTTGCCAAATCCAGCCCAAATCCATCACACACAACTCCTTTGAAAACTGCCCATACCATGTAATACTCCGATATGCAGACCGAGCCAAGTTTCGGTTGTTGCTGTCCATCACCTCGATGCCGCCGTTGGAGCCGAGCTTGGCAAGGTTCATCCGGATGCCGAGGCCACTACCTGCTCTAGTCAAGGCAGCAAGAAGAGAGTGACGCTGCCGCCAGATGAATGGACGTAAAGCTGGTCCGAATAGACCGGTGGCTGTGAAAGCAGACGATCAGGGAACAAATCCCCCGTACCGCCCACCGCGGAGCAAAATCATGAAGTCAAGGCTCGCTGTCCAGCTGAGAAGTTTCCGAAATATGACCTCGGCAAAGCAGGTCGTGGTGCAGTTTAGGACGGTGTCATGCCCAAGTAGGTTCATAACCTGAAACCATGTGCACCGACTCCTGGTAAGCTGCTTCGAGGAAATTCCAAACTCACAGGCAAGCAACACCAGATCTTGCTCTTCGGCACCGAGCCCATGCTGCTGATCCTGCCCCATCACGGGACAACAGCGGCAAAAGGGGCCCGACACAAACTTTCGTGGTCAACCGAATCATCGCGTCCTCCTTCCAAAGGCCCTCATAGCGGTAGGTCGGCATCCCCTTAGATGTCACCAGCTGCAGTCAAATCACGGTAGGGGCTCGCCATGAGGACAATACGTGTTAGCTGTCGAGACGTCTTCGAAGCAAAGACGAAACTCCCGGTCAGATGTCAGAGTGCCAGCTGCTAGAGCTCAAAACTGCCAGTCATTTGGCCAAGCATCCGCCGGTTCCTGCAGCGACTAACTCTGCCCGTGCTGAAATCGAAAGCAATAAGGTACGCGTGATGCTAACTATGGCCTTCCTGTTCGATTGGAATCCGCAAACACAGCACTCGGAGCTCTACAAAATCTGCTCAAACAAAGGAACGGCCCAAGAACAAACAAGCAGCTCGACAGGTAGACGGATCGATGGATGAATGCAATTCATCTCCCCATTGCGTGAGATTCGTATCTCCATGCGCAGTTGTCGTTTTATCCCTCAACCCATCCTTTTTGCAACAGGCTTCGACTTCGCCCGGAGTTAGACACAAGCAGCTCAACCCATCCTAAACCATAAGCCCTGACACTGGGCTTGCTGGCTGCCAGAATATATGACCCTCCATAAGCCCTAAACCCATCCTACTGTAAACCTTAAACCCCAACCCCCGGGCCCTTTTTGGGAGTGAAGCTCGAGGCCTGCGAGGCCGTGTCCAGCAGCACGCCAAGGCCGTGCTTCTGGTTGTTCCGCCACTGTCCCACCTGAAAATATTGCTCATAGTGTACAATACATAATATATAAGTATATGATAATAAAAAATAATACTAATAATAATATACAATACACAACAGACCAGTATTGAAGTATGATATACAAAATCAATATCTCATATACATTATTCGTTTACTCACACTGCTCAGAAGTTGGCAATCGTGATCAAAAGGCATCCGAGAAACATACACCCCGCCGTTGCGATAGAAGAGCACGCCGTATCCATGTTTCTTGTCCTGCTTGACTCGAAGCACTTTGCCGTGACATTGCTGTGACTCTCTACACCTTAGACAACTCTTGCCCTCCCACCCACTATACGCCAAGCCCTGAGCCTGCGACATACTTCTTTGCGAGCCGGCCCAGCGAAGGCTGCATTAATGTATGTTATCAATGGCATCGCAAATTCCAAGTCAAAATCATATCTACGTCCTCATGCCACTGTCCATGGTACCTCGGTTGGAGGGGTCGCAGGCTCATGACATTGGGCTCCGTTGGCGTGCAAGACAGCCTGTCCAAAACCGCGTTTCTGTTCCAGCGAGCCACTGCTTGTAGATGTCATGCGTGCCACTGGAGTAGACCTAAGTTCTCCAGAGTCGAGACTCAACACTCACACTCGGAGAGCTGACACGAGCAAGACTCCGCTCAACTCCACAGCCCTGTCTGCATGGCCAGCAGCGTAGGTACCAAGTCCATGCCGCCGCTCCCCGTCTGGAAATTGCTTGCAGTTTCCTGTGTAAACCTCGGTGCTTCAGACCCGTGACCATTCCGGTACAACACACGTTGACAGTCCTGGGACAAGCGGGTACAGCATCAACGTCACTATTGCCCAAATGAAAATCCGATCAAAACGTTGAGTGCAGCAGCTTGCATAATGAGCCGTGCTAGTCTGAATGCCGTCTTCGCACATGGGCACTCGGCCGCATCACAAACAAGCCAAAGCCACGTCCCCATTGACAAACTGCACGGACCTTGCTGAAATCAGTTGCAATGTACGTGCAGAGTAGTCACGGTGTTGAGAACAACTGTCTCGAGATCCCGGCATCTTCCTTGCAGAGGCCTTTGGTGTCTTGTCCTGTGCCCGCTCTGGGTGTTCCCTCGTCCTCGGTCTGGCTGGTCATGCACAGAACTTGTGTCATTGAATTGAAGGATCTGAACCAGCATTTGACACGGATGCTTTCATGGGACTCCCAATGCGGAGATCCCTGGGATCTGGCACAGATATATGCAGGGAATACGGCCAAAGCGTAGCAAGCGTTGAAAGCAGACACTCCACAGAATCGGACGAGCTTCGGTTTTTTCAAAGCCTGGTATGACCCCTCTTCCGGATTTAATACGTGGCCTATCTGAAGCCGCAAGCAAATCCGATGGCGGAGTCTTTGAAAGCCAAGCCCTGCACAGCTTCACTATAACAGTCTCTTCTTTTCTGCCTGCGCTGGCAGTACTGGGTCGGGCGTGTCGGGTTCTGCGTCTGGGCATCTCTCGAGATCGGGCCCACAGTGCGCAACGGGCTCAAACACCACACCGTCGCACGTGCTCACATGTATTCCTCCTCCTCGCCCTCATCCTTCTTCTGTCCACGGAGGCTGCGCAGTTCTCGCAGACGTCCCGCTAGCAGTCCTGAGCAACCGCGGGCTCACCATCTACGGGAAGCTTCAGCTTCAACTTCTGATTCTAAGAACTGCACATCATTACAGAGGCCATTTGCTGTCGAAGGGGCTGGTCTGCTGCTCAGGCCGTCCATTTAGTCTCCTGAAGCGGATATCCTTTGCCGCCAATCTGCGCATCAGCCGATCGAAATCATCGCCACCAGTGGGCTCCACGTCTTCGCCTCGTTGCACTCTACATGGTACATTTCAAGATTCGCTGGCTGCTTAAAAGACCTACTTCAAACTGGCTTCGGAGTGCCAAGTGGCAGCCCCGCAGGTGCTGGCAAGTGCGCAGCCACTGCTGACAGTCTTCCACTGCCAGCTCGTAGGCACGCTCCCGCCACTGCTTCCAACTTTCCTTCAGCACATCCTCGCGCGCACGATAAAGGAAAAATCCGGCAGAATATGGCAGAATGGCATCGGAAGATACAGAGCCTAATCCACTTCCCTGCAAATAAAACCTCGCCGACACTGCACGGAGATCCCTCCACAGCCATTCACAACAACTCCCCTGCAACGAGGAATGGGAAGCTCCAGTTTCTACTCTCGGATGTCCTCGGGCATGCCTTCGAATGCCTTCTGCGTGGCTACGTCTGTGTTGGCGTCGAAGGCTCTCTGGACAACCTCCTCCAAGGTTCCATGCGGCAGGAGCGCAGTTTCCGGGGCCGATGCCCTTGCCTTGTAAATGTACGGGGGGGAACCTCTACAACAGCTGTGAATGCCATGGGTCCTCGAATTCCAGCTCCGGCCCGATGACTTCGAAGCCGGCAGAATCCAGAATACACAGCCAGGCCTGACGGCTCAAGCAGGGACGGCGGCAGGTAAGCCCGGAGGCTGAAGCTATGAAGGGGACGAGAGTCGAGAGGATTGCAGCCATACATGGGCGAATGAACCGCAAGAGAACGTCGGTGATGTGTAGAGAAACGAGTTATGTCGACTAGTCCTCTAGTCGTGAGATGTCGTGAGCCCGTCGGCACCGACTGCAGAGGACGGATACTGAAGAGTACATACCTATGCGAGAGAGACGCCGGGACATGCCAAGCGAGCCGACAGGGCCTCTCTTCGGGCGTCGATTGCCCTCCGTTGGTAGTCTAGCCAAAGCTGCTCAAGCTCGTTGTCCCGCAAGCCAAAGCTCTTCTGCAGCTGCAGTTCTTGAACCTCGGGCTTTGCCTGGACAAGGGACAGGACGCCTAGGGCGAGTTATGCATAGTCGCAAGATGGAGATTTTGAGTGTTTAGCAAAGCCTCGGGTCCGACTTTAGCCCCTGGACTGGGCCTCTTCCCAGGTCAGGCTGAATGGGTTCTTCATGCGCTCCGACAAAACGCTGAAGATCTTCTCCTCTGCTTCGGAGAGCTTCCGCTTCTTGCGGGCTTCCTCCAACTCCTGCTGCACCTCCCGCTTCTTGGCGTCCTGCCTTCTCTTGGCATCCTTCAGCTCACGGGCCAGACGGCCATAGAGGTTCTCGCGCTCCGTAGACCCCAGCTGTTCCCAGGAAGGATCCTGCTCCAGCCAGCGCCTGGCTTTAGAGAATGCTGGGGGGTCCTCCTCCTTGCCCCGTAGGCCCTCGGTCACCGCGGCGCGAAACTTCGCCCGCGCCTCCTCCTTCTGCTTCTCCACTCTCTTGGTGGCCTCGGCAACCGCCTCTGCAACCATGCGCTCCCGATCGCGCTCCGGCACGGCATCCCATTGTGCCTCATCGCCGAAGCGACGTTCCATGCTCGCCAGCGCCTTCTCAACCGTTCTCCCTGCGAGCAAGTCCAACTGGTCGGCCTTGTCCACCAGCTCTTTGAAAGCTTCTCGCCCTCGATTCTTGCAGACGGCCTGTGTCTTGCGCTTCTCTGTTTCGATCTTTTTTGCAAGCATCTCGAAAAGGAGCCTTCTTTCCTTGAGGCTGGTTACTGCTGTGAAACGAGGGTCGTGCATCAGTTTGGGGACCCATTTGTCGTACTTGTCAAAAGCCCGAACACCTTTCTCCACCAGAAGCTGCTTAAAGTTCCGCAGTTTGTCCTTCTCCTTGGCAGCTTTCTGCTCCTCTTCCACCTGATGTGCCCGCTTCTCTGCCCGCTCTGCACGCGTCTGCTTCTTGGGTCCGTCTTCGTCCCCATCAGCAGGCTCGGTCTCCGGCGCATCCGGTGTCTCTTCAGCAGCCGCCTTGCCATCCTCCTCCTCTTTGCCCTCCTCGTCTGCAGCCCCCAAGCTTCCATCCAACGCTGCCACCTCCTTCGCTATCTCGGGTGGACAAGTCCAGGAAGTCTTTTTCTGCTTCTTGTGGTAGAAATACGTGTAGCCCTTGTCCGTTTCAACCCGGGTCCATCCTGTCTTCCCAATGCTCTCCCAAGTTTCGGGCTCGCCGAGCTTCTCCTTCAGTGACCCGGCCTTCGGCTCTTTTCGCACCTCGGCCTCCGCTTTCGCTTCCACGATGGTGTCGCCTGGCCCACATGGCCGCACCCATCTCGACTCACCGGTCTTCTTGCAAAAGAAGAACGGGATACCCTCAGGCGACGTGTGCGCCTGCCATTCCAACTTCTCCACAGGTCCTGCCGGAGCCCCTGCGCGCACCACTGCGGCGTCCACAGCTGCGAGCAAGCCCGCGGGTGGCTCCAGCGGCGGTGGCATCAAGACGGCTGGCAGTGGCCCAACCGGCGGGGCCAAACCCAGGCCGGGAGGAAGGATTGGCAGAGAAGTTGAAAACATCTCTGGAGGAGCAAGTGGTGGAGGGCCAACTGGCGGCATTTTTACACCGATGACGCCACCCGACACTACTTCAAATTGCGGTGGCGGCATTTTTGCGGAAATGCCATGTGACGGCGGTGCCTTGACTGGCAGCTCTGGACCAGGTCCCGATATGAACGGTCCCACTGGCCCGCCAATTGGGGGCCCCAAAGGCGCTCGTGGAACAGGCACGATCCTGGGCGGCGGAGACAAACAGCTTGCAGCTTTCGACGTGCTCAGGGGCGGCGCGCCCGCGACCTTGACAGTTGCTGCAGCAGTCGCTATCGACGCGGCTTTCGAGGTGCCCGGATCGAGAGGCTCCATTGCTGCTGGATTGCATCAACCAGAAAAAGGGTTATTATTCCGACTGCTCATTGGCTTGTGTAAGGCTGGCTGCTAGCACCCTGCACTGCACTGTCTTCGATCACATACCGTTATCATACTGTGACTCTCACTACCACGCTGTAGCCGGGAAGGTCGAGACCAACTACACTACACGCTGGCGGATGACATAGACCAGCTTTGCTAAAGAGAGCACAGATTCCACCACACCATACCACACCCACCGCGAGAAAAGGCGTCAACTTTTACGGGAAAGCCTTACGGCAATTTATGAAGTGTCGAAGGCATGTTCGAGGCAAACGAAGGACGAGAGGCCTGCACCACAATCGTTGCTTGAAACAGGGCCGGGTGCTTTCGGGATTGTGCGTTTCCCACATGACGGTCAAAAATGCTCCGAAAGAGACAGCTGGGATCGCGACTGTCCAGGTTCTTGTTCTTTCTCAGGCTCCTTTTCGGCAACAGCCAACACGCGAGCAATGGTGGGTGTGAAAATCTCCCGTCCAGCGCTCCCAGACAAGTCATTAATTACGTGGTGTTCTCCGCATTGCGGGGGTCTGGGGTCTCTCAGGGCTTTGAGTGTGTGCCTTACCGAGGAAGCGACGCAAAGTCAAGAAAGCAGGCCGCCATGCGCTCCTGTGGTGTCGGCTGCTCCTCGGAGTTAAAGGAGCAAGCACGAAGCCGATCGTCGCGTTCGCTGTGATTGGAACACCTGCACGGGACCCGCTGCGTTTCTCATGGTGGGGGGCGCACACTGGAGCCGAGGAGAACATGGGATCACAGGTCACCGAATGTGGCCAGGGAGCTCTTCTTGAATCCTGGGCCATACAACTAGGCGAAGGCCAAGCATACACGAGGAGAGCCCTTCATACACGTTCGTTACAGGCTTTTGGTCGAGCTATGAGCCAAGCAGCTCGCCGAGTGAAGGCACGTGGCTCAGGCCAGGAGAAGGAAAATCAGCGGCTTCGCTCAAGCTGGTGAGGTTGGTGTGGGAGCGCTCCAATGCCAAGCCAGACCTTTGTCAAGGCAGCATCAGAAAGCTGCAAAAAGCTCTTCCCCCAGCCCCGTGGAGGATGCCAGAAAAAAAGCTCACATCGGAGGCGAGGGACGCATTGCTCTTCCACATCTGCATCAATGCCTGACACATCACCCCACGCAATGTTGCAAAATCGTGCTAAATGGAAGTGCAGACTCGCCAAGTCTGAAAGCCAGCCGTTTTCCACTCGCGTCTTTTTTTACCAGAAATCCTCGGAATCCTGATTGTCCGTGAACTCTGGAAGAGGATGGACATGAAGCCACTCCTGTGGATCACGAGAGCACGGCAAAGTCAAGACGATGTGATGAGTTGCTGGGCTGCTAGCACGGCCTCTGGAACCTTGGCAGTGATTCGAAGGGTCTCCCAAGAGCGGAAAGGGTCAGGCATCTCCAGCTCGAAGAGTTGCATTGCCAGGGCACCTGCCAAGGCATGGCATGGCAAGGCAAGGCAAGCCTGCTGCAGAGACCTCCTGGCCTCTGCAGAGGCCGGTGTCCTCCGCCATCGCATCGTCCGTATCAACAGGGCGTGGGCGTGTGTGAAACACGGGATCGAACCTAAGGAATTCGCACAAACCATACTCAAAGAGCATCGATGTCAGCTGTGACAATCTGTGACGCGAGAAGGATTCGCAGCAGTCTTGAGCGAGTGGCAGCACCGGGGCACCTCCTTCCCAAAAGCTGCGCCGGATCTTATGGGCCACCTTCGTCGACGGCGTCCCCGCCACGAGGTACAGTGCCTGGACTGAAGGCCGCGACATCACATGGCTCTCGCCTTCGGCTAGTGTGCAGCGAACCGAACGCACTATTTGGCAATTGCTGGTCCAAGGCTCGGTGACGATCGTCTCGTCAGCAGGACATGTCGCGGGCCCTGTGCAACGTCACTGCGACTAGAACTAAGTACGGTAATGCCTTCTGGCTCTCTTGGCATGCCATGACACCGCTGTAGAGCTCGAAGTCGAAGCTGTCCGACTTAGCATCACCTTCACGGTACTGAAGCATGTTGAGACTCTCCGAACGTCCGAAGAGGCTGCTCCTGCCTGCATGCAGATGGCCGGACTCCAGAAATCTGCCGTCCGCAAGGAGAGGGCCACTTCTGGCTGTGACGTCAGCCAAGACCCGGTACCGACTGCGAACCAGACCTCGTCGCCTCAAGAGCTGCGAAAAAAATGCATCAACTTGCGCGAGCACTTTCACTTCCTCTCTTCTTCCGCCCAGCATCAGCATCTCGTCGATCCACTTGCGCATCCCATCATCCGTCGTCACCTTGCTTCTAACAGTTCACTCGACAGAAGAGGGGCGGCGGCTGCCGGTGGCTGGGATCTGCACAAAGGCCAGCCCCTCCGCATCCTTCTGGGGTCTGATGGGGAACGAGATAGAACCTGAACGACAACTCACTGCTGCCAGAGACAATGCTGAGAATGTAAAAGCGTCAAGACGCGCTCCCGCCGAAGGAAAGGCTTCAGCGTCGCTTCCAATGAAGGTGTGGGATGGGCGGCTGCAGCAGCAAAGCCGGGAGGCTTCAGCGCCACGCACCAGCGATCCCGCAAGGAGCCGAGCCTGTCTAAGAGACATCATCATTCTCGAGAGCCAAAGGTTTCGAAGCAAAACTCAATAAAACTCACCATTCACTGGGATAAATTCGGCATCTGCTCACCGAGGCACACGATCGGAACATGCAGCCGGCCGTAGCTCATGGCTGGCCATCATAATAGAGCTGGCACAGTTGGAGCCCGCCGGACCCACGTCTTCAACAAACAGGCGGACTGCAATCCATGCATGGACATCCACCTCTCTCGAACGATGATACTCTTAGACTCGCATACGTGCCTTAGAAGAGCCTGATCAAATATCGACGAGTGACGACACGGTGCATGTGATCTCGTGACTGAACACTAAACGCTGAACAACGCAGGCATGCTGGCTGCCGGGCGTGCACTGCGGCTGCATGAGATGTGACATGCCAAAAGCATGAGCAATGCAGGCGCGCATGATTATGGTGGCTAAGTCTAAGGCATTCAGCAGCTGTTGCACGCGAGCCTGCATGTCTGGATCCGACTCGATGGCATGGAAGGGCAGGGGGGTCGTCTCCTTGCCAGCCACCGCAACCGCAGGGCTGAAGAAGCTGAAGAGCAGAGAAGGCTAGCATGCATGCAAGGGCATGGTCCTTGCCGGTGCTACCGCCACCTTGCCAATGCTTCCACACAGGGGAATTGTACATCGGTGCGTAAGAAGTCAACTTCTACATCTACTGAAAGTCCGTCACGGGACTGTAACAAAACGGTGGCACCCAGTGTCCTTGTGCCGCCGATTTGTGCTTTGATGCTTGCCGGCCTCCTCCGTTCGGTACGTCCAAGTAGGAGCGAAGAAGGCTTTCAGCTTCCGCTGACTTCGTAGAGAGATCGAAGGTGTCCACGATATGTCCCTGCACGGAATTAAGCTTCTGGGCGAGGCGGTTCCACTACCCTCTCAGGCATCGCCGCAAAGAGGCCTCACTCGTCGAGATCGTCGCATGAAGTATACCTCGAACACATGCACCCCGATTTCGCGGAGCAGGTTAAAGGGCTTCGAACCCCCCAGCAGATAAAGTGCTGGGAGCCGCCTGCCCCTGGCCTGCTGAGACCTGCCTTACAAAGCCAAGCGGCTGAAGCCGCAACGGAAGAGCACCAGGGCGGTGTAGGTTAGCAACCCGGCCTCAGCATCATGCAGTGCCAGCCGCACCCAGGAGAGTTTGCGACGAAGGGCTCATGTTACAGGCTGCGGATTTTGCGGTAGACGCAACTTTCGCGGGTTCTTACCTTTTTTGTGGTTGGGAAGTCCGACTCCACCGGCATGGTTGTCATCCGCGCGGGCTGACAAAAAGTCGAACCCGAGATGACCTCGAAACAGAACAAGGACCAGTCACCTGATTGATTCCTTCCAGCACCAGGTGGTAGCGAAGCTCACGCCTTGGCCGTCAAAACAAGCACCATCAAACCACGTACTCGTGGCCTGAGCTGCTCTCAAAAATTCAGGCTCTTAGAAGTAGCGGCAGTGGCAGTAGCAGCTGACAGTGGCAGTTGGCCGTGGCAGCGGCAGCGGCAGTGTAGCTGTCGCAGTGGCAGTACTAGTTGTCGTCGTAATGGGTAGTGGTAGGGTAGCGGTAGTTGAAGTGGTAGTGACGGTGGCGGTGGTGATGGTGGTGCCGCTGGCGGCGGCGGTGGCGGTGGTGGTGGTAGTGGCGGTGGGCGGTGGTGGTGGCGGTGGCGGCGGCGGTGGCGGTGGCGGCGGCGGCGGTGGCGGCAGCGGCAGGAGTAGTAGCAGTAGTAATAATAGTAGTAGTAGTAGTCGTCGTCGTCGTCGTAGTAGTAGAGTAGTAGTAGTAGTAGTAGTAGTAGTAGTAGTAGTAGTAGTAGTAGTAGTAGTAGTAGTAGTAGTAGTAGTAGTAGTAGTAGTAGTAGTAGTAGTAGTAGTAGTGTTGTAGTAGTAGTAGTAGTAGTAGTAGTAGTAGTAGTAGTAGTAGTAGTAGTAGTAGTAGTAGTAGTAGTAGTAGTAGTAGTAGTAGTAGTAGTAGTAGTAGTAGTAGTAGTAGTAGTAGTAGTAGTAGTAGTAGTAGTAGTAATAGAAATAGTAGTAATAGTAATAGTAGTAAAAGTAGTAGTAGTAGTAGTAGTAGTAGTAGTAGTAGTAGCAGTACTATTAGTAGTAGTAGTAGTAGTAGTAGTAGTAGTAGTAGAAACATAATTAAAACAATAGCAGTTAGCATTGTTTTACTTGTAGCAATTGTAAGGGTAGTAGTGGCAGCGGCGGTCGTAGTGGTCGTAGTGGTCGTAGTGGTCCTAGTGGTCCTAGTGGTCGCAGTGGTCGCAGTGGTCGTAGTGGTCGTAGTGGTGGTAGCGGTGGTGGAAGTGGTCATACTGGCAGTCGTGGTAGTAGTAGTACCAGAAATAGTGCGACTACAACAATGGGTTCACTGGTGATGAGCCTCAGCCAAAGACCCATTACTCAGTGCCAGTGCAGGAGCACTGGCCCTCACGGTCGCCGGAGGGACAGAAGCCGCAGCAAAGACAAAGAAGCAGCAGCAACAGGAGAACATGAGCAACATGGAGCAACAGTAGCAGTCGCGATGCTGCGACCGGCAACACACTGGCATGAAGTAAAGGACACTGACAATCAATGGTGAGAGTTGCAGGATTCTGCAGATTCAATGAAGGTATCTGTCAAAAGCTTCTTCACTTGCGGGGAGCCTCTCTGCGAGAGACACCTCTCCCTGTCTCACAACTTCCCCAGCCGCTCGGCTGAGGCTTTCGCTCGCTGCTGGCTTGAACTTCTTTGAAGGTCACGACCTGGCAATTCCATTGCTCGCCACAAGTGGCTACGATTTCCTGAACGAACTAAGCCTATAAATTCCCCAATACAGCCTATAAAGTTTGCAGGTAGTCTTCAACCACCCCCACTCGTGCCGTATGTTCCTAAATTGACGTGAATTGCCAGCACCTGAAAGTCTGAGGAGCAGATGCAGCGGGCTTCTGGAGCAGCAGTCGGATCATTGGCCCATGCATCCGAGCAGCACTGACCAGGTCGGGATTCACCGAGAGGCGCTTGGAGACGGCCACAAGGGAGTTGTCGAAAGCAGGACCTACAAGTAGCATCAACAGCACCACAACAGCGCCACCGAGACTAACAGTGACTAACAACAAAACACAGCAAATCCGACTGCAAGAAAGAATACAAATTCTCACATTAACAGGAAGCTCGACGACAACACCACATGCTCACGTCACCGCTGTGTAAGTGAACGAGTGTGGTGAAAGAACTCGAAGCATGAGAGCCATGAAAAAACTATCCTTCTTTCCAGAATGTGGAGAACTATGAAATGTCGAATATCGTGGCATGCTGGAAGCATTCCTACTTTGCTTTTTCCAGCCTCACAACGGAACAAAGCCTGTGCGTTTAAACACGTTCAGGGTACCAACAAACAAGTCTACACGATGGCAGCACCTTCAACCGAACACCGAACAAAAGCAACGGTCATTCGACATGCGGAACATGATGGTGGGAAGATGCGCGGCAAAGGAAAGCTTGCAACATCCCGGCTGTCTCAACCTTAACTGCCTGCATTCAGTTGTCAAGCAATCCTGAGCAATCAACACTGTGCCTCGGGTCTTCTCCAACATCTCCTCCAACTCACGGCACCTCAGTCGCATGTCTGGCCAGCGGGTTCAAGAGTCCAAGAGTCTGACAAGGTCACTGCAACATGGAGCAAAAAACGGCAGCCTTTCTGATGGAGTCTGTGATTCCAGATTCAATTCATGACAAAACCCCGGCACCCGAAGATCTTTTTTTGGGCGGCCCGAAGATCTAAGTTGTACAAACATGTACAAATCGCCTGCGGCGAACCAAGCTTCCCTTTCCTAGCTTGCCTGTTTAGATTCAAGTAATTTTGATCGGGCGCCAGTCCATCACGCCCACAGTATCTGCCGGGCGAGCGATGCGCACCTCGAACTCATTGTAGACCTTCAAGTATTCATGCGTAGAAGGTACCGAGAAACCCAGGAAAGACACCAGCACCAGAAGGAGCAGCAGCAGCGAACAAAGTAACCACCACAGTGACGCCGAACTAGCATAACGGCCAGAAGAGCTAAAACAAGTCATGCCGGAACCAACTACTCCGACAAGATGGTTGCAGGACTAGAACGTGTAGGATTGAATCAACTCAGAAGACGTCGGCCGCATCCGATATGTGCAGAATAGATGCAATGCCGTTGTCTGACGTGTTGATGATTGCACTGCCTTTGCAGAGGCTGCACAAGGCAGAAGCACTTGTCATTATGCGATCGTGACTTGTGTTGGCACGGTGCAAATGTCCACGCCATGGCCGGTCAGCAATTCGCAGATTTTGAAAAGCAGCCCGACCTCAAGTGACGACAAGTGAGCTTCAATCATGTCAGGGGGCGCTGGGCAACTGCTGCAACTGAAAATCCTCTTGCCGTAAGGCTGGAACGTGATCGTAGCTGTAAACCTCTCAGCCCGGCTCTCTTCGTCACGCTGCTTCTCCCCTGCACTGTGCTGAAAGCCCATGCAATGGCCTGCAAGCGACCGATGTGGTGGTCTTCTCTGTCAACCAGAAGTCGAACAGGCTCTTCTGGCAAGCTCCTCCACGCCCAGACAGGTCCGCAGCGCAACATCAGAGGATGGGCCCCGGGCACGGATTCCGAACCCTTCAGAAAAAGGCCACGCCAAAGCCCCGCGGTCCGCTCAGGCTCCGGATCTGACTCGTTCTCGTCCATGGTCACCCCCATGCTGGGTGCAGCTATGGCTTTAGAAAGGTTTCTGACAAACACAAGCTGGATCCAGTTCCCTTGCATTTCGGCTTCAGAAGTTTCGACGGTTTTCGTGGAAGGCAGATTCTTAGACTTGAGCTCAAGGTGGCGCCGGATGTCAGCAAGTCTCTGACTCATGTGCCACCATGTCATGCACTGGGCGAGCACCGCCGTCTTGCACAAGACGCGGCTGCACGATGACGTGGAATACGCGAAGGAAGCTGGCACAAAGCTGATTCAGCAGAGCAGGGGATCGGTCCTTCGTGTTGAGGCACGCACCCCTGGCAACAGCACGTGCCTTTGCCCTTCTGGACTCCAGTTCAACTACCGGCTCACATGTACGCAAATGCCTGAACAGCCCCTCCGACTGCAGCACCTCCGGCTGTGCCTGGTGAAGCAGAATGTAGGGGAGGTCGCCGAATCACGCAGTTCGTGACTCGTCAGCCTTGTACACCCGCTTGACGAGGTCCACCAGGTCCAAGCCGACGTCCACTGCTCGCAGCTCCTCTGTTGGATCGGAAGCTTTGCAGACAAAACCCGCGTGCGACGATATTCGTGGCTACCGCAATGCGAAAGGCTAGGTGTGCGCACATTCTCAACCTGGCGGATTCGATCTTCACGATGGGTGATGTACATTTGCAACCTGCAAACGGCCAAAGGTCGCCGACATGCAGAATCGCACCCACTTCGCCCAAGCGAAACGCTGAGGCCACAAGCCAAGCAGCTGCCTCCGAAGTGCCAGAAACCACAGGCCTGGGGGAACTACTCTCTCGGAATTCCTCGTCTCTGGACACAGCATTGGTAGGGCACCGGCCCATGGGCAGGATACAGAATTTCTGGAGCCTTCATGTACCGAAACTGAACCAAATTTGTGCTGGACATCCGAGTCTTCAACCATGAACTTCGCAATCCGTGTAAATCGCACGAGGTTCGAAGGTACAAATATGCAAGCCTGTGAGGCCATCAGTTTCAGAGATCGCATGTACTGCTGCAGGTCCTGCACAGAAAAGCTTGAAAAAAAGCTTCGTGCTCAGCATCGGCGCTTGGATCGCAAGGGCCTGGAATGTCCCGGTGCCCCAACCGAGCCTCACATTGCAGGCTGCAGGCCGGAGCCAAAACATCGCAGATGCTTCAGGAGTGCCGCTGAGGAGCACGTTGTCGCCAGTGAAAAGGGCCCGTTCCTCCTCGCTTCATCTTGCAACCGTCATCGGAGTACATTAACGATGGGCTGGCAAATGGCAAAGTCCTCCAGAAACAGGCAAACATGGTCGTTTGCATGGCCTGAGATGTTGAGAAGTCACAACCCATGCGCCTTGTGGGGATAGGCAAGAATTCAACGCCAAAGGCAAAGATGGAAAGCTGAGTGCCGAGCCTGGTGTGTGCAGCACCCGCAAAGTAGCACCCTGCAAGCAGTGGAATGCCCCTGCTGACTGGAGCCCGGTCCCAGATTCAAAAGATGATCGGATGATGCGAAACCTGTCCAAAGCAGGGACTCAACCCTTTGTCGAGTCAGCTGCCTCGCAAGAGAGGGTTTCACCATCCTCAGCGCAGGCATAGTACGAGGACCATGACCAAGCATAGCCAAGCATGGATGCTTTCCGCTAGCGAAGATCGCTGCCGCCAGGCCACGGCCAGCTCTGTGACTGGGATCCTCGACCTCGGGCTCAGCGAGCAATGATCGAAAACGATGATCATTCCCGGTCCCCTGCCATAGACACCACCGAATCCCCAAACCTAAGGGCTCACCCTGCAGACTCCCTGCGGGCTCCGTGCGAAAGATTGGGTGCACATGCGACATGACATGCCTGTGAAGTAAGCTTTTTGGCAAGCTAAAGCCTGTCTTGCGACTCGAGAGCGGCTCACCCTGCATTGCGGCATGAGCCAGCCCTCATTGGTCCGATGCAGCTTCAGGCACCGCAAGCTACAAAACGTACGACACGGCCGACCCGGAAGATGCGTCTTCTCGCTTTGGCGTCTCCACCGAGCCATGCAAAGGCACTCCATTCCAAACCCTTCGACTGCGTGCAACAGCCCAGAAGGCTTTGCGGCACACAGAAGAACGGCGTCTCTCTGCTACTTCGCTCTGCTACTTCTATTTGGGCCTTTTCGACAAAACCTACTGTAACAGAACCCACAGCTCTTCTGTAGATCGGATTTCATTGCGTGTAACACAGGGCGGCTTCGTAAACAAGGCTTTTGACAACCGCCGATTCGAAGCTGAAGGGCCATTACTCACTGAAAGGCCAGGGCATTGACGTCCTGACGCATGGAATCAGAAATGCTGCCAGGAAAGTCCCTCCTCTTGGAAGTTTCCCAAAATAGGGGCTCCGAATATAGTACCCTGAATAGTAGGATCCTCATTATATTGACCCCCCTCTTGGCTGCCAAGAATGCTCCTGCGGCAGCGCCAGCCCTGGCGGCGGCTCCTCCAGCCCCGGCGGCGGCTTCTCCAGCCCAGGTGGTGGCTCTTCCAGTCCCATCGGAAAGCTCGGGTTCAAGACTTGGTCCACAATCCTTGGACAGACAGTCACGTTTTTGGAGGGTGCTGGCAAGCACTCACTCCAACGCAGACTCATGTGGCACGGTGGCCTGTGGAAGATGCAGAAGCTATTGATATTGTTGCAGCAGAAGTCTTTTTCCCATCAGCACGAAAACTCTTTGAACACCAGGTAAACCTTCCGAATTGCCTCGCTGCCATCCTCGAGAGTCGCAGCATTAAACACACTAACCTTGCCACTGGAAGCCACGGAAACGCAGCAGCGAGGATGCTCTAAATAGAATTTCGCGAGTGCACATACCTCCGGCTCATACAAGACATGGCGATGCCACTTCTGGGCTAACGCCTCCAACCGAACGGGAAAACAAAGGTCCGTCACGACAGCCTGGGCCATCAGGCGGAACTTCTCGCAACGAGCAGGATAACCGCACTTCCTTAGAAGCGACATGCGAAGGTCAGCTCGGAGAGTGCAAGCCAAAGGAGACGTGCAAAATCGCAACTGAGCAGCTGTATCATGCGAGTTATGCGCCTCGCTGCTTGTCGGGCGTCCTCCTCCGTGCCCTGTTCATGAAGCCCAAGGCCGCGAGTCAGCAACTATTTCCCAATAGACTCCACCGCTCCGAAGAGTGCGCAGAGGCCCTTAGAATAACAAGCACAGTGCCCTGGCCTTCACGCAGCAGTTCACGGCCCCAGTATGCCATATATGAGCTGAAGCTGCAGGACGAAAGAGCCTGATGAACAGCTTGTTCACGTCTTTACGTGGATTGTACTCGGCATTGCGCAGCTTGCAGGAAACCTAGGCAATGCTGTCGCGAAGGAAGTCTGTCCATGTAACTGGATGAACCAAGAACATCATGAGCTACTGAATTCATGACAGGGGCTGCCTTGAGATCCAGCTGACAGCACAGCTTAAAATAACTGCGAGTGTGTGAGAGCACAACCAGCACTTCTGGTGGAAGCTGAAAAGTCCTTGGATGTCACGCCGGTCATCAGGAGTTACGAAATGCGCTGGTCGACTTCTGACGAGCACGAGGCCAGCCAGCTTGCTTTTACATGCTGCTGCGCTCGTCACTCCTGGATACTGCTAGGTCTCGGAGGCGCCATGTCTTCATCGCTCAGGAGAGCCAAGCTGACCGGAGGTGTCGCAGCTTTGGTCAGCTGCCCCTGCGCACACATTGCAGCCACTGTTGCCTACGTGGTCGCGAGCTCTGTGCGACTGCAACAAGCTCAGAGAAGCTGCCTTCGCTGGCTGCGAAGGTTGTCCGCCTGAGCATGGCTTCATGTCGTTTTGCCAAAGGCGTCAAGCGCCTGTTGATGCTGCTTCACAACCCGTCAGCTGTGACTGAGAACCGCACGATGTAGCACAAGCTCCGTCTCCCCATCATCGACATGATCCGGGTTGTCCAACGAAGAGGACAGGGACACCAAGGCATGATCGATACTCATCTGGACCCATTGGGCACGAAGGCCAGAAGTCGCAAGCGAGACGGAACGGATGTCCGCTGTATGTCTTGGCTGTTTACATCTTTGCTCTGCGGCTCACATACCCAAACTGCAGATCGTAGCCTGCGATCTTTGGGCTGTAGAACCGGTAAGGCTTGCTCAAGTGGGGTCGTGATTTTGATCACAGAATGCTATGCTCATTCGGCCGCGCTTCATGTTGGCACGTGTTCAAAGACTGCCTTGAACCAGACATGGATTGGAGATTGGTGGCAAGACAGACATCGACAGATTCTGTCCCACATAAAGGTGCACAGGCAGAGCCTCTATGGGTGCATCTGCTCAGCCACTGCTGGATGGAAGCAGGACTGCTCTTGATTCTAGGTGGGCTTGCCAAACACTTGCCAAGTGTCCCGTAGCTTGGGCCGCCTGCATCCTCAAAAGCATGTAGCACCCTCTTGAGCGTGTTGAATCGAAGCCCATCGGGACAAGCCGACCTGAAAGGGAGCTCTGCTTGGGCCGTCGCTCAGATGCTGTTTCAATCGACTTCCTGGGCCAAGTCACACCAAGGTTTCTACCTGCAGGCGGGCCTCCTGGGCAGCGCAGGGCTGCAAGAAACCGATGGCCCACAAAGAATGGACAAATCTCATCAATCTGCCGCACGACATTTTGCATTTATTCAAGAATGCCACAGTCAAAGATAACTGGATGAAGCAGGAGAAGACTCACTAAAAATCACCCTAATTACCTGTAACACAGAAAGCACGTGAAATCCGTCAGTACGTGCTGGAAAACTGCCTTCATGCATGAAGTCACATCACCAGCGTTGCCAGATTTTGTCGTGGATGCAAATCCGCGTCCTCCGGTATTTCAACTGGGGGAACTGGACCTAAAAGCCGATATTTCGCTTCGCTGCTGCTGCTGCTGCGATTGCCTCGGCAAGGATAGGCTTCAATGCAAAGTCTCGAGCCGCAGCCAAACAGCAGCTCAGAATGTGGCTGCGTACGCTCTCTGCTCTGTTTCTCGCGTCATCACCATAAAGCTGCTGGGACAGGTTCAACTGCCTGGCGCAAATGTCCCAGTCGAAGCGAAAAAGCGGGGATTGTTCTCAGCGTGAGTCTCGCCCAACTATCAGGCAGGTCCCAACGCGAAGCTGCTGGTCCCAACGCGAAACCATAAAGTTAAGCACAAAGCGCAAGGAGAAACCAGCCTTCTCTCTCGCTGTGCTTGCGGCCTTCACGCAAGTGCTTTCGTTGGGCCGCTCCATGCCCTACACTACATGCCAACCTGCGTGAGTGAGTCTGCTATGCGGCAGGCCTGGCAGGACCCAGCGAGGGCCAGTGTTGATCTCTGTCAGGATGTCCCGGCTGCGCCATCTGCAAGCTCTCCTCGAAATGTTGTTCAGCCTGTGACTCTTGTAGAAATACCCTTGCCATCCCCTACTTTCAGGGTTAAGCTGCTGGGAAACTTCTGCACCAGTGTGTTTCGTCTTGAAGGCTGGACATCTTTCCCCGGTCCTTGTCTGCTACGTAGTGCTGGTACGGCTCCCAATCTCTCTGGAACTTCGAATAGCCGTTCTGCCCCCTGCACCAGGGCAAAATCGGAATCGTCACAACAAATACGGATTGCAAGGAGCGCACCTGTGCGGATGTGTCCAGCTTTCCTTCTTCTTGTGCCCCAGGGTTCCTCCATCTACAGAACACGGTCTCTCCGTCTTCATGCAAGACTTGGGAAGCTCAGAAGGCACCCGAGCCCGCCGAGCCCGCCAGGCCCGCCGCCGAGCCTTCCCATTGCTTGGTGTTTCTCTCCAAGACGAGGGAATGGACATGCTCTGCTGGTCCAAGATGGTCCTCCACGTGTACAACTTGCGCCGAAGACAAACCAGCTTGCACAATGTCCTCCCACGGAGCCAGTTTCTTCTTGCCCACGGCTGCATGGAGCAGAAGCTCCACCTGCTGGCACGGCACTGACGGCTCAAGGCTATCATGCCAAAAGGCCGCGTACAATCTAAAGGATGCACAGTCTTGATCCACCGAGCCTCTGCAAGTGGCCAGTCTTTAAAGTGCTGCACCTCGGAGCGGTGAAGGGCAGCATCATCATCAATGTCACCATGCTGAAAAGCCTTAGCATGTTCTTCATCCGCATCAAACACGAAGCAATAGAAGCAATTGCTACTGCAGCTGTCTTGTGAATTCCGTCCCGAATATCTTGGCAACCTGTCAACTTGTGGACACCTTTCGTCTGATAGGAAAGCTGTTTGCGGCAGCTTACCTGTGTGTGTGTGTGAGAGCTTTCGTGGCAGAGTTTGTCATGGTCTCACGGTCTTAGATCTGTCCCAACTACGACCAGCAACAGCCTCAACAACGGCCGCGTTTGGTACACCGGCTGGGTTCTTTGTTCGTGTAGACGCGCGGCTTTCCTGATTCGTTTCCGCTGCTGCGGGACTGCCAAGTGCGCCTTGGAGCGGACGTCGAAGGCGGCGTGGCGAAAGTCGCAGGAGATTCGGAAAGAGTCTGTCAGGGCCTTGTCAAGCTGTTCCCAGGATTCCTGCGAGAAGTCCCCATCACCTCCAGCCAGGCGACCGAACCGCGTGATCAGGGCTACACTACATGAATTCCTCACCTTGCAGCGTGCAATCCACGTCCAGGAAGCCTTTGAAGCCGGAAGGCGCCTGAGTCTTCGTCTCTTCCTCTTGCTCCCTCTCTCAAAACCAGGATGACTCTCAGAGCCTCGGAGAAGAATATCATGATCGGCCGCCCGCGCCCGTCTGCAGGGAGGATGTGATACCTGCACGGAACGTATTGCTCGCATCCAGCCGGACGTTTGGGCCACCTGTTTCCATCATTTCGGCAACAACCTGCCGACTGTACAAGAACGGCAAGCTCAAGCCTTGCTCAGTCCTTCAGGCTGGAACGAGAAGTCAGCAGCAAGATGACTGGTGCCGGTCGAAGGACACTGTTTCAAAGCTGCGATTGACGAAGATTCAAGGTCGGTCTATAAGCTTTGAGGCAAGGGTCGTGTCTGGCACTTTTCGTGCAAGCATTGGCAGCACCAAGGCCACATCCAGCTCATGCGGGCTCCCAGGTGGCAGATGAGTTTTGAACCGATGTTCAACCTGCATTCATCAATCGTCAAATGCAACCATTCGCAACCATTCAGCTCGCCAGTTTTCAATTGGCCCTCTGATGCCTCCTGCAACGTAGGGCAGATCCGGTCCAGGTAACAACCTGCAATTTCTCTGAGATACGGGCGCCAACCAACATGGCTCTAGCACGAAGTGATGTCTCGAAGGCTTGCTGTTCTGCCGTACATCTCCGAAGATCTCAGACTCCAGCTGGCCAAAGTGCTGCGAAGCTCCTGGTAGAACAGATCAAGCAGCTCCTGCCAACGAGAAGTGTGCTGCCTAAGACAAGCCAGGACAAGCTGACACATGCAAGTTCTCCTCCGACTGCAGTAATGAGGCCGGTAAGGTTCGAAGTCTGAGGTAGTCAGTGAACTTCACCACATCTTCCCTCACCACACGTGTTCATGCCAGGGTCCCTCATTGATTCTTACAAACGGGCACTATCACTAGCAAGGTGTTGGTTTGCAAACTGGCAGGTGACTACTGTATATGGTGCTATCACTTGCTATCTATACTTATACTTGGTTCCTCTGGTGCACTTGGGGAAGCAATGCTTTTCAACATGAATCACGCAGAACCCTCAGCAGGATATGCAGAGTGTGCCATTCCTTAGCAGAACAATTACACTGCAATGCCCTGCTTCTGCATCCGTCAAGCAACTTTCAATGACGTTCGTCCAAGACACTCGGCTGGTATCCGGAGAATCGTCTGGCCCAACCCGACATCTTCCAAGGTGGCTTGCAAGTATCCGCCTTGAGGCAGAGCACTTCTGAACTGCCTGTTTCAGTCCCTTTCCGGATCCAGCGAACTGCTCCGTTCTCGAATGTGAATACGACACCACACAAAGGCAAACGACAACACCATGTCACAGCTAAGCGGAAATAGCTGCATGGTAAAATTGCAGCAGATGCTCAGGGTATCTTCGTCTCTTCCTCCTCGGCGATGTTTTCTAACGGGCTGAAAGCCTTGGTTGCAGGACAGCCTGTGAGCTAGCTGCCATTCCGAGACGTCTCGGTCCCGCGCATCAAAGCCGCCGATTGGTACCTCGGTCTCCCATGACCGAACCACACACGACCGTGAGATGTTCGCAAAATGTTCCATCATGGGAAGAGATATAATGCTTATCTATGTTCCAAACAAACATAATCGCCGAAATGGCGAACTTAAACTCCGATTTTGACCCGTCTAAACAAGAAGAAGAAAACTAAAAAAGTCATCATTCGAATTGCAAAACAGCCCAGGCGCAAATGGAATTGCTTCTGCTGAAAGCTGTCCATCTATGCCTGCCTCGAGTTCGGGGCTTGGTGCTCGAGTTCTGACCATTTACGAAAACGACTCGCATACCTGTATATCTGCTAGCGCTTGGCTAGGATTTCCGAGGACGGTGCTACAAGGTCCAACGCTTCCCTTTCTATCCTGCCAGTGCAGGCCAGGATGGCAAGGCAAATTACCTGCCCCTGCCGTGCCCCCTCTCCAGTACGGGATGTCCTTTCCGCTTCTTGCTGCTCATCTTCGCTCTCGTCCTCGAAGCCTTCCCCTGCCAAAAAAGCTGCCTGGCATGGCCACAAGCATAGCTTCTTGTGTGGACAACGGTGACGATTCAACAAGCAGGCGCGGTTCGATTAGAAGTCAGACTTTGTAAAATCCTAGTGCAGGTTTGCTTGAATGAGTTTCTGGCATGCACTAGCTTTTCCTTTTCTCATGTATCGGGATCCACGATGGTCCAGGGTTGTCCTCATGCTCTTTGGTGCGTCACCCCTGCTGCTGCTGAAGCTGCTGCTGCCGCTGCTGCTGCCGCTGCTGCTGCTGGTTCCGGTGCTGCTCACGCCACCACCGTGCCACCACCACCACCACCGCCACCAGCAGCAGCGGCAGCAGCAGCAGCAGCACCACCACCACCACCACCACCACCACCACCACCATCACCCGCGCCGCCAACAACAACAACAGCCAACAGCAAACAGCAAACAACAAACAACAAAAGAACAAGCATCAAACAACAAACCAACAAACCACCAAACCACCAAACCAACAAACCAACAAACCAACCAACAAACCAACCAACAAACCAACCAACAACCTAACAACCACAACAACAGTGGCAAGCAGCAAGCAGCAACACTTTCTTGACGACAACGACTGCGGCGACGACAACGACTACGACGACGACGGCGCCAACGACGACGGCGCCAACGACGATGATCACGGACTCACGCCTACAGCATTAGAAGTATGCTTGCACATGTGCAACTGGTGCCGCCTGAATATTACAACACACTGGACTCCTCGAAGCACCAGCAAATCCGGCGAGAGGAACCACGGCTGACTCCATCTGGCCAGCAAGGACCTGATCTTCCGATGCCTGAGCCTGCGAAGAGGGAAGGGCATCCTTTCAAGGGTCAGTTCCAGGTCGGCAAAGGGCCACTCTTCCGCAAATTGATATTTACTGAGAAAGCTTAGCTCGCAATGACAGCGGACAGAGTCCAAGAACATCCCTAGTGCTGCCAACACTGATCTTCCAGCCTTGGCCTGAACATGACTTTCCTCGTCCTGCTGAAGCTGCTTCAACAGGCTCAGTGCAACAACATCTGTTGCCTCCTGAGCTTCTGGTGGCTCTAACTTGCACTGGCCATGAAACTTCTCGGCGAACTGAAGCGGTACACATCGACGCGCTGGAATTCTGTTCCAAGGATCCCCTTTGCCCTGACCATGCCGACGCCTTTCCTCAGGTACAACTGTTGAAAACTGGTGTTTTGCTCTGCATGCCGGCACGGTCGTAAACAAGCGAAGGCAAGCGTCTGCAAATTGCTCTGCAGGATTCTGCGGCATGTGTGACCACTTGTACCAATCGGCTTCTGCCTCATGCTGTCGACAGAGCCAAGCAAGGATGAGGTGGCAACGTAGATTTCAACAGCGGTGCAGGAAGCACAGTACGCACTGCAGCATCAAGCACTGTCAAGCACACCAAGCAGTGCTCCAGTGCCTGCCATGATTCAAAAGAACCTCCAGCATTTGGATCCCACCATGATTGCCACTCTTCATGCTCACTTCCTGGCTCCGGTCAAGCGCAACTTGCAGAACAGCAGCTCGACGTCCCCTCCGAACAAAGATCCGTTTTTCTTCGAGTCGCCTGCTGCATATGCCGTGCTCTGGTCAGGCCACGCGGCACCCGCAGCCGGCACATTGCTCGACCCATTGAACATGTTTATGCAAAACAACGCCTGCAGTAGCTGGAATTGGCGTTTCACTAATATGTTGTAAGGTGCCAAGAACTACGCATCTAAAGTCGATCAGCCTCCTCAGTGCAGTACTCGTTCCATGAACAACATCCCAACCAGCTGCTTGGAGCTTCCAAGAAAACCAGTATCACAAGCATCACGAGCAACTGACGTGTTCCTGAAGCATGCCGCCCAGTCTTCCCCCGCGACAGCACATGTACAGGGCCCTCGCAGTAACTCCACAGGGCTCCACTCACTCTCCGCATTGCCGACTTCGCCCACAGATGTGCCCTTGCCCAGATGAGTTAAAGCACACAAATGGACACGCCAAAGCAACCTCGCCTCACTGGGCATGTACTTACGAACCTTCATTTCGGAGCCGAAGTGGTCCATCAGTTCTGGCACCTTGCTGCAATTGGTCCATTCAGATTGTGTCGGGAATCAGAAACAAACCAAACAAAACTAGTTACTGCAAACCATAGACCCACATTGCAGCAGGCTGATGTGAACTGAAGCAAGGAGTTCTGGCAAAAGACATGTCGCACAAAGAAACGAAGCGCTGTCCCACTTGAGCAGATGCATCCCGGAACAACCCCAGCTGATACCGTTCACGGAAAAGGCTGGGGTGCGCACTCCGAGCAAATGATCGATGTGCCAATGCGTTATGACCTTTTCTGCAGCAAGCCATTATTACCTTCCGGTCACAAGCCAGCAAAATCAAGCAGGATGAGGGCAACACTACCTGCGAAACATGGTAGCAGCCATGCTGGGCCATGACGTCTATCAAGTCCTGACATCTTGCATGTGAGTTGAAGCGACTGACAAAACGGCACGCACACAAGGCACGCTTCGTGGGTTTCTGGTGCAAGCCCCTTCGATGCTCCCGCTCTGCGATATTATCTAATGACAGTACTGCCGCGCCTGCAGCACTCCGGCTTTGCCCTCGCCCGCATCAACAAGGATCCGGCTGGTGCCCGTCCCAACCTCACTCACTCACTCACGCTCAATCCCAAAATGGCACGAATCCTTTGCTCCGCATCTTGCAATCTCAAACAGAGCTGGGGCATTGGCCAAATACAAGTTTGTCCCCGTCAGGGAGAAAGGACTTGCACAGGCAGAGCGTTGCAGAGCAGTTGCAATGTCTCACGAGGTGATTCGGCCCAGCCCAAAATCCAAAACTGCGGCCTCGGATTCCGCCCAAGGACACGGATAACTCTGTCCGAGAGCTGGGCGATCTGACAAGCACTGTTGCTCAAACCTACCACTGTGTTGGAATGTTGTGCGCACTCAGCCTCCGGGAGACTCGGCGGCCCTGGCGCGGCACACGCCCAAGCTTCCAGGGAAGCATGGCCCCTACACCTGGAAGTGTCTTTCACCCTTCCATCCTGAAGCGCTGAAAACCTGCCACATGAAACGGCTGTCTTCTCAGATGGCCGCTGACACTCACAAGATGTGACCTGACGGCCAGATTGAACACGACACGCTTTAGCATATGATAAACTGACACACACATGAGTTTCGGCCTTCCCATGACGCCAACGGGAAGCTGGCATTTGCTGCCCTGTGTGTGTTGGCATGCTCACACGCTGTCATTTTACTTCGTGATGTAATTAAACTGTATGCACAGATGTCGGTTCAATAGTTTTGCTGTGCAGCTGTTCACATGTTGCGGCTCATGGGCTGGTGACTTGACTGAAGACCGGCGCAACATATCACAGAAGCCGAACTCACATCAGTTTTATGAAATAACATTCCCACCATGTTGCCAATGCAGTTGCGTGTGCATCCGGCAGAACTGCAACCGCTCTTGTGACTTGTTTGCTCATGCACTCGCACGCCGTCGGACAATGCGGTCACAAGCTACCTACTGCTTCATCTTCCAAACATTGAAACACAGCCCGGCAGCACTCAAAAGAGCAACCAAACCTGCCGGCATGGGCTTCCCTGTTTTTGCAAATCGCCCGCCCATGATCATCATCAGCACAGCCTGGGAGCAGCATCAGCACAAACCCAAAACTATCCCAAAATGCTATTACCCAAGCCCACCTCGAATGACATGTACATAAGAACAAGAGCAAAATAATGTATATTATACACATACATATATCACAGCCGCAGGGGCGAGACTGCCAGAGCATACATTGTTCAATTGCCTCTCGCACCACCGCAGCTGCGAGGCTGTAAAGAACGCTTTATATGACATCCCACATTCTATTTGTGTATATGCCTGTGTATATGTACTGTTTCACTTTTTCACCTGGCAGGAAGCGCTTCATACCAAGGCACCGATATGGCAGCTGCAGCTCTAAAGCGCCCCGTTTGCCCGCATGCGATGAGTGCTAAACCACTTGCTCCACCGGCCACCAACGATGGCACGCTGCGTTTTGAAGCGTAACCGGCAACACCACCAGCTGCGACCTGACTCAGCATATCACGGCAAAGTCTTATCGCGAGTGTGTAGTCAGAGCTTTTATGGTTTGTTTCCTTCTACTCGAATTGCCCACTCCAGAATCCCACTGCTAACAGCAGAACTTGTCACGCTGCAGGCATATGATGCGACAAGGCCACATGTCAAACATCAGATTACTTTCACATGAGTCCATTGCATCGAGGCGCGATGGCCCCGATTGCCGTATTAGCATCCATGGTCCCGCCGCCAAGCTGAAACCGTTTGTGGTATCTCGGACCATGTGTGCTGAAGAAATGCCCCGCGGACAGTGGCGTGCAAAAAAAAATACTTGACCCACTGGCACAAAACGGAATAAAAGTGCAGCCTTGCTGCGGCAGCGTTGTATTGATGGGTTGGTGAATACGTTGTTGTGAAGGTGGATTTTCACGCTTGTTAGTTCCGTCCGTGTGGAACAAACAACCGGCCTTTCCCGAAGGGCGGCGTGCCATCTCACGACGCTGGGCTCACGAAAGTATTTGTCGTGCGGCTGCCAGCCGCACCTCGCTGTTCATGTCCTGAAGCATAATCATGTTGATTCAACTCACATTTCGCACCATGCATCACCATGCCCAAGCAGTTTAGCCACGAAGAGCCACGTACATTGCGAAGTTTTCGTGTGTTGCTTGGGTTTGTGCTCGCGATCGTCTCAGCCGCAAACATGTCCGCGACAGTGGTCCTTGTATGTTTCTATACAACTGCGAATTTATGTGCTGCACCCCGGCACAAAGGACAAAGAGACGTAGACATTCCACGTCATCGACCAAGCTCTTGTAGCCACGTAGTGCGAAGCTGGCTCTACAGGTCATTCAAAGCTGCGCCGTTCTGCTAGTGCATTAACACCACGGCTTCCATTTTTTTGTTTTTGCTCGCCTGTTTGCGCCAGCCGAAAGTGTCGCAGGCGCAGGAGCTGCCCAGTCTCGGTGCCAACGTGCCGCAAGGCGGCATCGCCGAGCGCGCGCGAGCTCCGGGTAGGTTTGATGTCGCTTCCGGCGCTCAGCAGAGCGCAGCCGGGTTCGACAACGGCGGGTGACCGTACGCCCAAGCGGAGAAGCTCTGGACATCAACACACCGGATGTGGCACATGCTGAGCGGTGGTCACCCAACAGGCCGTGGGGCACGCGGCCGTCGCCGAAAGACCAGCCGCGAAGGCATCCTGCCATGAGACCCCCTGAACGGCCATGCACCGGAGGTGGCAAATCGCATATCATATCGCAAACCCAGACCCCTAAGTCGAGCGGTAGCTGCAGAGAGAGAAAGAGAAAGAGAAAGAGAAAGAGAAAGAGAAACAGAAAAAGAAACAGAAAGAGAAAGAGAAAGAGAAAGAGAAAAAGAAAGAGAACGATATTAAAAAAATAAAATAAAAAATAAAAATAAAAAAAAAACGAAACAGAAAGAGAAACAGAAAGAGAATCAGAAAGAGAAAGAGACAAAGACAGAGAAAGACAGAGGAGTCCGCTAACGACCATGAGTCATGGTCAGAGATGTGAGACACCGCAAGCGAATGTCAGCTTTGTGAAAAAACCGACCACACAACCATAACAAAAGCAAAAATCTATACTCACACCCGATGCTGAAAAATAAATTGATTTCAGAAATGCAATCATAACGATCAAAGGAACTAGTTCCAGTATGCGCAGCTCCTCAGGAGCTCACAGTATTCACAGTGGGGCATGTCACATCTCACACGCAGCGGTTGCTTGACAACTGTGCCCGACACATGCAATGTTGCGGCAAACGTCCAGTGCCGTGTTTATGGAGGCATTGGTTGTGAAATAACGAATGTTGGTGGGGCATGGCTGCGCAAGTATTGTCTGAAAGACTCTGTGTTTCCAAGCACAGCCCAAAAACGCACATGAGCGTTCAGCCACATGATGCGTTTTGCATGATGCAACCAAACGTCGTAACCAAACGGGGTGGGCCACGCCCATGAACCAGCGGCAGAGACAAGTCGCACAGACCATGTGCACGGCAGCACACGGAGCAAACGCCGACTCCGTTGGTTTGGGGCCGCGCAAGTTCGGGCCAGGTTGAACAAGTTCGAGGCCAAAGAAAACATCGGGCTCAACGTATGCTGCGAAAAACTGCTCATAAACTGATGCCGAGGGTGTCCACGAAAGGCACGCACACAGACCATGTGCACGGCAGCAGGAGCAAACGCCGACTCCGTTGGTTTGGGGCCGCGCAAGTTCGGGCCAGGTTGAACAAGTTCGAGGCCGAAGAAAACATCGGGCTCAACCTATGTTGCAAAAAACTGCTCATAAACTGATGCCGAGGGTGTCCACGAAAGGCACGCCGCCATTTTGCGATCGCCGCGACTGAGTACGTGGTCAACGTGCAAACGCCAGTTAAAACTATCAGCAACCCTTAAGAGGTATAAGAAAAGGCAATAGGCAGCATTCGGGCACCGACATGGAAAGCAGGCATGTGACTGCGAGATCCGCCACACCCAAAACATCCCAAAACACACGACGCCAGATTGAACCAGATTGGCAACGCCAGGATTCGTATAAGTTGCACATGACGAAAGCTGCCAGCTGAAATGACAATGTCAGCAGCATACAGTAGAATCTGCAGTCGCGGAACATCCCCAGAAGAGCCACCTTGGATACCTGGGATAACACGCTTAACGGCAGCAGCCCAACAATTGAGCGCCTTGCACCAAACCATTTTCAACGTCCCATGGTTCAGACGCATCCGCTTCAAGGTGGACCGCAGCGGTGGGATTCGAAACGACGACGTCGTCCATGAGATGCCACAGCTTACGTGCTACGATGCAGACGCAGAAGTGCCCCATCGCGCAAAGCAACATCGCAGGCTTTGCGGGTGTCAAGGAATGCACAATAGGTTCTGGATACAGGGTTTGTGTACACTTGATCATCCGAGCCCAAACGACACCCCGCTTCTTTTGCTTGGGAATCATTGTCATGGTCAAATATGCGGGCTCCTTCGGGATGTAAACAACCAAGCCATGTTGCCAATAAGAAGGCACACAGGCATGGTTGTAACACGCATTGCCACTATCTGAAATTGCGGACTTCCACCAGTGTAAATCAACACGCAACGCTTCAGACGGGATGTTTTTTTTTCCCGGACTTTTACGCCTGCACGGCTCCCGAGGGTCCGTCTACCTGTCCGCCGAAACTACAGTAGGCTACCCCGCTACGGCCAACTAGCGCAATGGCAACCGGCTCGGCCCCGCCGTTTCGGCGAGGTCGAGCACACGGTCCAGTTCCGGGCCCTGCCACTGGCTTGCGTGTGGCGGGGCGGGCCACGGGCTGCCCAGGGCCGTGCTGGCTACGGCCTGCTGCACCGCGACGGCTAAAGCCGCCCACCACCGTCGCGTCCAGGCGGAGGCGGCAGGCGCTCGCAGCGCCGGTGGTGCCCGTTGGGCTCGGACGCGCACCAAGTCTCGAACGAGGCTGCGCTGCTTCGCTCCAGCGCCCCCCAACTTCGCAGCCAAGCACGACGAGTTGCTGAGGGCCGCCAGCGCTGAGCTCTGGGTAGGTGGCTCGCTTGCGCCGCTCAGCAACTCGCAGCATGGCGCCGTCATGCGCCGCCAGTGCGCCGCGGTGCGGGGTTGCGGCTGGCCCGTACGAGTCAGTGGCGACACGAGGGTCGCGTCGCAGCACAGTGCTCCTCCCATGGGCGTCGCTCCATAGATCACCAGATCAAGGCGGCGCCTGTCGTCCGGGGCGACGCCCGGAGCAGTCGTGTTGCAGAGCCATTGCTGCGGGACTACTTGGCCGTCCGCCCCGACAGCTTCGCGCGCCACCCTCACCCAGGCCCGTTCGACGACCTTGGCTCGTCTAGCAAGCAGCCCAGTGCGCGGGCACGCCAGGGCATGATCGCCGTGCACATCGACGAGTCCGCCGCATCCGGGAGAGGGGCCGCAGTGACTCGCGCGAAGGGGCAGTGGGAGGCGCAAACGGCGGCGCAAGGCGAGCTGCATGGCTTGCGGCGGCAGTGTGGTGGCTGGGTCCGCCGGTATGGCTGTTAACCAGGCACCTGCGTGCGGGCCTGCCTGGGAAGGCTGGGAGCAACGTGCTGTCACGGAAGTGAAGGTTGCGAGTTCGCGACGCACTGTGCTGCCAGCCGTGCGGCCAATCGCCCAGGCCTCTGGCTGTCACCGGTGGCGGGCGAGCGCCATCCGCAATCGCTCGCCAGGAAGGACACTCCTGCCAGACTTCAGCTCGAAGGACGTTGCGTGCCGCCGCTGCGCTGCGTAGGCACGCCTCTTCTGTTTTCTCTGCTTCCAATTGGCGGACGCACGCCTCGGCCCACAACCTGGACTCTTACCTGAAGCATTTGTGCTGTGCACGACGACCAGGGACGTTCGGTCCTTGAATTTACGAGTAGGCGAAAACGCCGCAAACATCAGAACCACGGCTATCGCGTCAACAAACCTCACACAAAGATCTTGCGGTTTTACACATGGCTGCCCCATAGTGGGCATGGGCACTGACAGCAGAATGATTGTTTGGCACGAGAACAAGATCAAAAATCCACCGCAATAACTCAGCATCACGAAACTAAGGCACACATTGCAAGCGTAAGCGTTCCAACCGGGCGTGGTGTTCAATGACAAACAGCGGACACACACGAATGGCATGCAGCAACGTGCTACGACGAGCACCGCAGAAGCACCGGAACTATGCCACTGATCGTGCCGAGCTGACGTGCACTCCCAAAACAAACACGACGGGAGACGCGAAAAAATAGTGTTGCCACCAGGCAAACTTGTTGAAAAACTGCATAGTCTGCGTGGGACGGCTTCGCCATCAATTCGCCAGACACAGTGTGTGAGAACGATGCAGCAACAACACCGGTCGCACGGTATGCCGACTCCAATGCACTACATACCTTGCATCCCCGCCAAGCACCAGGCTCCATAAAAGGGGGGGGCCGATGTACCAGCATCCCGCAACCCCTGCGAAACACTATGCGCCCACATGCGCCCACAAAACCAGCCGCCGCAAAGCAAAGCTGAACACACGTCCTGCGAGGCTACCGCACGCACCACCGCGCACCAAAGGCATCAGCAGCCTCAGCCAGGAGTCAGAAAACACTAAACTACGGCAACCAGCGACGTTACGCCCTGGTTACGCTGCCCGCGCTTGTGACCAGCGTGTGTTCGAGACGCATTTCGCCACCTAACCTTCCGTGTTCCGAGCGCTGCTGCTGGTTCAGGCTGACCAAA